AAAATGATAACTTGTACACACCATATATAAGAAGAAAGGAAATATGAAATAATCTCAAGTGAGTAATATTTATTATAATCAGATTGGTTTCCACATACAATTCTATCAATTGTATTTTAAAATGACTATGATTTTTTTTTTATTTACTTTAAACAATATAACAGTCTTAATTGCTTACATCCACTTCATTTAAACTTTTGTTGATAGTTGTCTCATTGGCAATTATACCACATCTCCTTATTTTTATATTAACTTCCATTATGGTAGTTTTATTTTAAAACTTACAATGCAACTTGTTTTCTTTTTTTTTAGTTCTGAAAAAAAAATTTCAGGTACCTTTTTACCTTTAAGTTCACGTACCACTTTCCTTACCATTCCATTCCATTCTTTTTGAAGTCAATTTTTATTGAAAAAAAAAGATATTTTTAAGGTGCAAAATAATTTTACCTTTAAATATTAAACTCTTCATAGATACCAGGCTTATAGTTTTGTACGCTAGACACGTGTTTCGTCTACAAAAGACTCATCAGTGACGCTCGAATCTAAAAGGTTGAAAAGGCCAAATATAATACGAAGTTGAATAGCAGCGGGGACCCAAAATTCCGAAAGGTTTTGCGAAATACAGCTAAGGTTGTCTATATTCCTGGGGAAGGTAATCTTTCGTATTACGAAAAAATACAAGTTTTTAAAACAGTTAATTTATAATTATTATCATATCAATGATAATTCGTGTCAACACAGAAGTGCTGTCTACTGAGATGGTGGAACCCTCAGGGAGGCATCGACCCAGTGTTTGTAAAAAAAATCATCATAGATACCAGACTTAAAATTTGTACAGTAGACGTCTACAGAAGAGTCATCAGGAAAGCTCGAATCTAAAGAATTAAAAAGGCCAAGTAAAAAAACGAAGTTAAAGAGCATTGAGGACCCAAATTTCCGAACAGTTTTGCCGAATACAGCTAAAGTAATCTATTCATGGGGTCGAAATTCCTTAACATTTCAAAAAAAATGATTTTTATAAACAGTTAACTTATAATTTTGACCATATCAATGATAATTCATAACAACACAGGAGTGCTGACTACTTGGCTGGCGATACTATCGGAGATGAAACCTCAACCAGCAGTGGCATCGACCTAGTGGTTGTATATAAACTAGGGATGTCAACTCGGTGAACAATTGATAATCGAGTACTCGTTGGTTTTATCGAGCCATACTCGAGTACTCGCTTGGTAATATATCTACAACACGGAAACACAAAAATACGTATTTTACTTTCTGTGGTTTGTTGTTCAACGGACGAAAACCATCTACATAAGTATCTATTTCAAGGAATTACACACCATAATTAATAGCTCATTACCTACAAGTACTAATTAAGTAAAAAATAATAATCTAATCAATATAATTTAATGAACACATATTTAAAAAATTATAACAAGGAACAACCATATCAAACAATAGTATTTTGTAATCGTTAAGAAAACACATTTAATATTTAGAAAGGCGTAAGGATTAGAAGTTTAACACCACTTTTATTGGGGACAGTCGGTTTTGCAACTTTGTAACTAACAGTCTTGCAGACAAAAATATTTGCTCTGACGGTACCGATGTGACGGAATGGCTAAGACATGTTTAGTTTAATGTGTTAGCCTAGGTATAGCCTAGAAGCCAGAAGAAAAATAGCGTGTATAACGCTCTTTCATAAAGCCATCCATGAAAAGGTTGCTGTACCTATGCCATCACACATTTTAAAACCAAGAAGAACTTCGAGTCTCCATCAACCGAATACTAAAAGATACGTACTAATCAGGCCAAACAAAGATATTTACAAGTATAGCTTTTTTCCTCGGTCCATTAGAGACTGGAATAAACTACCAGACGAACTACTAGAGATTGAGAGCAGTGAGGAATTCAAACCAAACTCACCAAGCTTCTCTGTAGTGGCTAACCAACACAAACAAAAGATAGATGGTATTTTTAACCAGCACCTGTATATAAATTTTGAGCACAATTTGGAACTATTGTTTATTAAATGTTATATATACAAATTTTTTGTCATGTTGGAAGACGTCAAACTAAACTTTATACTTAAGTGATGGGTCAAAGAACCTTTTTCGAGTGACGACATAGCTTTGCAGCTATGTCGTAGATGTAGATGTGTAGATGTAGCCCACCTATTTTCGGACGCATTTTAAATGAAAATTTAGCACATGCGTTTGAAACAAAATGTATTTTATTAACTAGACTAAGTATGATTAATCAGTGATGCCTATTTAATTGTCCGCAAGAAGTTCTCTAGAAGATCAATTTTATATAGAGTAGACAGCAATATTCTAACAGGACCCCGATTAGTCGAGTATCGTTTTGATATTCGATACTCGGTACTACCGATCGATACTCGAATACTCGAGTACTCGTTGACATCCCTAATATAAAATCATCATAGATACAAGACTTAAACCTTAGTAAGCCAGACACGCGTTTCGTCCATAAAAGACTCATAAATGACGCTCGAAAAAAAAAAAGTTAAAAAGGCAACTAAAAGTACGGAGTAAATAACCTTTTCCCTAATCATTAAATTTTGTTCTAAAACAACACCCACTCACTAAAACAACATCTATGTAATTTTTTGTTGGCATTGTATGAATATTTTATAACATGTAGGAATTCCCAGGAGACACCATCTTTGGATTATATTGGTGTTTCGCGTTGATATTGGTGTGACATTGATATTCCCTGTTTATATAATTGGTTTAATTTAATTTTTTATCATTGAAGAATATCTTATTGTCTTCATTCTTCTTCTGAATGACGTAACCATATAAAAGAATAGTTATTCAATTGATTTTAGTCGACGTACAAATATTTTTGTCAGTAATTCATTTTCTTGTCTGAGAAGTCATTTCTTACATACATATTGCATTAGTTCGATAAAGATTACAGTAATGCATAAAACTGCATATACCATTACAAGTATAAAGGAAGGTGGAATTTTATTGTTAGCACATATAGCTTATCTTAAAACAGTTGTTTTATGCTAGATTATGAAATCTATGCATTATGCAGCTTATGCAATCGATATAGAACTTTTCAGGATGCGGATCGACTCAAAGAGATTTTCATTATTTATAAAACATGATCAAATGGCATTTCTGAATAGTGATCTGGTACAGAAATAAAAAAAAAATGTTAGACTTTTTTGTTAAGTATATTAAGGTAACAGGTACGTAAATGGGTGATCTCACGGAACTTTATGAAAGTTTGAGACAACTGGAGCATTAGGAGCTGCACATTAACATTGAAAATTAAAATATATGGCTTTTATACTTTCTGAGTTATAGCAAATTAAATATCCGGAAAATAGTAGCACAACTGTATAGAATACACGTAAATATCGTAAAAAAACGTTCAGAAATTTGGACTTAAATTAATACTTTTCGAAATCCTGTCATACGTTTTTCTCTGATAGTGACATGTTATTGCTATTGAAATTTCCGTTTAATGATATAAAATGTAAGTGGGGTCGCCGAATGGCGTTGTTGGTAGTATGAATAGTTGTATCTTCTGTAAATAGTTATCAAAAGTACCAGGCTTATAATTTGATACGCCAGACGCGCGTTTCGTCTACATATGACTCATCAGTGACGCTCAGATCAAAATAGTTAGAAAGCCAAACAAGTATAAAGTTAAAGAGCATTGAGGACCAAATTCCAAAAAGTAAAGCGTGGAAAAAATGCCGAAATGGCAAAAGTATTGGTGACCTTATGACTCGAAATCTTATTTTTCAACGTTTTAGATATTACAGACACTTGAATAATTTATACAGCTAAACAAATTCCGTACATGACCAATGTTTTTCCATATTAATAAAACGTAAATACAAGTTGCAATTTATATCAATTTTGAAGGAAATTTGTAGAAAACTTCTTATGTCCGGAATAAAAGAAACAATTTCATTAAACAATTTGAATTTTACATATATCTGATAAAGATTACAACTTATCCCTGCATAGCATCAGGAGAAAATAAGTGAAATAAGGAAGTAATAGTTAATTTCTTAACCTAGTATATTGTTACTTGTTTTTTCTCCAATCATTTCTTTTTGAACTGCAGTTTGTTTCAGATTAAATGTATAGAAAAGCTATATACTGTGCGATCATGATAGCATGCTTAATATCCTGTTTTTCATAACTGATAGCTGTGCAAGGTGATTGGAAATATTCATATATGAAGAATTATTTGCCCAACAAAATCTATTTTAATTGACAATTTTCTTGTTAAATATCTGCCAGCTATTCATATCAGAGTCTATCGTTTAATGTGTAAAGCGCTTTTTACAGTTTACTTGGAGTTGGATTGAGATATGGCATTATTGTCAATTAGAAAATAATCCATAAAACATCAAAGATTAAAAAAGGCAAACAAATACAGGGATTGTTCGGTCTTCAACAATGACCAAATACTGCATAATGAGCTATTTGAGGCCAGGGAGCTAACTACAATTTTATAAATTATCACAAATTGCTAATTTTCCCTTTTTCATTTTAATGTAGTCTTTCCTTTATTAGACACATAATTTCCAATACTTCTTTCCACAAATATAATATCTGTATCAAGAACAGAAGATAGGAACCGCATGTGGCTTTAATCAGCATGCGTATATTTTCAAGTGACTTGAGTCAAACAAAAATTACTCATTTGAAATAATTTGTCTATGCTGATTTAAAACTATAATAAATCGTGAGGTGACTTTGTGTCGTTTCAGGTATTATATGAAGTGACCAATTTAGGCTTTAAATTCCCATTTTTTTATGTGACGGAAGTCTCATCCGCGTTTTGCTCATGATTCTTTGTTACCTATGATATGGAGGTGACAAAAGCTTGTCTTGCATAATATGTAACAAAATTAGTCATAATTTTTTTTTGTTTTGTTTCAGACAATAATGGAACAAAATATGTAACAAAATTAGTCTTAACATTTTTTCGTTTTGTTTCAGACAATAATGGAAACAAAGATGTATGCAGTTTTGGCTATTTTTATAGTTCCAGGTTTGTTATCATTTTTTTTACTGCTTTGAAATTGTTTCTTAATTGATATATTTGATATAAAGAATAACAGTAGGGAACCGATCTTCAAATATCGTAAATTCATTTCAAATATGGATATCAAGTGAAAATACTACATTAATCGTATTCACTCAAAAAGGATAGAGTCTGAGTCTGCGACAGGATACGCGGCTCTTGGTATGCGTGCGTCACCTGTAGCTTGCGAATCAGTAAGATAGAGAACGAAAGATACCAAGATATTTAAAACACAATTTCACGATAGGAAACTCGTGTTTATTAAGTCCGTATAATGTTTATATGAACGCGCGTAACATCTCTGTTGAGATATGCAAACGATGTAGATAACTGTTGAGAAATGGGGAGTTCACAATGGGGAACTGGAATCGTATATCATAGATCGTCAATCTCTGAATTTCAAGAAAAAGGGTCCGGAAATAAAGCGGACGTTATAGCCCCAGTATTGTCAGGTTTACTGGGATAACATGAGATTTAAGTACTCTCTGAACTGTGGGATATTGGTCGACAGGACCATCAATATGTTTGAACGTGAAATTAGAGAGAGAACTATTGGAATACCGACTGTTTGTTGAAATATAAATACACCAAAATCTATGAAATGTTGTTTACAGTAAAAAAAATAAATTGTATATCGTTTTTAATAGACTGAATTTCGAGTAAAACAAATGACAAATCAATAAATGCTAAGGATTATCATTTAATTTTAATCTGTTCCTGCTGCGATTTAATATTACGCAATAAATGTATTAACGACAAAAGCCTTTTGCGTGGACACATCAATTTTAAATCTAAAAATGGTCTAGAAACATTTGATTTTCAACAAAGGTAGATATTTTTTTCACAAATACCTTTTATAATTTTGATATATGATACAATATATTTGTACATTCCAGTTGATAGTAACATGGAATTGTTTTCAAACTAATAAAATTGAGAATGGAAATGGGGAATGTGTCAAAGAGACAACAACCCGACCATAAAACAGACAACAGCAGAAGGTCACCAACAGGTCTTCAATGCAGCGAGAAATTCCCGCACCCGGAGGCGTCCTTCAGCTGGCCCCTAAACAAATATATATACTAGTTCAGTGATAATGAACGCCATACTAAACTCCAAATTGTACACAAGAAACTAAAATTAAAAATAATACAAGACTAAGAAAGGCTAGAGGCTCCTGACTTGGGACAGGCGCAAAAATGCGGCGGGGTTAAACATGTTTATGAGATCTCAACCCTCCCCCTATACCTCTAGCCAATGTAGAAAAGTAAACGCATAACAATACGCACATTAAAATTCAGTTCAAGAGAAGTCCGAGTCTGATGTCAGAAGATGTAACCAAAGAAAATAAACAAAATGACAATAATACATAAATAACAACAGACTACTAGCAGCTCCACCAGGGCCGGTTTTATCATTGACTTTTGTTCCTTTTGTTTTATGCTCTCGGCTTTCCAAACTTTTAGTCTCGAATATACCTGATTAAGGTCAAACCACCTACAAAATGTAGTCCGAAAGAAAATTATATCACATTATTTTAGTCATCTATGGGATAATTTCTAAAGGATAAAAAAGATTATGAGATTTACATTAAGTTAATAAATAAAATATTTGTACAGAATTGCCGTGCTGTAATGGAGAATGGGGATTTCAGCATCCCGTTGTTTACACTGTTTACAATGAAAAGAAAACTTGGAACGACGCTAAAGCTATCTGTTATGCTAATAACAACACTATGTTGTCTATGTCAAATGACAATGTATGGCAGTTCTGGATATCAATGTTGTAAGTATATACAACTTATATTTAAATAAATAGTCACATCTATAATGGTGTCCATAATATCATATTAAGCTCGTGTACTATTAGTTACTAATACGATATATATGGGGTCAGTAAATTCCATATGGAATTTACTGACCCCATGTATATCGTTTTAGGTCACTAGCACACTGTCTAACGAATTTATATCACCGACTATCTTAACATGTGGCAATTAGACAAGTGGCCTATCAAAGTGATCAAGTCTTCAGTCTTAAGAACACACTTCCATTGGTCTATACAAAAACAAATACCAACAATAACAACTTGTTAGCTTTTAAAGTGTTTTCTGCATTTATTTCAATCGTTCGTCATCAATTTCTTCGTCTGAGGAAACCTTTCAGATTTTTCCTCAACCCCGTGTTGTTTTTACAAAGGGACGTAACACCACTACTAACCGTGTATTGAAATAAACCACGCCTAATGACCCCGTATGAAATATGCACGTTCTCCACGCGTTTGCTTTTAACCAATAATGTTCCTAGAAATGTATATGAGGTAGGATAAAAAAAAACAGTTATGTAAAAAATAACATTATGGCATCAACTTCTATCGGATGTTAACCATGTGTAATGAAGGTAAAACGATTACGACTACTTGGGAACATTTTTAATTTGATCAGCTATATGTACTGATTCCTTTAGGTAAAGTTTGAGATGGTCCGGCTGTTTTATAATATCAATACGGTTATTTCAAAATGTTGCTGTTTTTTCTGACCTTTTTAACTTTCGGCTTTATGTTTTTCATAATGAGGCTAAATCCTAAAGGAATGACCAAGCTTTCTGTCATTTTCATTATGATATTGCCGTTCAAGCTAATGATAATTTTATTAGCACGTGCCGTGCGGACTTAGATCGGTATCCTGTGTTCCCTTTCTCAAAAAAAAAAACACAACGCGTTGTCGGTTCTGCCTGCAGCTTGTGAAATATCCGTCACCTATGATACAATCTACCCATCGAATACTGTTGTCACAATTTAACGGATGGCTGCATTATTTTCGATAAATTATATAAATATACTTAAACTTAGGCTGTAACTTCTTCATAAATTGTTGCCTTGTTGTTCACTTATATGCTCACGTTTTTGTTTTCTGTTTTTCGAGGCTTTCAAATGTTTTCTCAACTTGTATGTACGTATCATGCATACAGGAATCGGTATCACAAGTTTCCTTTCTTGAGTTAATAGCTTGAAGCCTATTATATATATAAAAATCAACGGCTGTACATAACGTTTTGATAGCAATTCAAATTAAAAGCATCTTATTGACATGGGCTAAAATGTTCAAACAGATGACAATATCAAATCTCCTATTTTATATTGGCTTTTTGTATCTTTTGTTCGGACTCAATTTTAATAGAATTTAGGAATCCGAACCATTAAAATAGTATTGTACATCTGAAATGAAAATCAGGCAAATTAAACTCAAGAAATATGATTTTTGCCCCTTAACATAATAGTATCATCTATATTTTCCTCTTAGGTTTCAATTCTAAAAATTGATTTTCCATATCTGTGTGTTACATAATAGATGATCTTAATGCTACGGTAGCCAAGTTTGTTTTATATTAAAGATTTCAATATTTATTTGCAATCATTCCCTGCTACAAAAAATAAACACGAAACCAGCATTGTTTGTTGCACCTTAATAGAAAATCCATTAATTTGAGTTAGTTAAATAAAAATTAGTGCAGGCTTATATTTTTTCATTAAATTTACGGTGATTAAACACTCATTTAATTTTATGTAGTAATTCATTTGTACATTAAGCATTTACAATAAGAGAAAAATAAAATAAAATTGACAAAATATTTGTTAATTGAAATATCTTTTGCAATATGATAACTAAATAATTCGAAATAGCTATTATAATCATATCTATAATGAAAACAATTTCAAATATGCAAAGTAAATATTGATTTTTCGTAAATTTCCTCTTTTTTTCTCCCTGACTTTAACTAGTGACATCACAACAAAACATTGAATCAATATTATTAATGAAGTAATATTATATTATTTTTTTCTTTCTTTCCTCTTTTCATACAGAGTACATAATTATCGAAGAGCAGTAAATAGTTTTAACTAATATTCTTCATACTATTATAGCCAAAATCGAGCGCCGTAAATCTAATGTTAGTATAATAAGTTCAAACCAATTGCCAGAATCCGAATGCGCATTGGCTGCTCATAAATTATGTAGAAAATGTATCCTCAAATATAATAAAAGGAGATTTGGGGCAAATGTCAATGAGGCAAATACTCATGGTCACAAACAACTAAAAGGTAAAAAAATCGTCAACAATAGACAGTTGTCTATTCAACATATACAGCTCTCAATCGCCCAAGTATAAAAAAGTGTTTAAATTGAACAGCCCTTTAGTCACCCTAAAACACAAAACATTTCGACCAGAAAACTTTTTCTTTCTGGTAAAACTAAATTTGATTGTGTAATGATAAAAAAAAAAAGGAGATGTGGTATAATTGCCAATAAGACATCTCTCCAATATGTATACAATGTCAAATGGATGATTGTGGATGATATTGAGTTAGCAAGTTGAGGAATTGAATCTGTGTAATGTTCAATCCACTTGTGACGGCGACAGAAGAATTTCAGTCATTGTTTTGTTTATTAGGTGCTTTTTGAGCTACTGCAATATCGAAATCGAGAAAATATTATCAAATATTGTATCAACGGTGATCTATGTTATCAGTAATAAAAACAGAGCATCAAATTTCCTGTGAAACTGACTACGTAAAGTGCAGTATGAATCAGGTGTGGATAACACCAAAAAATCAAAGATCTGTTATATCTTTATATAATCTAAGTTATAGTATGATATAATAAATTGACTTCTCCACAAGTATTCGTCAGTCTAAACTAAATTAAAGGCAAATCGAAACATTTATTGCAACTTTTTTTCCCCCATATATTATGGCAGCCCAAGTCACAAATATCTTATTTTAATGGATAAATAACACTGCAAAATCATAATAGTTTCTCAGTAACTCACATCATTAAGATATTTTTTTTTTATTTGTAACAGTCGGCGCAAACAGTTAGAATTCCAAGATTATAGTTATTGGTGCAGACCTGTTCTTTTATCCATATGAGTACTACAATGGTTTTTTTTTTTTAACGAACTTGACTTCCCATGTTGGTTTCATACAATTGAAAGTAGATAGATTTGTGCTTTTACTTCACGTTTTGCCATATCAGTAGTGTCCTATATGAATTGAATTTTTAAAAGATTGATGACAATGATCATCATATCTACGCCATTTAACTTTTTAATTATGAGTACCAAATATACATGTAGGTCTGTTATCTGTTTTTGAAACGTTTTTTAGAAATTATTTTAGCTATTGAACCAAGTGTTCGTTACGTCAAGTTAAAGTTATTTCTTTTAACGTTTACGGACGCCGTCATGATTTTATTGGGCGTTATATATTACCAGTTTCAATAATGACTACAGATTTGCTCCATTTGTCACAATTTGGGGCTCCTTTACAACATTATTGAAGTCACCGAATGCAACCAATTATTTTGTCCTTGTCATGAGCAACACGACAGATGTCGCAAGTGCAGCATTATCTTTTTATCTTACCTTTCTAGAGCACCCAAACTAAGCTTGGATATGTGAATATGACTCACCAAACTAAATTACTAGGAGTAACGCGACGGGTGTCACGATTGGATCCGGGTTTTGTTGCGGTTTGTTCTGTTCTTTAGTTTTCTGTGTCGTGTTTTGTGGACTGTTGTTTGTCTTTTCGTCCTTCTTATATTTGTCTTTGGTGTTATCTCTTTTATTTGACTTGTGATTTTATTGCTTCTTTGAATTCACCCTCTATTTTATGCTTTTACGTTTTTTTAATTTTAAGTTTCTGTATAGTGCTTAATGAACAATTGATTATCTTTTCGTTTTTTGTGGTTATATTTTGTTTTTTTTTTAGTGTTGTCTGCCTTTCTTTGATCTGTGGTTTTTTACTGCTCTCTTCTTATTTCTTTTACTATCAATAATGGTAGATTGACAATGGGCGGGATGCCGCCAACAACAACGCATGTAACTTCTTACGTTTTTGTTTATTCATCTCATACGACTTGCTAGAGGTTTCTCGGCCTTTACACTACATAGTTGATTTTGCTCCAAATAAAGGAAGCGAAGTCATTTGAAAACATGTTCCAAATGGTGAAGTTGAAATCATCCCTTCGTAAATTTTACGGACGCCATCACGAGTTGGTTGACCGTTATGGAATAACCGTTTCACAGATGATATCGGAAGTGTTCCTTATGTCGTAACTACAATACCCTTCCCTTTTCACGAATGTGACTTACCGAATTAGACTATTTACCGGATTTGTAATAACATAAGCAACACGACGGGTGCCACATGTGGAGCAAGATCTGCTTACCCTTCCGGAGCACCTGAGATCACCCCCAGTTTTTGGTGGGGTTCGTGTTGCTAAGTCTTTAGTTTTCTATGTTGTGTCATCTGTACTATTATTTGTCTGTTTGTCTGTTTGTCTTTTTATTTTTGGCCATGGCGTTGTCAGTTTGTTTTCGATCTATGAGTTTGACTGTCTCTCTGGTATCTTTCGTCCCTCTCTTCCAACAAATATATCATACTTAACAAGATAGCTTTTATGTTCAAGCTCTAACGTTTCTTTTATTGAATTTCCTAGAGACTTGACAACCACTGTAGCACACAGAAACAATCCGAGATTCTGGTTCGGGCTTCATTCAACTAACCCTGCAAATCTCTCCGAACTGTATTGGGGTGACTGTCGTGTTGCTGATTGGTTAGAATGGACAATCTACAGACCTGCATATATTCCTGAAAATTACCAGTGTTTGGGATTTGATATCGACTTCCATCCATTAACAACAGTTACATACATACTGTGGCTGACAATAGAATGCCAGGAACAAAATAGATTCATTTGTGTTTGGGGTAAATACTTGTATTGTTTTAGGTTAAAAGAAGAATATTTAAAATAAGTTCAAGTACCCGAGTCGCTAACATAATTAAATTAAATATGTATGGAATTTTAGAAAGGTATTAATCCAAGATAGAACTAACATAATACGACACGTCACGGGGTATTTGTTGCAGCTTTACATTCATAGGCCGTAAAGCGGCATCAACATCTTCATCGATATGCATGAAGATATCTAATAAAATGAATAAAACGAGTTGGGGAAAATAAATGTCAACAATGGCTGACAATAGTGGAATATCTCTGATACAGATGACTACGGAATTGTTCCACTTTTCGCGGCCACAGTCGACCCGCTTGATCTTTAAAGAATCTCAGACGTATTTCCTGAAAGCTGAAATACTAAACATGTTAAATGAATGTTTATAACACATAAAACTGTTGCGAAGTGGGCATGCATAGTTTCATAAAGTATGGGGTGATAACCAGTTGCTTCTATAGATATTTAGTATTTCCAAAATAACATAAGATAGTTACCTGATTATCCTACTATATAACATTGTCATGTGCTGCCAAACAATGGATTCATAAAATAATTCAGTTTTTACAGACTACATACAAATACAAGGATCACTTTGTCAACCTATTCTGATATTTGTAGAAAAAAACTTTAATACAATTGATTTTAATTATGCATGGTTGTGAAAGTATATATGTACCGACCATATCATACTAAAGTTAACTCTTCTTCATTAAAATAGTTTTTAAAAAAACAACATTATACAACATATTTTGTTGTGTATACCTTTTTGACTTTTTTTTCAATTTAGACTTCCTTTTTTACTTTATATATATTTCCAGAAGATGAATGTATTTATCAGACCTGTGAAGAATTCCTCATTTTCATGCCTGCCTCTGAATGCACTACAGCGTGTACAGTTTTATTTACCATCGGAGAAGTAACTAATTTCGTGACATGTAGAGCTCGTGCCATAAATTTCGGAAATCATTCAATTTGCCACGTGTATATGGCTCCAGGTTTTGTAACCGTTGCACAGTCTTTTTCAATATGTTATAAGCCTGCAGTAGATGCACCTCTTGAACGATGTCATAATGTGTCCGGTATGTGAAATACTAAAAATTGATCAGTAAACTAACATTTTGCTATATTCTAGAGCACAGATTGTAAACATTGAGTCTTAATTTGAATGTTGTTTGTAAATGCCTGCATTTTAACAAATTAAGGCATAAGTATTGTTCATTGATGAAAAAGTTGAACGGTAGCTCTAAAATTGTATGCCGGATATATGAGGGCTGTCCGGAAAATAAAAACGTTAATTAAAGATACACAATATTTTGACTCTTTATTACCCAGAGAAATCCAAAAAAAATGATAAAATCTATTCTATGTTATTAACTCTACTCTGAATAATACATGTTATAAATATGAACGCTGTAAGTTATGAATTGGATTTGCAATCAACATCTTAAATTGTCAATTTATTTTTATCTTTTCCTTTATCTTAGTAGAAATCCAACTTATCCACGAACTTTTAGGAAAAAGCGACTAAGAAACAACCAGGGTCAAAAAGAAAACTTTAAAGCAACAATAACACCAAACTACACTGCAACGATGTCAAATCATGAAATAAATTGCTAGAAAACATTTAGGCTATAATTTACAGACAATGTTCGACGATCTCATGAGTTATATGTAATATTCACTAACTTGCTTGATATACAATTTGTATTAAATTGATTTGCAGCAGAACATAGAATTAATTTCGTGGAAAGTAATGGTTCTTCAAAATGTAATATGAATATAATAGAATATATGCATGTCTGAATGAAATTAACTAAAGAAGGCATTGGGCAGAAATATATATTCTAAATGATAAATAATATTTTTCAGATACGCTCGATTTGGGACTGTTCAATGATTCAAGTACCACGCCCAACAGTACATGTAAGTCATCAGACCAGTCTACAACTCTTTCTGGTAAGACAGCACATTAAGTGCATTACAATCAATAAATTGGAATTACGCATGCGGTAAAATATCAATACAAAACTTGTTCGAAGGTAATTAGATTTTCAAGCATATGAATGAATGAATGAATCTTTATTGCAAAAGCATAGACATGCTGTGGAAAAAATTAACAACATATATTACATAATATAAAACATGGATAGACAGCAGAGAACAATAGTATAATACAATGACATATAAAGTTATGAGACTATATTAGATCGAATATTCCATGCAGCTTTTTACATAATTACATAATTTGACAGTAAGAGACTTCCTAGACGCTTGTAGTATATACAATAGTTTATGATTATTAGGCCAAGAACAATAATACTTTGGTAAAAATTGTGTTCGTACAGATATATAAGCTGGACAAACAAGAACAAAATTGTATTCATCTTCAATAACACACATTTTACAGCATTCACATAAACGATTTTCTTTCGAATTATTATTATAACGACCAACTTCAATATTTAACTTTAATGTTTAACTACGTAACTTTGTTAACAGACAAACATTATAGCTTAAAGAAAGATAATTTTTCAATACAAAAAGTTAATTCAAATCTTCAATAAAAAGACAGTTTACTACATTCTTGAACAGTTGTTGACCAATTCTGCAAGTATTGATCTTTAATGTGAGTTTTAATATTATCTATACAGATTGTACTAGCATCTCGATATAACCATATATAATTTAACCCAAGATCATATAAAATATCACGTATATTTGAAGCCCAGTTAACATAACCATTGATAGCATCGTCATACAAGAGTTTATACACATCGTATACAACTTTTGGTTTATTTGTAAAAATATGTAACCAATATTTCAATATTTTTTGTTATCTAACAATAAAAAGAGGTAAATGGCCAAGTTCGCCATATAAAAAACATGTTGGTACATTTCTACCAAATTTTAACACAAATCTACAAAAACGGTTATGGATAAGTTCGATATCTTTAGCACGATGGAAACCCCATATTTCTGATGCATAGCCTAAGACGGATCCGACCATACTGTCGAAAAGAAACATCTGTTCTTGTGGAGTGACAAAGAAGTGCTTGAGAGAGTTCATTAGAGATGACATGGCTCTAGAGCCTTGTTGTGCTAAACGGTTTTGAGTATTTTAAAACTTTCCGTTGTAGTGTAATAATATACCAAGGTACACATATGAATTAACAACTTGCAGTTCTTTGTTATCATAGAAAAAATGAGTGTCTACTGGTCTAAATCCATTTCTAAATACCACTTATTTGGTTTTATCAGCGTGTACTTCAATATTCCATTTATTGCAGTAAAGTAAAAGTTTATCAAATAAATGTTGCAGAACAGTCGGTGTTTTTTCAAAATAAAACGGTGTCGTCAGCAAAAAGTCTTAGATAGATAAGAATTCCATTCAAAGATACGACATCTTCTTCTTCATCAGTGGAGATATCTTGAATAATGTCATTTATAAAAAATAAGAAAAGTAAGGGAGATAAGTTTCGCCTTGTTTTACACTAAGATGGTTATCAAACGCCTCTGATAGTACTCCACCAGACCGCACACGTAAACGCACAGATGAATAAATAGAATTTACCATTGATACGAATTTACTGCTAACTCCAGATTTGACAAGTTTGTATATCAAAATTCTTCTGTCAACCTTATCAAACGCCCTTCGGAAGTCTACGAAACCACAGTATAATTTTAATTTATGCTGAAGAGTATGTGAAATAATTCTATGCAGAGTATACATAGCGTCAACAGTCGAACTTCTTGGCTGGAATCCAAATTGGTTGTCTACTATATGATTTTCGTCCTGTGACCACGATAACAAACGGTCGGTTAGAATACTAGTGAACAACTTCGAAAGGATACTTACTAATATTATAGGTCTATAATTAATCGGAATGTAAGATTAACACTTTTAGGAACAGGGATAACTAAGCATTCAGTCCAATTTTCTGGATATATTTCGATAGCAAAGATCGAGCTGAACAAAGTTTTTAAAATAGGTGCGAAAAATAAATGACATGACGAAAACATCTTACCTACAATTTCATCGTTACCTGCACTTTTTCCGGATTTTAGTCTCTTTAGTGCTTTAATAGTTTCGTCTAAGTCTATATTTACACCATCAAAATAAGTGTAATTTAAAAGATCTAACACTGCATCAGATAGCTCGGGTGGGTTCATACCAAGAACATTTTCAAAATAATTAAACATTTCGTCGTTGTTCACTACACACTTTGATTTGTTTTTTGGCTTTTAGGTTGACCAAAATGTCTTTGGATTTGTTTTTGCAATACTACAAAGCTCCAGACCTTTTTTCCTCTTATAATTGTACTGCGCTTTTCGCTTCACTTTATTGTAAGAATTTCTAGCAGTCACGTATTCACTCCTGTTTGCATCCGTTTGGTGACGTATAAAAAAGTTTCTCGTGACATGAAATCTTTTTCGGGCGTTTTTGCAATTGTCATCGAACCATTCATTATTCGGACGATTTTGGCGTTTTATGTGTTTATGAATAGAAACTGATTGTCCAAACACTTTGAAAGCGCTATCGTAAATAATATGAGTTATCTGCCTTACGGCGTTATGTATGTCGACATCTGAAGTAATATTATTCACAACTGACAATAATTTTTCTCTATAAGGTTGTAACATTTGTGCATATTCATCATTTTTATTAGTTTACCATTTAATGTAATTGCGTGTTGTAGTATTTGTTCTCTTTGGACATATAGTGGAAAAAGTTAAGTTCAAAAAATAAAAGGCATATGATCTGAAAACTCATTCATTTCTAGAACTTCAAAGTCACTAATAATACCATAATTGTTCGGAGACACAAGACGATAATCGTTAACACTCGTCCCTTTACTATAGTACTATCATAAATCTTATGATTTGGATTCATTACATTTCACAAGCATAATTATATTTATAGAAACATTTTCTACAGACGTTCTGACAATCCTGGGGTAATTTTTTGAAGTAAAAACGTCCAATAAGTGAATTTTACCTGGTTTTTATTTCTCGAAAACCACGTTCCAGTGATGCAGCAAGCACTAGATACCATTCTTTAGCTCCTAAAGTGTACTGGGATATAGTTTGACTTGTGTTGCTAAATTATTTTTTGTTTTGTTTTAAGTGCTTGGTAAATTTGTATCCGACCTTTCGTCTCTTGATTGGCCTTGACGTTGTCTTTCTGCCTCATATACTAGTAATTTTGATAGCGCACTTGATATATTATAATTTTAATGACCATCCAAAACTTTAATATTACAAATCTGAAACTAGCAATTTTGGTGCAAAAGAGATGACATTGTTACTTATCAATCGTATATCATAACACATCTATTTTCACTTTTTGTGCAATTTTAGGCATGTTCTTGACAACAACGGAAGGTATTTGTGAATGTCCATGCCTACAGTCAGAGGAAACTACAGGCCCACCTCTAACGATTGACCAGCGAATTGAAATCCTGAAAAAAGATTTGACAATCGACAAGACCAAGACATCAAAAAATAAAAGAAAATTAATATCCGTCAGTGATGAACGCCCTTCCGCAAAAGGTTTGGGAGTGTTTGGCTTGGCTATATTGGTTTTAGTTCCTGTGTGTATCCTTTTGATAGACTTGACTTCAATAAGTCGACATGTCAATTATTTCTGCGAAAGAAAAATGCCGCGTACAGAAAAATTTAAAATACCAAACTCCTCAGAAGAAAGATTAAACAAATCATTCAAGAAAACGTCAAACAGACGGATCAGTACAGCATTCATTAACAACAAAACATCAAAAGGAAGTATGCAATTTACAAATATTTATACAAATGACGAAAGAAAGAGGGAAAATAGACCACCTTCAGCATATCCTATAAATATGCAATCTAGTCGATCATCATCAGTAATGTGTATAAGACCAAAGACGCCTGTAAATCCTAAAGTTCAAGTTGTGTATAAAGACATCCTAGATGTTAAATATCAATCATCCATGATAGCATCCAGAATTATTGCCAGTGAAATAAAATCTGGAAAGCGAAGATTATCACATCATAATGCTGCCTTTATAGGAAGAGATATAGGCGAGAAAGTTAAAAAGAAATCTGCAAAAGATATAAAACTAGACGGGTTGCCATGGATACACATGCTATAAAGTATTGCATTTCGTAGTTCAAGAAAAACACATTTGCTTTCATATAACAATGATTCCTTGGTCTGTAAAGTTTATTTGTAAATTTTCAACTATCATCATAATCAGGGAACGAAATCATTGCCATAATGCATAAATGATTTCATTACAAAGGTACATTGATCTCATTTTGCAGTAACGAGACTTGATATGTTCTAATTTTGTTGTCAAAAATACTATATAACTGTATCAGATACAATCGGATTAGCATAGAAGTACGACTTTAAAATATTAGTGTTCAGTTCCGATCATACATACACATAGTTAGTTGTTAAGTGCTTGTTTTAAAAAATGTGCATTGATATATTAAAGGTCTATCATGCAAACTTTTAAAGACACTAGCTTTTGTACATGTTGTAAGAAAATCAAATATGTTTTATGATGCCATCCGTTTAATACATTTTATGTAATATGGCTTTAACATGTTAGGCTTTTTTTTCTATAATCTAATAACGGTAAACAATTTACTTCTGTTACAAATGCTGTTAGTTGTACATCTACCGTGTCTCATAAAAAATATATGAAGGTAAAAACGAATCTAGAGAATAGATTACTAATGACGAATGTCAATTCAAAATGTAAACAAACAATTTGAGAAATGCGGAGCTTGTGTGTTTTAGGGTGTCTTTAATGACACCAGTCGTGTTCATGATGAACTACACAAAGATGTAGGTTATATATAATTAGGCAGTATTCCTAAGATACAAAAAAAAACCAAAAACATGGGGACGTTAAGGTTTGTCAATCTCCCTTGTCCACTTCTTCAGTCTTAAATATTTACCTGTTGTGTCATGTTCCTGGTTTAAAAGTTACCAGCTTTTACCCTACAGATTGTAATTTGGAATCATGTGACGGGTGAATGCATGCATACGAATATGATCTGATGAGTTAAGTAATTTACAGTTCGTTCTTATGTTGTGTTGTTACACTATTGTCCCGGGTTAGGGTAGGGTTGTGCGCCCGCAAACACGTTTAACTCGGCCACATTCTGTCTGTGTCTATCCCAAGTCAGGAGCCTGTAATTTAGTGATTATTCGATTGTTGCTGTATATCATATTTATTTTTCGTTTGTTTTTTTGTACATAAATCAGGCCGTTGGTTTTCTCATTTGAATTGTTTTACATTTTGTTATATCGGGATAGTTTATGTCTTGTTATGTGGTATTGGTTTCGTTCATTGTTAAATGCGGTATGGTGACCTATAGTTGCTAATATCTAAGACAGTTGGTCTCTGCTAGATAGTTGTTTCATTTGCAGTCATACCACATCTCGCTATTTTATATAGCAGGAGATATTTATCACGTCAACACATCTAGTCCACTACGGTTGAAAATTCATCTGTATAGTAATTAATTCACTAGTTAACGAATTTTAGTCTCAAATGGTCATTTTGATCTTAACATCATCTGAAAAGTCAGAGCCATGAATTATTCAGTCATGATCAGTCTTTCAATCAATTTTCAGTCTTATCCATTGCGGTAAATTTAGTACTGTTTAGACAATTCGCTTGTGGTTATTCTAGTACTGTTTATTAGCTTTTCAGACAATTAAGTAGGATATTCATGTGTTCAGGTAAAATAACAACTACTGAAAAGTCTGAACATAGTCTGGCCAGATCTTAATTGACTGTAAGCAAATAGTCTGAACATTTAAAATGACTTATTGATAGTAAGTTATTGTTCGGCCAATTAAGATCACTTTCGATTACAGGCTTTTGACTTTAGACATGCATATAAAGAATATATGCACTCATCATTCCCTAACCAGGGACGATGTTGTAACAAAAATTTGGTTTTACCTGTAAAAACATAAGCGCAAATGGGATATCACATCCAAATGCTTATGGGTTCTTTGAATACATAAGACACTTTAAGAAGTTTATAAATTGGCATGCTTTTCTCAGATTGTTTACGACATCTTTATACAAAATGCCTTGGATGTACTGACTGACATTTTTGTTCCGGAAAGCATGACTTATTTATACTTTGTAATAGACTTTTTGTCATGCTGTGGCATTTTAACGCTTACTACAGAAAAAACACAAAAGTAACTTACAATTTATATACATAAAACATTACATTACACATAATATAAAAATAAGGAAATTCGGTATGATTGCCAATGAGACAACTATCCACCAAAGTTCAATGGAGTGGATGTATAAGCCTATATAAATTGTACATAAGAAGTGACGTAAGGACACAATTTATACGTAATACAGATCGACTTGTCTTTCTAATGCAAAAATGGGGTAACATATGTGACAGTTTGTCTCTGGTGGAAAGGTGTCTCATTAGCAATCATACCTCATCTTCTTATTTTTAAAGTGAAACGAAATTCCATCTAAATGTAGCTTTATAGAAATGAAATGTGAAAAATAAAAGCAAAATTTAAGGCTACAACACAAAGTTGCGTAGGCTTAGCAAAAATATATTTCCACACGTCCGGAAAAAATTAAGTTTCGAAACCAAGGTTAAAAACTACAAAAATAACAAGAGATTGGTTTGCAAATAGGTTTGGCATGGCCATGTAGGATTCTGCGAGTATGATTTATGTAGTAACGGTATTTTTTACTATGGAAACCTGCTAAATATGGTAAAAGACATTCTTTAAAATTTGCAAACTGAGTAGGTGGTACAAAAAAAAATGTCACTTTAAATAGGTCAATTATCGATGTAACAATCATTCTATGTCTTGAAAATTAACAATTCGATTATCTTTATAATTATTATAAAATATTTATAAAGCGCGTTATCTAATAACCTCAGATCACCCCGTTTTTTTGGTGGGGTTTGTGTTGCTCAATCTTTAGCTATCAGATTCTATGTTGTGTTTTGTGAACTGTTGTTCATCTTTTGGTCGTTTTTTTTTGTTGTGATTTGTTTGCCATGGCATTGTCAGTTTGTTTTCGACATGTGAGTTTGAATATCCCTTTGGTGTATTTCGCTTCTCTTTTGCAGCCGCTTTGTCAAATCATCTTTCCCCGTAAGTTGCAGTGCGGAAACGCGGTGGTTGTATACACATAGTGTTCTCTGACCGCAGAGATCGTGATGGCTGATAGACATTGACAAGTTATCAAATCAGTGATGTCTAAAGTAAAATAACATAGTTTTGAAGAGAAACCCATCGATCTCGATGAGGATTAATCTACACAGGAAAAATCGAAATATATGTGTGACAGACCTTTGTTTCAAACGCATGGAATATGTACACTTTATATACGTTCCAACGGACGTTTTACGGACAAAAGACTTGATGACAAATACATACATTCAATTGATGTAAAAGATAAAAGTTGCACTCTAGAACCATGATACCATATGTAAAACATCCGCATTTTAACGTAGGTTTTTCATCCGTTGAAATAAACGTAAATAATACGTTTGACAAATATGAAACAGGTGTTGCTTTTTCACCAGTGCACCAATGGTGAGAACAATGATAATTAATATAGTGTTTGTTTTATTTCAAAAGTCCGGGATTTATCAATTCCCAAAGGATCGGACGTATTTATACCTGTATGTGATGTAAATAAATTTGCATATAATAATATACATGTATATGTAACATTCTTATGTTAGGTCGAGTGTTTTACGTAATTGTATCAGGTTTACATATTTTCATTAATAGTCATTTAACACAGTTAGATATATCTTTAGAAATATTAATTAAGAGTTATACTAAAGTATTTAGATTTCTTTGTTAGACTAGTGGGCCCTAATGATTTCCATATGGTGCCCTAGTAAATTTATGTAATGGAGCCCGGAGCACCCGGAACCCGGTCTCAATGCCCTATTGCCCGGTTGACATAGTATTCCATATTTGTATCCGGGCTTATAGGGCAAATAAGAGAGATATAAATGAGAGAAAGAGCTTGAGATAAGTGGAGAGAGAATTTACAGTGAGGGGAGGACAGTTACGTTTTTAGTAAAAGAAGAAAAACGTGTTGTTGAGCCTGAAGTTAGATGTACATTTTTATACTTGTTACTTTGTTATAGTCGTGTGCTTTTGATAATACAGTATAATGAACTTTTAATCGATTTTGGGTCTATTTTCTCTGACAAGGATTTGTTCAGACTACACCAGGGTCAATTTTATTTATGTGAACAGGCTTCCCTATATCACGTTACCAGTTGAATTAGGGTAAACCTGTAAAAGTGTATAATTGGCATCTGCCGTCTGTTTATGATTGAATGTCACGACCTGAAAGTGAGACACCCAACAACAATTCACAACAACACACCACACACGTTTTTTCGTCGCATGTAGTTATTAAACCAAGCTATGCATTGATTAGCAAACAAAGCGTTATTGAGGTTCTTTTCCTAGTACATGAGTTATGAGAAAAAAATATATACTTACACACAATTGAAGTAACGATGGATTTTGTAGTGTTTGGATGCTGTTACATTGGTGTATATCCTGCAACTTTCTTTTCAAAACTGTGAAACAAAATATTTTGGGAAATTGAGGAAGAATATATTTCCTGTGAAATAAATGACAGTGCAGTTGATATCAATTTGTAAATAAAACTAACAATGTACAATGGCACATAATTCATACAATGAATTAATTGAAACTAAATCCAACCAAGTCATTAAAAACATTATAATGTTAACATCAGCAAAAGCAGCAAATTTGAAATCAAAGCAATGTAAGCGCTATATAGGCAGTTAATCAAAAAATTGCCGCCAACTTAGACTACTGTAATACGTATTGCCGACAAACAAAATTCCTACGACTTTTGCCATTTGGGAAATGTAAACGACTTGTCTTTAGAAATTTTCGGCGATTAAATATTTCATACAATTGTTCTTTGACATCTTAGGCAAAAGTACATGGGGAAAAAAACTACATAAGGATTTCTATTGAGCACTATACTTCCTATGTGCAACTTCAAAACTTTTGGGTTGTTCGACGATCATTTAAGGTTTTTCTTGTCATATTTTTTGTATTCCAGAATTGATAGTATGAAAAAAGTGCCCAATTAGTTATTAATAACATATTAGCCAGCTAGATAATAACAACAGCACCTTTTTCGACATTAATGGGAAGAACACAAATCTAGGGTAGTAGCATAAGGCAGCTTAACTGCCTAATAATATTAGAAATAAAGAAAACTGTAAGAAGACCCATAAAGAAAGATATAATTACATGTCATATAAAACAAAGCATTAACAACCTTTCTCAAGGTTAAAAAGATTGTCAGAATTGTCAGAATAATAAATTAGTATGGATTCCTACAAACAAAACAAAATACAAACAATACGGTACAAACTATTAATAATAATATGCAAACAACATGTAATATAAAGTAGCAACTCACATGTTTTTTTATCTTCTTTTTTATTTTGTTATCACTGCTCTCTTCCAAATGCAAGGCTACCCCATTACATAAAGGTTAACTACAAACTTAATTAAGATGACAACTATCTTTGAACAGTGGCTAGCATATTTTTTATCTTATAAGATTGTTTCTGATTGACAGAATGGTTGCATCTTTGAATAAATACTAATTGGATTGCACTTAATTAACTGAAATAAAAAATTGCAAATAATGGAAACAATTATTTTACCAATAATACATTTAATTGTAACCATGATATCTTTTGTCGCCGAATAAAAAGTCCTTTATTACCGCATGGTTCGATTGATCGTAACAAAGTTAAACATAACATATGACCTACATTTGTATGCTGGCCAAACATCGCCTCATCATAAACTAGAAAAATCTGATGACAGGAAATCATCATATTTGGTCCAACATTTTACACTTCAAAAATATTGCATCAATAAATACAAACCCTCTCCAACAGTGTTAAAGAGAACACGTACTGTGTATTTCTTTATCGAGTAGAATTGACAAAGTTTCATATTCCTAATGTTGGCATTAAGTAAAGTGACCAAGTGTAGCTAAAATTTCAGCTTTGGCTGAACATTACGCCAACATAAGAGTTTGAAAGCATGAATTCGAATATTTTTATCAATGTTTGCCTAATACGCAACATTTCAATCTGACGTATAGTTAGAAATGTTAAATAAGATGAAATCGGATAATGTGAACCCAATTCTTAGAATAATTATTTGCTTTTGTCCAACATCGATCCAACATACATTGTCCCAAAGTTAGTTAAAGAAAGTGTTGCAACTACCGACGAATGGTTCTTGTTGCTAACAGTATTCCAACGTTGGTTCATTAATTAGTAGCCAACACGAGAAAAACATATGAACATAAGCCCAAAGTTAGTTAAAGAAAGTGTTGTAACCAAAAGAAAGGCGAAGAATACCAAAGTGTGAACATATATTTGTTCCGCATAATACTTGTTCCCCCTGGAACAAAGCTATGGATAATAAAAGTTCTTGGGAACAAACATTACATAATACTATTTTCACCTTCATAAGATATTTTCCTGGAACTAAAAAGTCATATGGTTTCATAATGATTGTTCTTTTAAAGAAAGAGTGGCAATTGGTTTTTTTTACACCTGATTACATCTTAATTAATGTTCACCTCACATGACATTTACCTGTACATATAGTACATACAAAGAATGGAGTCTGAGGAATACAACAAAAATTGTACATATTTAAACGATGGCTCTTATTCTAAACAAGGTAAGAATATATATTTTTAATATTTTATTACTGCATACTCCACTGTGACTTACTAAACTAAATGGTCCGTTAGTCCGTACCAATGAAGAAAGTTCAGCTTATACTTTAGTCAAGCATGAATTTAGCCACAAATTTCAGATGAAAATGCCTGTACTTTATTATTGGAAATTTACTTCCATACATTTGTAGCTAGAAATAATTTTGGATATTGTAGTATATATTCCTATAACTTTGATCATATAATAAATATTTCTAGAACTTTAATTATCTAATAACCATGATAACTATTCATGAAACATTTATGATATAGCCAATATTCCAATATGCCTGGAACTTTTATAATATAACAAATATTCCTAGAACTTTTAAATATAACAAATATTCCTGGAACTTTTTATAATACATGTATAACAAATTCTCCTGGAACTTTTATAATATAACAAATATTCATGGAACTTTTATCATATAAAACATTGTCCATAATATTTATTCCAAAGAACTTTTAGCATATAACAAAAGTTCCATTGGGAACTTTCCTTATGTAATATTTTATCCTTTGTGAAGGAAATTTTTTTATAGAATTGGATAAAATATTATATAAGGAAAGTTCACAACGGAACTTTTGTTTTATGCTAAAAGTTCTTCGGAACAAATATTATGGGGGAACTTATATTCTGTCACATTGGGACATTCAAACTCATAAGTCGAAAATAAACTCACAACCCAATGGCTAAAAAAGAAAAAGACAAACAGACAAACAACAGTACACAACACATAGAAAACCAAAGACTGCGCAACACGAATTAATCACACCAAAACCTGGGGGTGATCTCAGGTGCTCCGGAAGGGTAAACATGGTAAATATCGACGAATAGTTATTGTAACTAATTACAGTATGCCAACGTTGGTTCAATTATTAGTAGCCAACACGAGAAATAAATATGCATTTACAACAACAGTCTGACGTTGGTCCAACTTTGTGCAGTCAACACCAACGTATGCCAGACAGACAGACCAACATTGGCCCACTGTACACCTGTTGACCGGGATGGTTCTTCTTTGTTCCAGTGGTTTCTAGTTGAGTTTTTGTACCACTGATGTTATACTGATTAATTTCTCTTGACTGTGTGGTTGATTCTGTACAAATCTAGCAGCATTCTGCTGTATCTGTTTGATCTGGATTCTCTGTTTGTGTTCCAAATCGGTGTTTCGTTCACTTTAGGCCGGACTAGACATTGGTATGGTTTTTTTTTTTATTACCATGGGTGGACAATGTCTTAGGTTCCGCTTTAAGCTGACCCCCAATACACTTGCTTTCATGTCGATCCGACCCAAGTCGATCCGTCCCAAGTTGTTTCGGCCAATATTTAAAGTCGATCCGGCCCCAAATTAAAAGATGTTTACAACATGTACAATGGATAACATTTACATTTTTTTTACTTCTAGTCCATAAATATGAATAAGTTTATGATACGCTTGGAGCTTTCTTACACAGTGGGAAACCTGGTGACAAAATATTATCTCCCCTGTAAACACTGAACCTTAACCTGCACAGACAGACTTTTAAATTTTTATATTCACGAAAAAAACAGTATTTCTCAATTGAATATGATGTACATGCATGTGACATGAGCAGACCGGTGTACTCGATAACTTAGGTGTGAAAAAATAAGTATACTTTGGGAAATTGTAACATGCTAAGGACTTTGTGGAACACCGGCTCCGAAAATTGGTGACCCGAAAGATCTTTAGATTTTGTATGTAATGATTTTTTCCAATTTATTTTATCAATATGCAGCAAATATTAGCATTTTTTAAATTTCAGTTTCACAAGCTTCTAATGCAATTATCTCGATAAATACTGAACATAAAACATCGTGTATTTGCATGTATATTTCTAGTAACTTTTAAATGTACAATTATTATTTAGAAATAACTTTTGACCAGTATCGTCACCGGCATTGTTTTATTATTGACTTTCTCGACTCTATCATATAAAGAAGAGTAAATTTTCTTTTGTTTTCGTTCACTAGATTTCCCATTGTACAGATGTTGTCAATGTGCAGATAATATTTTAGGGTTTCACTGCATGATCTAATGTGTAGGCTTAGCCAAGGATTTGTATAGTCTCACTATGAAAGGTTAATCTTTTTTTAGTAAGACCCGTCACAACAAAGCTTGTGCTGTTTAACGCGATATCGCGTGATGGTGCTCTTTAGGAAAGGAGGAATATATACAAAACATTAAATAAACGTTTCCTTCTCCTGTCGTATGAATCCCTGTAAAAAGTAACAATGACGAACAAATATGCCGAAACCAGTATACTGGCTTTTTCACTTGGTTCAAGCACAGTATTTTTGAAATTTGTGTGTGTGTATATAATTGGATTTCAAAATATTTCCTTAACAACATGGTTGTTTGTCTGTTCCATTGTCGGCGCTCTGTTTATTACAGGACTGTATCTAACAGTAAAAGAAAAAAAATATTTTGAGGTGAATTTAGTTTAATATAAATAAAATATACGTATACGTTGACAACTATATCATGATTGATGCAAGGCATACAATACATAACCAAAGGAGTGGAAGCAAAATTGCAATAACCTTGTCCGTATGTTCAAAACATATTTCTGTCCATCTGGACCATCCTTGTGGAACAATTTGCCAATATCATTACGAAATATTACAAAGAGGGTGGTAAAGGGTTATTTTCGTGCAACGTGATCGCCGTTTTTTATTTCACATTCAACATGTTTTTACTTTTTTATTTGACGTTCAGTCGTGCAAGACAGGTGCCTCGTTCAACGTGTTCAGTTTATTTAATTTTACATGCATTGTGATTTTCAAATGCTTATTTTGCGTGCTCAGTATTTTTCAAATAAAAATCAAACACTTGGCAGGAATCGTCAAGAAAAAAATGGATTTAATTTTGTTTTTTGATAAAGCGGAAAGGCCTTTGATGTTGTTTCTTATCGATTTTGTATTTTGATAGTTAAGAAGATTGTTATATACTTTTTTAAAAAGCCGTAAACCATATATATCATGAATGTGTATACTAAATCAGGAATATCAAGTAACACAGAGAATTTATGCATACAAGAAGACAGTGACTCAGTCACAAAAGGTTCACATCAAAGTCTTTATTTTTCGTGCAACGTTCATGACAGAAATTATTTCACGTTCAACGTGAAATTATGTCATTTCACGTTTTTTCCGTGCAAGCACCCCCCCTTTACCACCCTCTACAAATGTTCATTCTTTCAAATGCAAATGAACAGATCATTTATTGAAATCAACCAAATAAAAAATATAAAATATCAATTATTTTTTTATCGTGATTATTTTTTCATTGATCATTATACTTGACTTTTATAGACATGGAAGATTAGTTATAGGGCTAACTGTGTAACCCTCTTAAAATGAAGTATTGTTGTTGTTGTTGTTGTCACACTTTTCTTAGCTCTACACTAATGGCAGTAATGGACAGAATGACTTCACAGCTTGATAGTGATGAGTGCTCTTTGTATGTGTCCCACAAATATTTCCTGTTGGTTGATACTTTCAATTTTTCAATTTGATGAACATGCTGCCGGAAAGACACATGTGTCCATAACGGCTGTGTAGGAGGGACCCATATGTTTAATTATGCAAGCTTCTAATCATTGCTGTATCTCTTTCATATAAGGTATAGAAGATTAAATAGTGTAATCTTTTTCTTCAGTGGGTTCCCAATGTAACGTTATTAGGGCATGATGTCATATACATATCAAATGACATCATTGTTGGGCATGTGACTTCAAAGTTGTTTAGCTGTCGTATTTTCTATCACACTAAATGCAACCATGTGAAATTAGCGGCAGCAAGAGGGCTAGTACATGTACATGTAATATATTGATGTCAAATATTTCTCCAATAATGATGATCAAAACAAGTAAGCATGACAATAATCTATACTTATAATCTATACCAGGGCTAATACAGTAACCACCATTTCTTAACACCTTTATAAGAAATTAAAACATTTCTCTGTGCAATGCAGTGAGTCAGGATGAATTTTTTGTCAATTTCAATAAGATTTCTGATTTCCCATCAGTAATTACATTTTTATTGTCATATTAACATAATTAGTTTGTGACAAAAACAAAATTATTATTATCAATATAGCAAAGAAATAACAATTTTATAACCAATAATTATTATAGTACATTGTACTTAATCTATGCTAACACAATTCATTTTATGTAACAAAAGGAGAATGTCTCTTCCACCTCCATAATCATGATAATTAGTATCTATGATTATTAATTTTTGATTGAAATGATTTTTTAATTCAAGATATCTATTTTGTTTGCATGTACATGTAGTATTTAATAAATATGGTAATACAAAATAAAAACCAGTACATGAAATAGTTTACAAAGACTATTTAACCTTTTGGGTATTAGCTGAATTGTCTCTGAAAGACCCAGGATGAGGGTCGAATGGGGGTACTTTCATGACGAATGATGGGAAAAAAATCTTGCCAACTGACGTTAACGATAATTTTTGGTGCATGACGATAAATTGTACATTTTCTTTATGACGATAAAAAAATCAACTGATTTTGACGAATCAGGCTAAATTCTTTCCAAAAATAATGGTAACTCATAATTATTTGAGACCTTGAGTTTGTCTCCTGACTGTAAAGGGCATTCCTATAGCTACCCTCCAGGTTCTGTTTCCAAATAAACTTCTGATATCATGTAACAATCATTTACTAATTATGATGTCAAATGTTTTAAATTGTGTTGCAATTTTTTATGGGAACTTGTGTGGTTGTAAGTAATGGCTAACAAATGTGCATACAAGTGTAAATATGTCTAGTCATGATGTCATAATAAATTTAGTTGTGACCTCATGGAAAATTTAAACTCTCCTAACACAATCATGACAATGATAACAGTCTTAAGTGTTTTCATATAATAGTAATAAAATTTGGTAATTTGTTTTGAACTCATTTTTTTTATCCGCAAATGTAGAACATATGCATATATATGAAAGTATGAATTAAAAATTTTACCACAATGTTTTACTGTATGAACATACCCTCTAATGTATATATTTATTTGGTACAATGTACTTGCATGTGCTTAAAATTTCCAACTCAGAAACACGACATATTATAATTCAAAACATGTCATTTTTTACCTTTCTTTTGTAGAAATTAATTTTATGCTACATTGTATCTTCACAATGTTCACATGTTTTTCAACAGAAAAAGCTTGAAATAAAATAAAAACACACATTTTAGGTGAATCCCATCATATACATAGAATAATAAAATATCTCCAACCATATATGTTGATTATTTTTATGCCCCCGCCGAAGCGGAGGGGGCATTAAGTTTTACCCTTGTCCGTCTGTCCGTACGTACCAAAATTGGTTTCCGTTCTCTAACTTAAGTTTGCCTCAACCAAATGTTATCAAACTTATACACAATGCTTATTACCACAAAACACAGATCAAGTTTGAATTTTGGTGGCGTCACTTTAACCGTTCTAGAGTTATGCCCCTTTACAAATGGAAAAATTGCTAAATTTTTCATTTTTTTTCTAAAAATATCAATGATGTCATTGTTCAAGTAATTTTTTAAATTGGAGTTATCTTCCTTTGTCCATGATTATAGTTGAATCAACTAAAATCAATGCTTTATACAATGCAATGTTTAATTTTGCCTTCCACTGATAAAACACAGATCAAGTTGAATTTGGGTAGTGTCACTTTAACCATTATTGAGTTATGCCCCTTTATAAATCGAAAAATTGCAAAATTTTTAGTTTCCGTTCTGTAACTTAAGGTTGCCCCAACCAAACATGAAACCTATACACAATACTTATTACCACAAAACTAAGATCAAGTACAAATTTGGGTAGCATCACTTTTATTGTTCTTGAGTTACAAATGTATGTCCCTTTTTAATGTTGTATGCAAGCGGGGGCATCATCTGTGTCCATGGGGACACATTCTCCATTTATTTCTAAAGTAGGTTACACTGAAACATTTTGAAAGCTTCATTGTAAAGTTTTGTTACATTTTAATTAATCATGTTAATTGTCAAGTTCTCACAAGTACACGCTACATATACTGCATAAATTTTACTTCTAAAACACATTGTCTACAAAATTTCTAGCAGGAAAAAGCAGGTACTGTGAAATGTCCCAACAATTACTTAATGTTCTTTGAAGATTTCAATCCAACTTTTTCAGTTGAGAATGTACATGATGTAGGAACATTGATAAAGAACACGTAGATTCGCAAAAAGTTCTGCACACAAAAAATGTTAATTAATTTTTAATCCAAGCCAAGATGACTAAACTTGGTTATAAATAAGTGATATGTATTCTACTTTTAGGTTGCAATAAGAGGTGGAGCACTTGGGTTTGCCTTCGGAATAGGTTTTCATCTGACATCAAGTGAGACATTCATGTTTTTTGGATATTATTTTATGGCACTGACATTTTTCCATTTCTCAGAATATTTTACGACAGCAGTAGCTAATCCAAAGTCACTTACATTAGCCTCGTTCTTGTTGGACCATAGCAGAGAATACACTATGGCAGCTGTTGCTAGTTGGGTTGAGTTTATGATTGAACTGTATTTTTTTCCAGGTAAATGAGATATTTTTACTTATTAATCTTCAGACAGCTAGTGCTATGAGATTTTGAAACCTTAATTGTGTTAATACTCATGACCTCACCTTGAAAGACATGCAAGATGGCAGATTTTTTATGGTTGAAATTTTATTGAGGTGTAAAAGCCTTGACTGAAGCACATTTTGTATGAAGTGCAGAAGTGCTTAATACTAAAAATGTGTACACGATCAATGCTTTTACAACCCTATAAAATTATAAAAAGAAGCATTCAATTCTAATATAATTACATTCCTAGAAAAATCTTATGACACAACCATGAAATTAAGAATTATATCAAGCTTTATCGTTTGTTTTCCTATGCATTGTTTTAACATTGTCACAAATAGCACACACAGTGAAAGCTGTTGTATTTTATATGGAAATAAAATATAATATTGGAGTGCCTTGCAATTGTTGTCAGGCAATCAAAATTTCAGATTCTAATGAAACATACAAGAATTATATGTAATTATTAAATTATGCAGGATTTTACCATGAAATTATTTCAATGAATTATGAACAATTTTACCATTTAAATAAATGCTTACATGCATATTTGATAGTTTCAAAAGAAATGAGATGAAATTGGGAGAAGTTTTGGTATAAGGTAGTTTTTCATGACGTTGTGGTCACATCAACTTGAAACTTTAATAGTAAACATGTTCATTATGGGGTTTTTGTTGAGCCTGCGACTTTTGTGGCAGAAAGCTCAACATGGGGATAGTGATCCGGCGGCAGCGGCTTTAGCTAACTTCTTAAAAGCTTTATATTTTAGAAGCTAGAAGACCTGGATGCTTCATACTTTGTATATAGATGCCTTATGTTATGAAGTTTCTGTCTGTCATATGTCCAATGTCCTTGACCTCATTTTCATGGTTCAGCGACTACTTGAAAAAAAAGTCAACATTTTTTGTAATGTTAATTTCTTTCTTATTATGAGTAATAGGATAACTATATTTAGTATGTGCGTACCTTGCAAGGTCCTCATGTCCGTCAGACAATTTTTATTTGACCTTGACCTCATTTCATGGATCAGTGAACAAGGTTAAGTTTTCGTGGTCAAATCTATACATCAGATACTATAAGCAGTAGGTCTACTATATTTGGTATATGGAATGATTGTAAGGTGTACATGTCCAACTGGTAGGTGTCATCTGACCTTGACCTCATTTTCATGGTTCAGTGGTCAAAGTTAAGTTTTTGAGTTTTGGTCTTTTTTTCTAATACTATATGCAATAGGTCAACTATATTTGGTCACGTGTATGGAAATATTTTATGATGTACATATCAGTCTCGCAGGTTTTATTTGACCTTGACCTCATTTTCACGGTTCATTTCTCGAGTGTTAAGTTTTTGTGTTTTGGTCTGTTTTTCTTCAACTATAAGCAATAGATCAACTATATTTGTTGTATGGAAGGATTGTAAGGTGTATATGTCTGTCTGGTAGGTATCATCTGACCATGACCTCATTTTCATGGTTCATTGGTCTATGTTAAGTTTTCATGGTTAAGTTTGTTTCTTAGATACTATAAGCAATAGGTCAACTATATTTAATGCATAAATTGATTGTAAGGTGTACATGTCTGTCTGGCATGGTTCATCTGACCTTGACCTCATTTTCATGGTTCATTGGTCAATGTTAAGTTTTCTTGGTTAAGACTGTTTCTTAGAAACTATAAGCAATAGGTCAACTATGTTTGGTTTATTGAATGATTGTAAGGTGTACATGTATTTCTCGTTTGGTTTATCTGACCATGACCTCATTTTCTTGGATCATGTTAAGTTTATGTGTTACTTGTATTAAAGCTTTATATTTAGGACTATCAACATACAATCAATGGTTAGTAAAGAAGGCAGGACATTTCAACGTGTGCACTCTTGTTAAAATATATACCAAATTATGAGATAATGAGAGCAAGCATAGTGACCTATGGACACACTCTTATTTTTATCACTCTGACATTACCCTTTCAAATGCAGTAAAATGCATATATATATATGTCTCACACAAAGAGATTAAGGTACGTAAATGTAAAATGTCTGAATCAATGTTATTGAGAGTGAGCAAACAATGAGCATAGGAGTGAGAGATAAATTCACTTTTTTTAAGATTTTAAAAAAGATGGTAGAATTTTTTGTAGATTCTCTCTAGTTTTTCCCACTTTTTATTCTTTTCTATATAAAGACCAAAGGACAAAAATGTGAACAATTACAGGTCACCATATATATATGTTTGGCAGTTAACAATAAGTAAACCCATACCATATAGTAAGCTATAAAAATCCTATTGGTGACAACATATGGAACAATTCAAAAGAGAAAATTAATTGCGTGCTTTATACTACAACAATATAAGAAAACCAATTATTGTAATAAAAAAAGCTACCAATGACAACAGCTGGACTTCATACTCCTGACTAAGGCTGCATGACTTGGGGGACAGGCACATAAAGAATGATGTGGGTTAAACATGTTTATGAGTGTTCAACCCTTTCCCTAACCTGGAACAGAGCTTATTGGTGCCTGTCTATCTAGTTATTTGAATTATTCTAGAAGACTATGAATAAGAATAAGAATAAGAATTTTATTAGTTTAAAATCCAAACAATAGGATTGTTACTAAATAAACAAACCAATACAAAACCAAAACAAAACAAACAAACAGACAGACAGACAGGCATATTAATGACAAAACGATAGACATCAAACAATATAAACATGTAGCATTGAAAAAAAAAAAAAAAAAATAAAGATTATTAATATTAAGTATTATACTATTTTTGACAGCATGCCTCCTCTATAAAATTATCAATTGAAATATTATGATTATATCTAACATTATAAGTTATGCGAAATTTCAGATTGCATTTTGATTTAGGACTATGATAGACTAAACAAGAATCAGTAGATTAATTGGGTATTAAAATACAGGGAAACACTTAAAAGGGAAAGTTTGACATACATGGAAGCATGTAAACAAGATTAAGATTAGTAATAATCAATGAATGATAGAGTCATATAGCTTTCTGATACAAATATGCATAACAAAAACATTGTGTCCTCTATTTTTATTTTCAGGTTTGAAGCATATCCATTTAATAAGCATAATAGGTTTAATGTTAGTGGTATTCGGTGAAATAGTACGTAAAGGAAGTATGTTCACAGCCAAATCAAATTTTAATCATTACGTACAGTATGTAAGGAGACCAGGGCATGAGTTAGTTACTAATGGTGTGTACTCATGGTGTAGACATCCATCCTATGTAGGCTGGTTTTATTGGAGTATAGGCACACAGGTTAGTACAGTACTTAAGAAGACCAGTGCATGAGGTAGTTACTAATGGTGTGTATTAATGGTGTAGACATCTGTTCTGTGTGGGCTGTATAGGTTCACAGGTGAGTACAGTATGTAAGGAAACCAGTGCATGAGGTAGTTACTAATGGTGTGTACTCATGGTGTAGACATCCATCCTATGTAGGCTGGTTTTATTGGAGTATAGTAACACAGGTTAATAAAGTATGTAAGAATACCAGTGCATGGGGTAGTTACTAATGGTGTACATGTGTACTCATGGTGTAGACATCCATCCTATGTAAGCTGGTTTTATGGGAGTGTAGGCACTCGGGTGAGCAATAAAAAGAAAAATATACTTGTTGAATCAGATTTTATATTTTTGAACTTACAGTATGGAACCTACATTGTATTCAAAATTTTATGCACATTTTTGATGATTTTTGAAACGCCATTATTTTGCATACAGTTACAGAAATTGTGCAATGCATCTTATCGTCATGTAAATATTAAAAGCCTGAATGATTGTATAGTTGTGAATGAAAATTATAAAAACAGATGAAGTGTGAATTGAAATTTTCACCATATAAACTGAAATTATACTTTATAGTACAGCCCGAAGAATGCCCTCAGATTTGAGGGAATCTCAAATTTCACAACTGATTAGCTTCACATTTTGAAGTCCTTGTAATTAATGTAATTTATAGATCACTCTTCCCAATAAACTGACCACAGATGTTATACATAGATTATCTGATAAGAAAGTCAACATTTTGGCATTTTCTGCCTTCACTTGAAATATATCTACTACATGTAACATTATCTATGTATGAATATTCTTCTTAAGATTTTTACAATCTAGTCAGTGTTTTTTGTTTAATCGTGTGCAGATACAGTTATTGGAATATAAAATAAAGGTATGTATATTATTTTTATTTATTTTCATTTTTCTAATTAAAAATAAAAGGATAATTTGTTTTCATTTTGAAGGTTTATTTTTATTAGAAATGAATATTCTTTGTAATTTCACATTTATTTTGATAAAGTGTCATTTAATGATATAAGGATATTTTCTAAACATTTAAAGGGAATTCTTAATAAAATATTCATGAAGCAAATACACTTTGGGATAAGAGCCCCCTTTTTATTTTTGTGTAAAATTTTCATTTGAAAACATTCTTTCACATTTCAAATTAATTTCTCTTATTTTAAGTGTTTGATCTCACTCTTTTCAATGCGATATAACAATAAAAGTTGTTTATATACATATTGCCCGGGCCTTAATTCAGTCGAAAAAAAGGGGGAGGGTTCACTCCACACTTGAATGTAAATAGAAGTAGGTAATATTTGAACATTATATACTCAAAAAATGCAAAATGTGTCTCAATATATTGATGTATCTATGCACATAGTATATTCTTATAAAATATTCCAATTTTTTAGGACAACATGTTTTTAATGAATTGAAGTATGGACAGACAGAGGAAAAGAAAATGAATAAACAAAGGTAGGTAGTCATATGATTTTTTTTATATCAGAATTACTATTTTAGAACATGCTGATTGCGTTTAAATACTATTACAAACTCCCGAAATGAGAAATACAAAACTATGCAGTTTTCACACAGCATAGATAAAATATATCTTTTTGAATCCAGGGAAAGTATAAAACTTTTATTGTTCTTTTTCTGATTCTTGAGTTACAGCTCAAACAACCGATTGAACCGCATCATATTCATAATTCATAGAAATGAAATTTATCATATCATTCGCTAAACAACTCAATAAACTGCCATAACATCAGATAAAAAATGTAATGCAATATTTATTTATTTTTGAAATATTTGTCACTGGACAATTAGAATTATCTATTGAATTATTTAAATTCATTGTAGATGTTTTTGAAGACCATTCCACATTTTAAAGATTTAGTCTTTATAAAGGAAAATAATGAGATTCTCCTTCCATTAGTGGATTTTGTTAAATTCCTTAAAGAAAATAGAAAGCCAGATGACACACCATCAAGGACCGACAACATTCAGAGAGATTTTGACAAAAAAAGAGGAATACGGAAGCTAGGCGATAAAGTGTACATCACATTAGAAATTCTTATTTCATATATCATATCAAAAACGACAAGTATTGCTATATGTAAAGATATATATAAAGATATTTTGAAATTGATCATTGCTGAAAAAAATTACTCAGATGATATATACACCAAGAAACTTTATGATGACATAGCTGTTTTTTCATCATGCAATAAGCACATCAATGCAACTGAAATTTTGGAATTCAATGAAAGTCAAATCTACACTTTAAATAGTAATTACAAGCACTTCTTTACCGATACTGAATGGAAATTTATTTGTCAGTTTGAATACCATTTTCAACAACAATATCCAGATTTTGCAGACTACTCTGAAACACTTACACGAAAGTTTAACTTTTTCGCTGAAATCAAAAAGGCATATGAAATTGGAAGCCAATTATCAAAATATACCAAAGAGTATACTTTACGAAGCCAGAGAAGACGGGAATTTTCGGACATCTTGTACGATGACAGTTTTGTCGTCAATGAAACTTTTCATATATACACTGCATTAAAATCCTGCATTCTTAATGCAGTGTCAGGATTCTTTAATAATATTGAAGAAATAGTGTGTGTGGAATGTAGTCCTGAAAGCTGTGCTCATGAATTTACAGGAGTCCATATTTATATTGAACTTTCAAAGCTTGAAAATACAGACGAGGAACTCCGTGATTTGTCTTTGGTGATATGTAATACCGTTACCAGAATACATGGAATCAGAGTTCCTTATGTTATATTTTTTAAACCAGGGTTATTCAAAGACTATAAATGCAAAAACTGTGAGCCTCAAAACTTGCATAAGTTCCACATGCGTGATGATTTTCATTTGCAGAAATTAGTAGACAAGACAGTGCTAGTTTATAGGACAATATTTGATGACATTGATCCAGAGACAGTTTTTGAGACTGTAACTTATGGACATGAAAGTTTCTGTAAGATCTGTGCCCAAACAGTATCTCAAGAAAATTTACAATTTAAGCCATTAGACTGGAGAAACTTCAATTTAATACAAGAATGGCATTTGGAAGTACCACTTCAACTGCAAACATTACTAGCAAATTTATTCATTAATACAGACAGTATTAAAAGATCCGAGAACCCACAGGCATTGACTAGAGCAAAACTAACACGGCTGTATTCTTTGACAGATTCTGCACTCAACTTGCTGAACAGAAACCATAGTGGCATTATTCAACTATTAAATACAGAAGATCTTATTATTAACTACCACTCACTTTCTTCAGTATTCGGAATTACATCTCAGGCTGGTGTTTCAAGAAGTCAAAAATGGGCAGAAAATTGGTTACAGCATCAAACAGACACAGACAAATTGTATTATGAGACATATTTAAAGAAATATCCGTTGGAATACAAAACTGCCAATGAGGAAAATACAGCTATGAGGCATGTAAGCATGAGGGACTGTATAGTAATATTTTACCTTGACAATCTAGTGCGCCTCAGAGTCCATGCTGATCCAGACCCAGGGCTTAATCGGACCTCTCAAATATGTACTTTACCTATGACTCTCAAAGGTTTACCAAGAGACTCGTACCTCACAAACCTTTGGCACAGTATAGATTGTTCAGAGGAAACATGTACATGCTACGACAGGATCAGTCTTGAAAAAGAAGACCATAATCTTCTTTTTGAACTAACAAAAACAGAATCAGAGGCTAAATACTTATTTGAACACGAGATGTATTGGGGATACTTGAATAACATTAAAAATAGTGAGGAACACTTTTGGAAAATCTTATCAAAACAAGATGCACCAAGCAGTACAGAAACATTTGGCAGTACAGATTTAGCTGATTTGAATGGCGTGTCAGCATTGGGTGATATTGACACTTTGAACAACACTCTCCAGTCATTATCTATGTATGAACCAGGTGAACATTCAGAGTATGAACAAACAGAAAGTGATGGGGAAGATTCTCTGGAAGAAAATATAGATGTGCTTGACTTAGAAAGCATTGAATTAGAGGAAGATTTCATGGATGGCATCGAAAGACTGGACCTTTCAGTAGATGATATGATTGAAGAAACAACTACCCCATCAGTAGATGACATAAATGAAGATAGAACTAACCCATTAAATGCAGATAGAACTACCACATCATTAGATGGTATGAATGAGGATACAACTACCCCCTTAAAATTACATACATCTGCTAACAAGCATAGCTATGCTAATGGAGACATAGAAAGTAGTCAAAGTGAATACAATCATATCTCACCTGTCACAAAAGCTCATCTCCAAAGATTTAAAGTGCCAGATCTTTTGTGTAGACACCCAAAACCAGCTTGTGGAAGGGATGATGACATTAACAACTTGAAGGATATTTTACATGACATTCTCATCAAACTTGGTAGAAACGACACAAACAAATATAAAGACAGAATTTTATTTGCACCAGACCATAAGATTTCAAAAAATTTAATTGCTCTTGTTCAAAAAGATAGTCAATGCAGTCAACTTCTTCCAGAATTTCCTATCTTGCACTTGAAAAAATCTAAGATAACAAATTTATTCTCAGCATACAAGGAATGTGGCCTAATGCATCTTTTAAAGTACATGAAAGACACGGAACAAGACAAAGATTGGATGGACCTTGTGACGATATCAAATATTGAAACAGCTGCTAAAAATGTGAAAAGAATAGCAATAGCTCTTCACTTATCGTTCACCAAAGCGTTCTTCAAAACCTTGTCTGAGGATGAAAAACACCAGTATACAAATGATATGCAACATAAAGACGATAAACTGCTAAGGCACAAGTGGGATACAGCATTTACTGAATTTATTGACAAAGGTCTAAAGCAGAATGGCACCTTTGCATTACATTTTGATATGATGCAGCACTGTGATGAAATTGTTGGTATATCTATTGCAGAGAGACTTGGAGGACCTGATGGATATAATCTTATGCTGGCATGTGTTAAGACATCATTACCATTTGCTTTTCTAAATGGCGCTACATCGTATGCTTCGTTTTGTGTTGATCTGTTGTACTGCCATTATACTGCAGGTGTATTTCATAAATGTATGAAAGAATCTCTGTTTTCAACACCCCACAAACACAGTAGTGTAAACTTCGCACTAGACACTCAAAGGGAAATGGACCACTTAGATGCTAAAAAAGGATTCCGACCAAGAGCAACAATAGACTCAGTATTGCCTAGAATGTCAACTGTGGACAGACAGAATGAGGTGCAAAATATTAGAAGGTTAATGAAGGACACAGATCTGGAGACATCTCATTTGGAAAAATCAAGTGAAGACACAACTAAATTAAATGAAGATCACTCCAAGTTTGACATTACAGAAAAAGGATTAAAATTCATATTACCAGTAGCAGAATTGGTCCAAAGGGTAGGTGCATTGAGTTTGGAAGAAGATCCATATCCTAGAAATGTATACGAGTCCAACAAATCAATCTTGTCTGAGTCTATTCTTGACAAAGAATCGTACCAGATAGGATGGTTCCTAGTATACAGGTATGCTTGTAAGCAGAAACTTTTTAAACTGGATTCTGATGATATACCTGCAATTGAGTCAATAAAAGGTTCAAAGCCCCTTCTACAACGTTTGAAAGCATCAAAGGGTGTGACAATGAAAAGATCCACAGTAAAACCCACTATGGCAAAAACAGACAAAGAAAAGAAAGAGATGAAAAGAAAGACTCTGGTGAAGAGAGAACACAAAATTACAGACTGCTTCAGTTCAGAAATGAATACATGCCAGGCTCTTGTGAAACCAGATGGAACAAAAGCATCAATTCAAAAATCCTTAGGAATAAAGCGGGCATTGTATAAAACCCTATCATACTGCTTTCCCTTTACAGACAGCTCTAAAATTGAAGACCTACTTGAAAAACATGGATACATTTACAGAGACCTCAAGGATTTTCCAACTGAAGAAAGGCACACAATTAGGTATGCAACAGTCGAATTTGCAGGAATAAAATTCAAAACCAAAGCTTCAACAGGAGATGAATACCTGGAAAACATCAATAACGTTGTTATTAATAGCCTTTTTAATAACAAACTGTTCCCAAATTTGCAGCATATTGTTATCTGTGAGGAAAAGTACAGCTTCACTCCAGATGATTTCAAAGCAGCCACAAGACAAAAGCGACAGAAGTCAATGCCATTCTCAATATCCCATTTGAAAATAGGAGATGAAATCATGTCATCTGAAAAGTTATCAAAGTCTGCAGTTTTAAACACGGAACTTGGAAAAAGGATGATAAGTAACTATCTTGCACGTAACATCAGCAAGCTAAAAATAAAACGCAATCTGACACTGGATGTGGATAGTGAATTGGTTTTAAGTAAGTGTGAATGTATGTCAACTGATGAAGGCTTATGTCCGCATATAAGGTACACTACACCAGTCAGAGCAACTTTTACAAATGAGGGGTACCAAAATACCACACTTTTGAAAGAAATCAAACAAATGAAAGGTGAAGCAGAAATGTCGCAAGTAGACTGGCTGAGTAATATTAAAGATGAGTTAAAGGAAGGTGAATCTGTAGTTAGTATTGTCACATCTGCAGATATTGATAGTATCGTTATTCATCTATTTGCTCTATCAATTCACTGGCCACGTACAACATCAGGAAGTTTCAAAAATACCGTATATGTGATGCTTCAGAAACCAAAGTCAGAGGTTTTTAACATTACTTCAATTATAGAAGTATTAGAACATCGTTTTGTGAAAGGAATTGGAAGGAACATAGCCATTGCATGTTGTATTGGAGGAAATGATTATATTCCCAAATTTCATGGATTTTCCCACGAAAAATGGATTACCGCAATACTAGATGAAAATTCTATCAACAGATTAGTCACTTTTGATGTTTCAAATGATAATGTCATCACTGGAATTTTGGATGAGGAGACATTTCTAGATACCGTTAAAAGAATGTACTGTCCAGCTTCAGTGAATGCTAACTCTGCAACTCTAGAACAAGTCCGCCAGCTCTCTATTAAATACCCAGATAAACCATTTCGACCACTTGTGTCTTGGATGCCTCCAAAAAGTGCACTACTTCAATTTATTAAATTAATCAACTGCCAAATACAGTATTTACTGACAGCATGGAAGCATGATGCCGTTTTGCCAAATTTCATCGGATCAGGATGCTTAATGAAAGATTCAGAAGGCAATATTCAATATAATTTTGGATCAGATATACGTATTGGAGCTAGAGAGGACGCACTAACATTACCTGAAGATGATATAAGGATACTGTATTCCAAAAAAGGAAAGAAGAAAAAACGGCAACGCTCAGCTAATAACACCCCAACAAAAGACAAGAAAGGAAAAAGAAAAGCTGTGATGTCTACCCCAATGTAAGTACAAACCTTTTCTTTATTTAGTTGAAAAAATTAAATATTTTCATATTAAATACAAAATTATGTGGTATGATTGACATTGCGACAACTCTCCATCCAAGACTTAAAAGCAGTAAAAATAAGGCAATTATATGTTACAGTACGGCCTTCAACGTGGAGCCTTGACTCTCACCACACAGTAAATATAAATGGCTACTGTGTAACAGTTCAGACAGGACACAAACTAACAGCCATATTCAAATATAAAAACAATAATGTATTGTCTGTATTAAGTATGAAATATTTGCCACTAGACATTCAATATTTGTATTTTGGTAAGCTCTTCAATAAACCAACAGCCATATTCAAATATAAAAACAATAACGTTTTGTCTGTATTAAGTATGAAATATTTGCCACTAGACATTCAATATTTGTATTTTGGTAAGCTCTTCAATAGAAAAAAATTTAAGGTTAGCAACTTTTTAGAAAATGGGCAAATTGATACACCAAACATATCTAATACAGTGTTTTTAAATAAAACTAACAAGTTAAATAATACAAACAAAGATTAAACATGTATTTATATATTCTAAAATGTCACACACAATTGAATAATATTATGGTTAAAAGTTTGAGGGACGTTAACATGAATATAAATGTAAAAAAATTTGCAGTAATTAATGATCGCATTATGTTTTTCAAAATATTAGGTGAAATAATGTTTGCTTTGTGTTAATTTCTAAAACTTTACTGATAAGAAATACTTCTTTGTATTCCAGCAAAATGAAGAACAAACAGGATGGAGCAAACTAGTCAAGTCTACAATGTATCAACCACAAAACTTTAGAAATTGAACTTTATTATTTTTTTGTGATATATATTGATGCTTTTTATGTCTATAGTCAAATTACATTGCCAGGTTTTATTAAAACATATCAAATTTACTAAATGAGCAAGTTTATAATTTTTATTCATAACATTTCCAAATTATCTGCAGAAATCTTTTTTTTATTAATATGCAAAAAAAAAAAATTATATTTTTTAATTGAATTTCGGATGAAAACATTGCAAAAATGTGAAGAAAAAAAATAGACAACACTTTGTCTATGAGAATATTTTGTAGATAAGAATATACAATGTATTTAGTGTAGATGATATGGAAATTAAATAATCTTGACCAGCTAACCATCTGTGTTTATTTGATAAGATCAGTGGACACCAACTGTGAGAGAAGCACTTAACCTAATCATTTAATTGCTTGTATAAACAATCAATTACATGGTTTCAAAGCTGAATATCAGGAAAAATCCGGGCTGTTCTATAAAGTAATTAATGAATGGTTCTCGTCTGTTCACTTTTATGTAAAATAATGGCAAATTTAATAGTGTTTCATGGATTGTAGAACAGCCAAAACAAAATAACATATTAAACGGTTTTAAACCTAATAAAAATTACAATATTTTTATATTTTCAGCTAATTTTATGTAACCCTCTGTGTTTGGTGGCCTATACAGTTGTTTCATGGAAATTCTTTAATGAGAGAATTCAAGAAGAAGAGATCTACTTATTGAACTTTTTCGGAGAAGATTATGTAGACTACAAGAAGAATGTAAGAACTGGTTTACCATTTATTACTGGTTACCAAGGGCATTACTCATAGAGCATTGTAGAAGTAGATGTTACAAAGTAATTTGTACTGTTTGTTGTGATGGGTATTTTTAAAGCTTTATTATATGACAATCTAAACAGATAAGATAAAACAAACATGAGGTCATATACATGTAACAATCAATCTAAGGTCAATAAACTGCTTCGCTGAGCGCAGCTGGATACGCCCGCAGAGGTCCAACCCTGAACAGTTGGGGCAAAAATGGACACAATATTCAAGCTTGATACAGGTCTGAATTTGGATTGTAATTAAATATTTGACATAAAGGTTTCTGAATAAATGTAGTCAAAGAACTTGAAATTGGTTATATGAATTGAATTTATATTCAATTAAAGATTTCTTGCTGTTGTGCAATACACTATGCTGTTGCGCAAAACTTAGTAAATCTGTTGTCAGACTATAAACAAATAAATTTAATAAAATTCTAAAGGGAGCTTACATCAATAGATATAATCAATTCACCAAAGTTTCATAAGAATTGTTGAAACTATTTTTGAGTTATTGTCTGAAAACTGGAAAATCCTCCCTTTCTTAATGAATAAAACCCCACAACTCGGAAATGTAATATCTAAAATTAATAAAATTCTAAAGGGAGCTTACATCAATAGATATCAACAATTCATCAAAGTTTCATAAGAACTGCTGAAAGCATTTTTGAGTTATTGTCCGAAAACTTGAAAATCCCCCCTTTTTTTATGAACAAGACCCCGTAACTTGGAAACGTAAAATCTAAAATTTATAAAAATCAAAAGGGAGCTCATGTCAACAGATATAAACAATTAACCAAAATTTCTTGCAAGTTGGTGAAAGCATTCTTGAGTTATTGTCCGAAAACTGGAAAATCCCCCTTTTTTTAATGAATAAAACCCCATAACTCGGAAACATAAAATCTAAAATTTATAAAAAACAAAAGGGAGCTCACGTCAATAGATATAAACAATTCACCAAAGTTTTATGCAAACTGGTTAAAGCTTTTTTGAGTTAATGTCCGACATGTTGACGACGGACGAAGGGACAGACGGACGGACGGATGGACAGACGGACGGACAGACGGACAACGGTATACCATAATACGTCCCGTAAACGGGCGTATAAAAATGAAGTTCTTCATCAGGAGATTTTATTGCTTTTAACAAAGAGTATATAATTTTAGTATGTTGAAAATGGAAAATGTGATGGTTGGAAATATTGCTTTACTTTGGATGGAGGCAGCTGTTTGTGTTTAGACTTCAGACTAACTTTTCAGTAAAACAGTTTGCTTTAGACCTATTTCTTGAAACAAATAACTTTGTATGTTACACATAATTATATCTTTATACCCCTTTCCTCAACCTCTCTATGGAACTGATTTCCAAAATCAGTTAACAATTTTGATGAACTTTGAAGTAAGTCATGAATTTTGAAAAGGAATTAGCTAATTTCTCAAATTTTCACTATCAAATGAACCATAAAAATCAAATGTAGGCTATTAAGACCAGAAGGAATAAGTTACTGAATTATTTTTTTGGAAGTTCACTTCAGGCCAAACATTTCAAATTCCAAAAACAAATGCAAAACAACTGATATATATATTTTGTAACGGATGTCTAGAGCCTAATTTCAAATTTAAATACTCTTTGATGTCTTTTCCATTTCACATGCTGATAGATTACTGTTTCATTGATTAATACCTCAGATCATAACTTTAGATTTACTTAAAAAACTAATTAGGTCTCAGGTTAAGTTTTCACAGGAAATTTGAAAATTATATTAGTATTACAAAATGTACATAATGACCTGTTACATGTAGTATTATAAATAGTATATTAACTGACAAAAAACAATTGATTTACTTTAAAATTGCCTTGATTATCCTTTCTGGATATGTTTTTTCCCTCAGAAATGTCAGTCTAAAACTAGTTTTTGAATAGTGGTAATTACATATACAGTTTGAGAAATATCTGATAAACCTTGCCATATGTCCCCATTTATACAAGGGTTCATTTTATGTGGAAAAGATTATATGGCCATTTTCAAAAATCTTGTTTGAATGATCACTCATAAATCATGTACAAATTTATTGTGTAACTTCTGTGCAATCTTAATATAATGTGTAAATAGAGCAGTCGACAATAAGTTATCAATTTTCATCAATAAAATGATGACATAATATTAAATGCCTTCTATACAGCAGTATGAATTTGTGTTTTGACTGTTGACTGTTCTGTCTCGCCATGTATTGTATTAATATTTTATTGGTATTGTCCTCTTGTACACCAATATGTGTTGAAGGCTATGAATAAAATCTGCAAGGACAAAAAAAGATAATAATATTTGTGGACTAAGGACATTTTCACTTAATATTTCATCTGTACTTGTAACTTGACATCTTAGGCCAACCCAATATGCATTCCAGAAGGATTTAATGTACCACATTACCTCAACATTACAACTTAATTTCTTACAGCATATTTAACAGTGTAGAGTTGAATTCATATCAGGTTGTAAACAAATATTTATATCACTTATATTTTAACTCTGAAAATTTATCTTGTTTTAAATTTCATTTTTATTGACTTGTACATTAACTTGGAAATAATTGTATGCATATAAATATTTATGAACACTGAACATGATGAATTGTAAAATATTTGCCAAAATATGCAATTTTTTTAGGAATTTTGATGTTGTAATTTATTAATGTAAAAATACTTGCACTTGTTATATTGTAAAAGAATTTACAGTGATGGATTTTCATATTTATATGGCTGTAAGAAAAATAATTGGTTTTGTGTGTTTTTTTTTATTTCATGGTTTCAGTGTCTTTGTCATGTTGTATAACATATCATTTTAAATTATTTCAATATATTCTTTTTAATTCATGGTTTAACTAGTTATTAAGAAATCTTAACTACAATACACTTGATTCTAATTGTTATCTATCCGTCAACGTACTTGGTTTTAGAGGGTGTTATGTAATTTGTGCATTATTGGGCATAAAATTTATGAATTGTTTGTCTTTCAATTTTTACAGACAGATGACCTTATCTGTTCCTATAATTAGTGACAATTATTGTTCTTATTCTACTCATACTGCCATATCAGTCCCTATTTAAATTATAATAAAGGGGAGACAAGTATTTAAGGCTAGATTGTAAGAAAGTATTACTTCATGTTGTAATTGTTAATTATATAAAAGTATAATTTAGAATACGTTTACATGTAAAATTAGCTTCCAAGATCAACATCTGTTTAAAAGAAATTGTGGTAGTGAAAGTGTATATACACATGTTTGATTGCTCATTCTGTTTAGTGTTATGTTTTGGGTATTAAATGATTAAAGAAAATTGATGGTTTTAATTGTCTATATTATCCAGAGTATTTTCTTCTATTTCCATGATCAGGTTGAAACCAACCCATGTAGTCAAAAAATATCAGATTTACAAATATGTTCAAGACTTAGACCTCACAAGTTGAACACAATTTTAGCTGTTAAGTAGTTTTGCTTACAAAAGCTATTACCAGATATTGTAGTATAAAATAAGTTGTCAATTATGTCCCCTTTAACATTTTCAATCAGGATTATACTGTTTTTCGCACATCCTCGGGTAGTGTTTTAAATTTATGTAAAATTTCATTGATATCTGTTTTGGAGGAGTTGCAATTTTTCCAGTATTGCAAAATTGAAATAAGTTTGAAATTCAATTATCTCTCTTTTAACATGTTGGAGGGGTTCAGATTGACAGACAGGATGATTCCTATATGCTGCCCAAAACTTTGTTTGCAGAGGGGTATAACTATTGATTTCTTCCTACAGATTCTATAAATTTTTGCCATACAACAGACTTGTCCTTTAAAAGAGAGTTGAAGGATACAAAAGGGATATTCAAACTCATGAATCGAAAACAAACTGACAATGCATGGCATAAAATAAAAAACAATGAAAGACAAACAACAGTACCCAAATCACAACATAGAAAACTAAAGACCGAGCAACACATACCCCACCAAAAACTGGGGTGATCTCAGGTGTTCACAAAGGGAAGGCAGATCCTGTTCCACCTATGGCGCCCGTGTTAACTACTGCAAACTTCAAAACAAAAACACATTAGGGAATAGCAGTGTATAGATGCAGGTATGTTATCTTTTTCTGCTTTCTGAAACTAGATCTCAATCTCTGCATAATAATAAAATTGAGAATGGAATGGAGACTGAAATATTTTTATACTGATTGTAAAAGAGGGACAGTCAAACTCATAGATCGAAAACAAACTGACAACGCCATGGCCAAAAATAAAAAGACAAACAGACAAATAATAGTACAGATGACACATAATAGAAAACTCAAGACTAAGCAACACGAACCCCACCAAAAACTGGGGGTGATCTCAGGTGCTTCGGAAGGGTAAGCAGATCCTGCTCCACATGTGACACCCGTCGTGTTGCTTATGTTATTACAAATCCAGTAAATAGTCTAATTCGGTAAGTCACATTCGTGAAAAGGGAAGGGTATAGTAGTTACGACATAATGACATATCCGATATCATCTGTGAAACGGTTATTCCATAACGGTCAACCAACTCGTGATGGTTTTACGAAGGGATGATTTCAACTTCACCATTTGGAACTCTTGGCTTAATAGCTTCCTTGTGAGCAGCAATCCCAACTTGAATGCTCCAAAGCATATCTATGGAAAACAAACCAAAAAGTGGATTTCTTCTGAAATAGGAGGCAAATTATATTTCTCATACTTGAGTATTTCAATCATAAAACCTTTTGATTTGGTTATTAGAATTTATTGGATATAATAAAAATAACAATATGGAGGTCCAGCCTTCCAAGGGTCATATAAAATGTGAAAACATTAATAATCTAATTATATAAAAAAATATATATATTACAAAGTGGTTATTTTGTCATAAACTGATACATGAAATAAGATACTGCATCTTGCAAGGATTTCTTTGTTCTACAAACACCTGTGATTTAAAGACAACAATCAGATTAAACTTTTAACAGGTTAGTTCTGTGCCTATGTTGAGTGTGAAAAAAGAAATTTCTGTCCTAGTATACATAAAATAGTAAAATTTCAGCAGTGAACATCCTTAAAAAGAAATTTAAAATGCCAAGAAAAAAACCTCATAACTCATTTAGATTAAACACCAGTATATCAAATTCTAAGATTCCTTTATCTTTAAACGTTGATACAATGGTTCAAAATTGTTGTCAATCTATCTTAGAAGTGATTTAAAAAAAATCTTGCATGTATTAACAGCAAATGAATGTTTACTAGATGGATAACTATTCACTGACTAAGTCATTATTGTTTCTCTGGGAAAACTATAATTAACCTTGTTGAAGGGGCATAACTCTTAAAAAATCATCGTTATGTTTGTATCAACCATTTACATATCTCTTCAAACTGTTATGTTTGTATCAACCATTTACATAATTCTTAAAAATCACCGTTATGTTTGTATCAACCATTTACACAACTCTTAAAAATCACCGTTATGTTTGTATCAACCATTTACATAAATATATCCTAATCTGCAAAATAACCAAGATAATTTTTATTGTTTCTACTGAATGCTTTATCAGCATTGATAGCATATTCCACAAAATTAAAGGAAATCTACAAATCTTTAAATTTAAACATGATCACTAAAGAAATGTCCTAGTCAATGGTAAACAATAGTTAAAGCAGGTCTTTTCAAATACAATTTTACCATATATGTACAATGTAAGTATTGTTATGAAAGAAATTTGAGAGAAAATAGGTATTGAAAAAGTCCATTTAAACTGATCTGTTAAACAATACAAAATCATTTTATATAGTGATTAAGCAAAGACAAATTGTAACAAAATGTCATCTGACAATATAAAGGCTGATCAACAGCTTCTGTCTAAAATTATTGTTTTACAAAATTAACAAATTGTCTTCTTTTCTTTTGTTTATCATTAAACTAATATTGCACTTAATCAAAAGAAAGAAACATAATTTATAAACATCATTTCTTCCCTTATTTTGTACTCAAGTTTAACAGTGATATATTCTTAACAAAAAACTGACACAGACAAATACAGTTTATCACAATAGGCTTGAAAATGGACGGAACAAAATATAGAATAAATTTAGATAAAAAATCTTGCAATTTCAACAAAAGTATTCAATTGCTAAATAAAGTATAGCTGTAAATAGATTTTATTTGTATCAAATTGTATCAAAACTAACATGTTAGTATCTACTTAAAAAAAAAATACAAATATCATTAAGCCATTTCTGTTATAATTGACATAAATTCATTTAACTTGTCTTCAAATTTGATTTTCATTTTTTACCAAATTCTATAAATATATTTAAGTTTTTTGATAGTATAAGGAATGACTAAAAACAATTTTCTGAATTCTGTTAAAAAACCTGAACTTGATCTAAACAAAAGTTTGAAATAAGATATTAAAGTCAAATGTCCAGGACAAAATATTTGATTGCAGGAGAAAATAAAATAATCACAGTCTATTGCTAAAATATTAGTGAAGTTTTTAGTCTGATGAACTTCCAGATGGTTTTACATCAGAACCCAGTGAGGTTTTAGAACCAAACTGTTCCTTGGATCCCATCTTGTTCAGCTTCTCTAGGGTACTGAGAGTTGGTAGGGTAGACAGGTTGTCATCATCACAATTCATTGCTTGTAAACCTACACAGGAAATATAAAATAGTAATTGTATTAATGATTTAAAAAAACATTTCAAGTTTACTATGCAAATTGAAATGATATATTATTTTGTAATATATTTTTTTTTAAATTTTGTGATATTTCAGTATTTTAAATTTTAGTGTTCAGTATGTTCACAAATATAAATATGCAAAAGCACAGCTAAAAGTTAAATGTATTTTTGTATGCCTGCAATGTTGAATTAGTTAATGTTATGACGCCATTGTGAAATCATTATGCTTAATTTCTAGCTGGTTTTTTTTATTTTTCAAAAGTATTATACGCGTAAGATGCTTTTAGAAAATTCAAATACATGTACACATATTTAGACAGAAAGGTCTTTAAAAGCCCCTTTACCTTTGTTCGTGAATTTGAAAATCAAAATATTTAACATTCATAAAAAAAAATTTTCAACAGTTATATAACACTTCCTTTTAAAGGAATATTTCTCTCTCATAGTCTTATTGCAACATATGGATTAAGGTGATAACTTTTACTTGTCGTGATTTTAATTGAAAAACAATACTATTGTCAAACCAATATGTTATTATGAAACCTTCAATATAAGCTTATGTTTATTCTTCATGTATCTGGAACTTAATTAACCAACCTTGATCAGCCATATCCCAAGCTTCTCTGTCAGCTGCATTGTCTCTGATGTATCCTAGTACTTTATCCAATCGTATCTGTTTAGCCTTTGACCTGTATTTATAAATGTCATTTCTATAACTTTAAAGACCTCATATAAAATTATCTTAAGATTAATAATAGAATATTAAAAGATAAAGCTTATCAAACACTCATTTAAACTCATTGTCACTTGATTATATCTTCAATCCATTAATTTCTCAGACAACATCATTAGACAGGGTTTGCAATAACAAAGAGTAGTTTTTAGAAAAAAGAGAAAAATTATCAACAAAGCTATTAACTTATGTTACATACAGTCTTTTTACATACATCTTCAGAGCGAAAGGGTATATCCCATTATAAAGAAATACTAATAGCAATGTGTCTTTGAAACAACATACATTACAACAACACACTAAAATTAAGAATGGAATTTACTAAGAAGAAATCTTTAACTAAAATAAAACACTCATTCTTTTTAAGTAAATTAACTAAAAGGTTATACCTGCCTCTTTAATTCTTAAATATGTAAGATCTGTGTTTGGTTAATATGAAAACTTTAATAAATTTGATGAACAAAAGAAGTACAAAGATGACTACAAATTGATTGATATATACAAATGCAGCTGTGTAATGATGTTTGATTCCAAACTACCATCTGTCCCTTAACAAAACTGCAGATGAAGAAGACTAGAAATAAAATACCTGTACAGGGTCATTTATAAATTTGTGAAATTTGTAAAAACTTATGGAAAATGTACTTAACCCTTTTCAAATTTTTAACTAGTCTTTTGATTGTTGTAAGCCATAATTTTACCAAGAAGGAGATCCAACATAACATAAATGTGTAATCCAGGATACAAAAATAGTATTTCCCCTTTCAAATAAATGGTTTCTATCTGATTACTAGTAAATAAAAAAGTTAACTCATTTAGCTAGGGTTCTGCTTTAACAATCATTCAAATTTGAATTAGTTAAGACAAAAATTGAAAGTATTTTCCAGTAGATATCAAAATAATTCCAACAACTGACAAGAAATGTATTCAGCAGACCATAACAATGACAATACTGTTTAAAGAATATTGGTACCACAGTGTTAAAAATGCATGGGAAAAAAAAGTTCACTGAATATATAATTTGTAAATGAATAAAAATATCAAAAGAATAGAAAATAACTAACTTGATCCCTTTATGTTCTGTTGTACAGAATATAACTTTAGCAACAACTTTCTGTAATACAGCATTCTGTGTCCTAGCAAAGATTGTAAGAGATTCCTTCAAGCTTGGATTCTCAACCAACTGCTTGCAAGTCTGAAAATGCACAAAATAATATACAAGCCTTTCTAAGCAGATTTTTGTTATTTTAAATTTTAAATTCAAGATTAAAAAAATTTAATGGTCTACAACCTGTTTACTACTTACACAATGCCAAGTAGAAAACAATAATTTTTAAAAAATGACGGGAGTGAAATTTTTTAGAATTATTGGTAAAGAATGTATTATTTTCAGTTAACACAAAAATTTGTCAAAGACTTTCTTCCTTTTCTATAATAAGATAGTTTTTTTTTGCATGAGGTTTCCTTTTTCACAATGTTGCAGAAAACCCGAAAACAACCAACCATCTACCATCATATTTATTGAATTTAAACCAATGAAAAGTTCAGAACCATAAAAAACTATGTTGCAAAAGTATGATTTGGTGCAGAATTTGGAACAGTATATCAGAAAACTAATAAAATGCCTTACAGCCTTATTTTCAGCATAGTATAACAGAATCTTCCCAGCAATAAGATAAAGTTTCTCATCCATTGTCTTCAGTGGTAACTCAAGCAGTATATCCAGAAGTTCTTCCTGTAAAACAAAATAACAATTTATCACAAAAACAAGACAAACATTCCTGCCAAGTTTTCAAGTTCTTTCCCTTTAATAACTGTTTATGGTTGTTGGAAGTAATACACTTATACTTTAAAAAGCTTGATTTTTAAATAAACTTTTAATTATTAAAATCAAATTGTAATTAAAGAACCTTAGTGAGCGTGCTCACATACCCCACGTCCCCACATTGTCATTGGAGAAATAAAATAAGTGTAAGAAAAAACTAGAGGCTCTCAAGAGCCTGTGTCGCTCACCTGACTCTACTTTGGTTTTAGAAATCATGTAAAGATAGATAAAAATCATAACAGATACCCAAATAATGATTGAGGCCAAATTTTGATTAATATTGGTCCCATTATTTAATAAAATATCCTGGTGGCCATCTTGAACAGTTAAGCCCCCCCCCCCCCCCCCCCCTAGCGGCCATCTTGGATGATGGATCGACTGCAAAGTAACAACACTTGGTCAGCAACTCATAAGGAACATTCATGTCATGTTTGGTTCAAATCCATTCAGTGGTTCTCTAAAAGAAGACAATTGTATGTATTTCCCATAGGGTCCTGTGTTAAACTAAGTCCCCCGCTGGCGGCCATCTTGGATGATGGATCGGCTGCAAAGTAACAACACTTGGTCAACATCTCATAAGGAACATTCATGCCATGTTTGGTTCCGTTCCATTTATTGGTTCTCTAAAAGAAGACATTTTTATGTATTTTCCAAAGGGTCCTATGTTAAACTAAGTCCCCCGCTGGCGGCCATCTTGGATGATGGATCGGCTACAAAGTAACAACACTTGGTCAGCATTTCATAAGGAAGATTCATGCCATGTTTGGTTTCATTCCATTCAGTGGTTCTCTAAAAGAAGACATTTGTATGTATTTCCCATAGGTCCTTTGTTAAACTAAGTCCCCTGCTGTAGGCCATCTTGGATGATGGACAGACTGCAAAGTAACAACACTTGGTCAGCACCTCATAAGGAACATTCATGCCATGTTTGGTTTCATTCCATTCAGTGGTTCTCTAAAAGAAGACATTTGTATGTATTTCCCATAGGGTCCTATGTTAAACTAAGTCCCCCGCTGGCTGCCATCTTGGATGATGGATCGGCTACAAAGTAACAACACTTGGTCAGAACCTCATAAGAAACATTCATGCCATGTTTGGTTTCATTCCATTCAGTGGTTCTTTAAAAGAAGACATTTGTATGTATTTCCCATAGGGTCCTATGTTAAACTAAGTCCCCCGCTGGCGGCCATCTTGGATGATGGACCGACTGCAAAGTAGCAACACTTGGTCAGCATCTCATAAGGAACATTCATGCCATGTTTGGTTCCATTCCATTCAGTGGTTCTCTAAAAGAAGACATTTTTATGTATTTCCCATAGGGTCCTATGTTAAACTAAGTCCCCCGCTGGCGGCCATCTTGGATGATGGATCGGCTACAAAGTAACAACACTTGGTCAGCACCTCATAAGGAACATTCATGCCATGTTTGGTTTCATTCCATTCAGTGGTTTTCTAAAAGAAGACATTTGTATGTATTTCCCATAGGGTCCTATGTTAAACTAAGTTCCCCGATGGCGGCCATCTTGGATGATGGATCGGCTACAAAGTAACAACACATGGTCAGCACCTCATAAGGAACATTCATGCCATGTTTGGTTTTATTCCATTCAGTGGTTCTCTAAAAGAAGTCATTTGTATGCATTTCCCATAGGGTCCTATGTTAAACTAAGTCCCCCGCTGGCGGCCATCTTGGATGATGGATCGGCTACAAAGTAACAACACTTGGTCAGCACCTCATAAGGAACATTCATGCCATGTTTGGTTTTATTCCATTCAGTGGTTCTCTAAAAGAAGTCATTTGTATGCATTTCCCATAGGGTCCTATGTTAAACTAAGTCCCCCGCTGGCGGCCATCTTGGATGATGGATCGGCTACAAAGTAACAACACTTGGTCAGCACCTCATAAGGAACATTCATGCCATGTTTGGTTTCATTCCATTCAGTGGTTCTCTAGAAGAAGTTCAAAATGTAAAAAGTTAATGCCGACGACGGACGACGCCGGACGACGACGGACGACGGACGCCAAGTGATGAGAAAAGCTCACTTGGACCTTCGGGCCAGGTGAGCTAAAAATTGAATCATAATTTCCTGTCAATATGCACATCTACATAGTATGTCCTTATTATCTACAAAGTTTCATGAATTTCTATTGTGTAGTTTCAGAGGAGTAGAAAAAAAATTGAATCGTAATTTCCTGTCGATATGCACATCTATGTAGTATGTCCTTATTATCTGAAAAGGTTTCATGAAATTCTGTTGTGTGGTTTGAGAGGAGTTGCGATGACAAACTGTTGCAGTAGTACATTTAAGTAAATAAGTTCAAAGGGGCGTAACTCCTAGAAAAAAAAATTGAATTGCAATTTCCTGTCGATATACACATCTACGTAGTATGTCCTTATTATCTGTAAAGGTTTCATGAATTTCTGTTGTGTGGTTTGAGAGGAGTTGCGATGACAAGAAACAGGACTGACGGACAGACGGGTCAAAAACATTATACCCTCCGCAACCCGTTGCGTGGGGTATAATTATTCAATAAATTAAGTGAAAGTTTTTCATATATTGTTCAGAAAATATAAATTAGTTAAGGCTTTAAAGTTTTTTTGCATAAAATGACAAACCTGAGCACAAATCATATCAGAACTCTCTATTGCAAGTAATTCCAGTGTCTGTAGGGCATATCTCTGCGTCTCAGGATCATTACTACGACACAGATGTGTCATGGCTTGAGCTGAAATGTAAATAAGACATCAATATTATTCACATGAAGTTTGCTATTAAAATACTAAAGTAGGCCTGAATACCTCCCTTAAATCTTATACTTTTCGTTTGGTAATCTCAATGATTTTCTGTTTCTTATTTTATCATAATCTCCCAAAATAACTAAACAAAATGTAAAATTTCAATACACACTGTGGATTCATTATGATTCGTGGGATATCAATTTTTGTGGATTTAGTGGGTATAGCTGAATCACCAATTTAAATGTTCAAATTTTCTATAGGCTTGTATGAAGGCTTTGGCAAAACCATGAACTAAAAAATCCGTGAAAATTAAATTTTTTCCTCAATCAACGAAAAACTGGTACCCATGAAAATGAATGAATCAACAGTAGGCAAACAGAACTACTAAACAAATGTATAAAGATCTTACTCAATCTATTTATTTTTCAATCTCCCCTTTTAGTTTTTGTTCTTTATAACATACCAGGAATATTTCTAGAGGCCAGTTGTGCTCTGATGTCTCTATTAAAAGCTAATTCTAAGAAGATACTAGCCACTGTTCTCTGACAATATATTGTTCCTTGGTGTGAAGCATAGGCCAGATCATCAATGCTGGAAAATAAAAACAACAATCATTAAATACAATATATTGTTCCTTGGTGTGAAGCATAGACCAGATCATCAATGCTGGAAAGACAATAATCATCAAATACATTGGCTTATCTCTGTGTTTCAGGATCATTCTGTGTCATTGTTCTCTTGTGAAGAGCTGTCTTATTGGCAATCATACCACATCTTCTTATTTTTATATTTGCTAGTATTTTACATTAATGTGATGCAAAACTAAAAATAAGAGTGCTTACTAATTAAAACAAACAATTAGTAAAACCAAGTTTTTATGTTAGATACAGCTATTTCAGCTTTCAGAAAATATAAAAAAAATACTTGGGCTTGATATTTCAAATGATTCCTAAATGTAAAAGTTAACAGTATAGAATAACAGAAATACAAAGTACCCAACTAGTTTTTCATTGAAGTTTTATGCTTTAAAAGTTTGTTATTGTAATGTTATTAAATTTAAATGTCATTAAATGGAAAGAAGATATACGTTATACAGTTGATCACAAAATGGATAACCATTTCAGAATTTATTTAAAACCAATTTTACTATGTTTCCTGATAACACATATAGTCTGATGAGTTTACCTGTATTGATCATCCTTCAGGTGTATATTTTCAAATAAACAGTTTAAAGTTGATAAACTTATCAAATTATAGTGTGCAATACTAAGTATATTTTGAAGTGATCTTTTTAAAAAATATTTAAATTTCTGTGTTTGAATATTTATGGGGTTACCGTAGAAAGGCTTGTATAGTCCGCAGTTTTATTCTCCAAAATTGGACCTTCCAGACGGGGTGCGGACTATAGAGTACAATAAGCTAGAAATAAGAGAAAAATTTCAATTTCGCGGGCGAGGTGGTTTGTTTACGTTCCGCCATCTTTGTTATTTATATTGTAGAGGGCGCTCTTATCATTTTTCAAACTTATAATTTTAACTCATCCATATTAATAAGTTATTTCTATTCAATATCAAATTAATACTGATAAATATAAAAACTAAACCTTTCATTACAAATTTCTCGTTTCTTTTCAATGCATTGGTTGAAATAAACTGGTATCTGCTTGATTGAAACGATACAAACATAGTGAAAAAGACAACCGTAAACCAGCTTAGAATTTGTAAACTACAAAACGTAATCCGTCATTGTTCGTTCCGTTTTGGTGTTTCATACTGACTAATATGGTTTGTATTAGCTTAAGACCCTTCAAACATTAATGTGATAGATATATTAAAGACTGTTTTACAAAAGGATGGAACTGTTTTACTTTCAAAGTCGTATTATAGTGATATCTGTTATGTACGGATTTCGACTCTCACCGGTTAATTTCTTCTTTTACACGTGCTTTTTAAACTTCCTGTTTAAACATACACAAGTTTCTAAATTGTTTTTTAAGTGAATTAAACTTATTTTAACAATCATGAAGCATTCTAGAATCATTTACAAGCAGTTTCAGCTTCTGTTTGATGATGGAAAACAGGGTTTTCCAAGAAAATACCGCAAACGACCGCACAGGATTTGAAATTACCGGAGTTTCATTAGACCTTTTCTAACAGTTACAAAAAGTTTTTTTACCTAAAATTTCGTGGGGAGAAGGGGGTGCGGACTATGTACCACTGCGAACTATACAAGCCTTTCTACGGTAAATTAAATGAACATTGTTTTATAACAACTATAAATGAACATTAAGCTATTTCTATTTTTTTCTTTCTTGTAAAAATTACCCATGATCAGCAACCACTGCACTTTGGTTTGAACTTTTATGTTCATTGTGCTCATCAGACTCAGACACAATTGTGTAGAGGGCACTTGCAGCTTCTTGCATCACTTTGGAATTCTCGGATCGAAGTAAGGCAGTTAGTGTCTTAACTCCTCCCATCTCAACAAAGTTGTCCTAAAATCAGAAACATCAAACTCAATACAATATTTCTAAAATCTCAAAATATCAACTGATGAACTTTAATATTTCAGCAATAATTTGTCCAAATCATAGCACACATTGTTATTTCAATCTAATGTACACATGGTACAAAAATCGATGACAAATCAATTAATTTGAATGATTTCCTTCATTAGCATTCAATAGCAAGAAACTGCAACAATTCGCAGGCTATTCCAACATATCCCATTTTATTTCTGCAGAAAAAACAAGGCTGTTTATGCATTGATGTTTTCCAACTTACCAAAACAATAAGTGACAAAGTAATTTAAAGAATTATTCATTGCAGTTACATGAGAGAATTTTATAAGTTTAACTTGTCCCTGCTATAAGTTAAATTAAGAACATTTTTCTATAAAATAAGGAGATGTGGTATGATTACCAATGAGACAACTATCCAACAGAGTCCAAATAACTTAGATTTAAGTAATTATAGGTAACTGTGCAGCCTTCAACAATGAGCAAAACCCATACTGTATAGTCAGCTATAAAAGGCCCAAACATGACAAAATGGGAAACAATTCAAACTAAAAAAAACCAAAGACCTGACATTTCTAAAACAGCAATTTTGTTACAAATATTTGAAGCAAATAGTGCATTAAACAAAGTAGTAAAGACTCAAATTGTGCAGACAGATATCTACAACATTCTTACCTGTATTGACGGAATAATGAGTAACTCTTCAATAGCCTCAACAGCATGCTCTTGTGTAGAGTCATCAGAGCTTAGAGCCAGTGACAACAGAACTTCAAGTCTATAATGTCATAAATGAAAAGTCATACAAGTGAAAATACCAAACAGTTTTTTTAATTTTAGTCGAAGAGAGTATAAATTTAATAGAGTATATTATGTTCTTATCTTTTGAGGACTTCCAAAAATATTTCATATTGTGGCAGATTGAAAGGGGAACATATAAAAATTTAAAGCACAAATCTAATCAAACAGGTTAATTAATTAATATGAGCGTGATATTGATTGATTATTGTTTGCTTTACGACGCATTAGCACAGAAAGGCTATATCGCGGCAAGAGCTAATTCGAATATTATAACAATTTAAGGTTATGAGCGTAATAAAGGATGGTTTTAAACAATAAAAAAAATGCAAGACTTAAATTGATCTTTTCATGTAAATGGTAGATAACTGAAATTCACTCATACAATAACAATGTCAGGGAATGTAGGTATTTTTTTTTTATATAGGTTTCTAGAATTTTGGAGCCAGTGAATCAGAAAAACTATAAATCATTTTGGAGTGGCCATAACATGATAAGTCTACTTTCTACTTACCCATCTTCAGCAACAATCCTGAACTTATTGTCATCTCCTGAAGCTGCCATGGCTGCTAGCTCATAAGCTGCTGTTCTCTTCTCTTTCAACCTTCAAAATCAAAAGTCCACTACCGGTAATTCAAAATGCAAAGGAAAAGAAGTCTTCTGAAAACATGTTCACTTCTTAAAGTCAAAGCATATTCATAATAATTGTTGTGAAAAGGAATAGCCATGTTACTTATATTAAATCATCATAAATAGTTGACCCCAGACATGGGGTCAATTACTTTTGAATGTAATTAATTACATTCAATTACAATTACAAAATTTTCAATTAAATTACACATTACATTTGACTTTTTTTACCAATGTAATTAATTACTTTTCAATTACTTGACAAATGTAATTAATTACTTCAATTACTTTTGAAAGGAAAATTTAGATAAAAAATTGAACACATGCATTTATTCTATGATATGCATGTAAGTATCATACATTGCTTTAAAGTATAAATAACAAACGAGATCTACAGCAACTATAATCAAATTCAGTCAGTATCAAAGATGAGTTAAAGTTAGGTATCTGGTGTGTTACAGGAATGAAGAAAAAAACATACATATATCCGAGGTGCACATAATACTTTGTCTATCAGGAGTCCTTAGGACTAGAGGTCTGGTTAAATTTAATGCTCAAAATGATAAAAAGCCTTAAGCTTATACTATAATTTGAAAATATTATATTTCGTTTTAATTACCTATTGAAATTTTATATTTTAAACAAAAAGAGAGCCCTAATTTTAATATTTTGAAATGATATTTTATTTTGATCACTACTTATTAAAATTATTTTTTCTAAAGAAATGATTTAGAAAGCCTGACTTTTTAAAAAAAATATACTTTAGTTTTAATCACAATTAATTGATTTAAAAAAAAATTCATGTACCTATTTATCTTTCTCTAATTGGCTTAACACCTGTATAACATACAAACATAACTGTTGTAAAAACAGTCATTATATAGTTAATAATAAAACAAATAGCCATTGGTTATATTTACTGATTGACTTTGTCCTTTAAAGTTGATTGTGTTAAAACAATATCTATCTAAATATACATGTAGGTAACAAGCTAATTAAAGTATAAGACAGTAACTTACTAATGGTTTCTTTTAAACACAAATTATGGCATGTTTCTACAATCTTTTTTTTTTCTTCTTTTTTAATTTTTGTTCATTCAATACAAAATAAAGAATCTTCCATGGTTGTGTAATTACAGAGAGTTTATTGTGTAGGCTTTGCTTTGTCAGTTAACTACATTTACTAAGGTCATGGCTTTCATCATTTTTTGAGAAAACACTTAAGATTCAATCTTTCTGATCCCAAATTTCAAATGTAATTGAGTTGTAATTGAAAAGTAATTGTCAATTACTGACAATTTTGGCTATGTAATTCATTACTTTCAATTACTTGTAATTGAAAAAAATGCTCAATTACACATTACATTCAATTACTTGAGAAATTGTAATTAATTACGGTCAATTACAATTACATATTTCAATTACCCCATGTCTGGTTGACACAGAGATATGCCTTGCCTATATGTAATTTTGATAGTGTAAAGCAAATGTTGAAATTATAATGGCAATAGTTTGACAGGTCAACTTTGCAAAACATTCAAAATCAATGAACCATGACTTAAGGTGCAGGGCCAAATAATCTTTGTGGAAATGAAGTTTGCTAATTATGCTTATACAATTGCATATCAAATATCATTAAATTACCATTAAGGATAACCTGATAAACCGATCTAATCACAAACTTTACCATGTTAACTACACAAAAGTTTATTATCCATTAAGATTTCAGCATGCAATACACCTTATCGCTATTTGTCTGCCATTACTGGACATCACACAGGTTCCCGTAAAATTTTGACGTCACAATACAAAATATCTCACGCCACAATGAAAAAGTGATTGTTGTATGACGTCAAAAGTTCAAGCGGGACAGATTCTCGGGTCAGCCAGGAATAGCGATAAGGTGTATGGTTATTTGTATCATAATCTTACTTTCCATTCCTAGCAGCCTTCATAACATCTTCGATATCTCTCTCCTGTACCAGGAATTTCTCTATGTAATCTCCTATCTAAAAAATGGGAAATCATTCATTAAAGCAAAAACAAAGTAAAAATCATCTAACAATATTCTGGGTTTCAGATAAAAAAATACATAAAATAATTTGACTAAATGACGTCCTTCATTCCTTAAAAGATAAGAAATAATTTTTAATAAAGAAGAAAAAGGATATCTTTAATAAGAATTCAACCTGTATGGACCACAAACATTCACAGTGAATACTTTCATTGTCAATATCTTCATTTTCTATCAATATTTATGGTTCATATTTTAGAAAGTTCTGATTTTGAATTCTTATATAAAATTCTCAAGTTACAAGTTTTTCCATTTTCTCATTGTTGAAGTTTGTACAAGGGCTTATAATTTTATATATCAACTTCATTTGAACTCTAGCGATCTAGTGGATAGCTGTCTCATTGACAATCATACCACCTCTCCTTTTTTTTTTTTATATATGTACCATTTAACCTAAAACAATTCTTCTTGTTATTAAAAAGATTGTTGAATGAACAATGAACTAAATTTGCCTTGTTTTCATTTCTTGCCATAAGTAAATAACAATTTTCCACAAAAAATATTAATAGTTTTCACTCAAATGTTATTTGTGCAAAGTTTCTAATATATTTGTTTTAATATCTAATATGCTCAGATTTGTAAACATTCGTTTGCAAACACAGAATAAAACTTTTACAAACCTGCAGTCTGAAGTTAAAGAATAGAATGGCGACTATAATGGCAGCGCCAAGTAACAACAGAGAATTAAAACTGAAGAAAATTGCTGTAAACACATGCTTGTGGGAACAAGCATCCACGAACACCCAGTCTTTACAACCATGATTCTGAAATTTTAAATTATGTGATCATTTAAAAAACAATCTTAATCAGATAATTCATTCATCTTGGACATATTAAAATTGTATTTTTACAACTTTTGATTTTGATGTATTTTTAAAAAAAATTTTTAGTCTATTAAATGCCTCTTGACAATTTGTAAACAAGTATACAAGCTTTAGTTTAAATTGAAGAACATAATAATATTTATTAATTTCAATCTGAGAGCTTTTGAGTTTTTTCACAAAAAATTAGCGAAATTAAATGAAACATGACATTTTTGTGACAAAACTTCTAATATAGTGTTTACAAGGGGGTAATTTCTCTTTGCTAAACACTGGAACATGACATATGAAACAACTGTATTGGATTAAATGTTAGCTGAATATAAACATAAAATTTGTCATGAACCTAAAAATACTCCTGTTTACCCACTTTTAGCAAATATGCAACAAATTTATCACACTAATGGCTTTATCATGTCTCTGTTAATGTCCAAATGTCAATCTTTTGCTTTAATTACTAGTTTTTTCTGTACACCATGAATGTTGATAAAGTTAACATTTTCTTTAAAGAAGTCAAGCAAGATTTAACATAATGTATGTATATGCATATGTCTACAATGTAGACTCGTCAGTTTGTACTGCAATATTACTATTTACTTTACTGAATAAAAGTACATTTCAAATGTACAATATGATTTCAAATTTGAATATGAAGGAATACACAATTTTCTCTATTACTTATGTGCTATAGAATGAGTGTATAGTTCTACATTGAAGACTGGATAGTGGGATTTAAGATGGAGAACAGCAATAAAGGCTTTATTCTTTTCTCACATGTGATTGTTTCATGTTTACTTACACAATACATGATATCTTTCTCAATACTGATAAAAAGTTGGCATTGTAAAATGCACATTTAAATGGTATGTTTCTGTCCTAAAACAGATATATTTGTTACAACTGAAATCATAAATACTTCAGCACATTTTCTTGCAAATAGGTAGTCAATTCTCTCCTAAAAGACATTAAAAAAAAATTTCAGGTGACTGTGCAATATAAAACTGCTCTTAGGAATTCTTATTGATCTAACATGTCTAAGGTGAAGTCCCCTTAAGCAACCTGTTTCACTCAATATTGATCAAATTTCAATACATTAAAACTGTTTTAAATAGCTCTAAATAAAATTCAAACTGAACAATTGATCAAGAAAATTGCTAAGCATGTTTATCACAGGTTTGACTGCAAACACAATATGATAGTTTCAGCTTACAGGATGCACAATGATAAAAGATTATTTTCAGTACCAATCTATCAACCCAAAGTTTTTAAAATATCATTGGAGTCAAGTTACATTCAGAAGGAAATATAATAAGCTTTAAGACAAACAGACTCACATAAAATGTGTAGGCATGGTACATAGTGTCATCCCATTCTTAGCACACACATTTTAAAGGCCAATCCTAAATAATATTTTGCTCTATTCTCTTGCAGGAGATAAAAAAGAATGCATTTGTTTTGTATCTTACCACAATACTCATCCATTGGACAGATGAAAAATACAGAGAGACTCCTAATGTTGCCAAGGCTCCTACTGCATAAACTACGCAAAACACATACTTCCTAAAACATACATAAACCAAAATCATTACCATAATACATTTAATTTCTTCTTGTAGCAAGCTTAATTATTGCAGGTAACGCCCCTTTAAAGAATCTTAATTAATATCATCAGAAATATTCATTGGTATTGTTAAGATAATTGAATAGCAACAGTACAAAAAGCTAGTTCATGTACAAATAGCATTTTTTTTTTTGAGACTGCAGTATTTATATGTAGTATTTCCTGAAATCACTTAAATCATTCTCACATTTGGATTCATTGCACAACAATTGAAATAATGAAAGAATGCAAATTTGTCTGAATTTTCAGTACTTCTAGTACAGCAGTGCTACAGAAGACCAAAGCACAGCTATAGATAGTTATCTATTGATGTAATCTGAGTCTAACTTGTTTGGCATAAACGATGGAGGTCAAGCATTCAGAATAGAATTGAAAAAAAAAACAATTCATAGCACTATTTAATTATGTCTTTAAAAAATTGGTACGGAAAAGGTAAGAACAAACATGGTGAGGTTCTCATGAGTCTTCATTGTTTGATGTATAAGGTTTGAAGAGTTCTCCTCTGTTTCATTACCTATGTCCAGAATCTAGAAGTGATAATTTTATTACAAAAAGGAATTAAATAAACAACCTAATATACATACCTTTATTTCTTACCAATAAATATGAAACAATGGTATATTCGATTAAATCCCTATCCATTACAGTGCCTTTATATCTATGTAAAGAGTGCCCTAAAAGTGTTGTTCTCTGCGCAAAGGGTGCCCTTAAAGTGTAGCCAATTGCGCTTAGAGTGCCCTCTGAAAAAAAATTACCCTGCCCTGCCCTTTTCAAAAGCTGCAGGAAACACTATGCTTCGCGATAACTTTTATATCAACCAATGAAATGTCTGTTTTCAAATTTTTCAAGGTGAGTATCATTACGACAAATCATGAAGATCCCGAAAGTTAGTTGCAGAAAGTAGAAAGGAGGGTTGTAAGATCCTTGTAAAAGAAGTGTGAACACAGGATCTGTATTTTACATAGATTGACATTTTGTATACTTGTCATTGAGCTTTATCGTTAATTTTTTGTATAGTTTTACTTACCAATGAGTATAGTTTCCAACATAACCGCCAATTCTAGTAAATTGTGGACAGAAGATAACTCCAATAAGGAACAGTGGAAACGTCCACGAGAAAGAGTACCAGTAAGTTGTCAGTAGTGTCAGACAGGCTGCCAGGAAGTGCATATACATCAAACCCTGTAATTAAAAAGGAACAACATAAATGTCCATGAGAATGAGTACCAGTAAGTTGTCAGTAGTGTCAGACAGGCTGCCAGGAAGTGCATATACATCAAACCCTGTAATTAAAAAGGAACAACGTAAATGTCTACGAGAATGAGTACCAGCAAACTGTCAGTAGTGTCAGACAGGCTGCCAGGAAGTGTATATACATCAAACCCTGTAATTAAAAAGGAACAACGTAAATGTCTACGAGAATGAGTACCAGTAAGTTGTCAGTAGTGTCAGACAGGCTGCCAGGAAGTGCATATACATCAAACCCTGTAATTAAAAAGGAACAACGTAAATGTCTACGAGAATGAGTACCAGTAAGTTGTCAGTAGTGTCAGACAGGCTGCCAGGAAGTGCATATACAACAAACCCTGTCATTAAAAAGGAACAACGTAAATGTCTACGAGAATGAGTATCAGTAAGATGTCAGTAGTGTCAGACAGGCTGCCAGGAAGTGCATATACATCAAACCCTGTAATTAAAAAGGAACAACGTAAATGTCTACGAGAATGAGTACCAGTAAGTTGTCAGTAGTGTCAGACAGGCTGCCAGGAAGTGCATATACATCAAACCCTGTAATTAAAAAGGAACAACGTAAATGTCTACGAGAATGAGTACCAGTAAGTTGTCAGTAGTGTCAGACAGGCTGCCAGGAAGTGCATATACATCAAACCCTGTAATTAAAAAGGAACAACGTAAATGTCTACGAGAATGAGTACCAGTAAGTTGTCAGTAGTGTCAGACAGGCTGCCAGGAAGTGCATATACAACAAACCCTGTCATTAAAAAGGAACAACGTAAATGTCTACGAGAATGAGTACCAGTAAGTTGTCAGTAGTGTCAGACAGGCTGCCAGGAAGTGCATATACAACAAACCCTGTCATTAAAAAGGAACAACGTAAATGTCTACGAGAATGAGTACCAGTAAGTTGTCAGTAGTGTCAGACAGGCTGCCAGGAAGTGCATATACAACAAACCCTGTCATTAAAAAGGAACAACGTAAATGTCTACGAGAATGAGTATCAGTAAGATGTCAGTAGTGTCAGACAGGCTGCCAGGAAGTGCATATATAGGGTTTCCCCTGGGTCAATTTTCTTTTTCGACACCTCTTTTACCAAACAATATATTTTTCACCACTTTTAATTTTTTTTCGCCATAAACATATTTTTTGTTCCAAGTTTTCCTTCTTTCTAACAAAAGCGATTGAAATATAGATCATGAAATCATAATTTTTGACTTCGGGGAACACCGGATTAATCTTCAATAAGTTTTTTGGATACTTCCCGATTATTTGAAGGATACAAACTAAAGTCAGAGATTTTACTTAATTTTGAATATTTTTCTTCATAACAACAGTTTTCTTTTCCGGGGCATCCTTAAAAGAAAAAGCTGAGTCTAAAACTATGCTTCAAACACATGCGTCACTAAAACAATTGTGAAGTACCCAATTCAAAACAATTATTTCTATCAAAGTTGTAAAAACAAATCCTTACGGTGACATGTGAAGCGATTTAACCACACCATTTCATTAAACAATACAATCAACACCTTTGTTAATTAGTCCATTGTTGCAGATAGCTATAAAATGCAATCAGCTGATTATTGATTTTCTATCAAAATCGTAACGAATTCAAGGTGAATTCCATTATTATTGTCTAATCACAGAAAAAGTCAGAGAAACCCAAAAAAAGTAAACAAGATGGACAAAGTCGAACCGTTATATTTCTTTCGCCAATAATGTATTTTAATTGCCACAATTTTTATTTTTTACCTCCAGCTGAAACCCTGTGCATATTCATCAGACCCTGTAATTAAAAACATGCAGCACAACAAATGCATGTAGAACATGCAACTTAATTCAAAATATATACTGTAGAATTGTTAGAACAGCGACAAGACAATTGATTTTACATCTCTTAGCCGTGAAAATACATACAGTAAAAGTACTTTTGTTCCAGGGTATAATATATATAACATTTACTGGAGATTTCATACAACCCAATAATTTATGGACTTTAAATCTATTTTTTCATACTTTATGAAATAGCAGATTCTGCATTTTGTTAGAAACAGAGTTAAATTGCAGTTTTATTGAAAAAGAAAAATTCTTAAAAATAAATCATGCCATCCTATACTCTAGAACTTGAAAATTGCAATATTTTAAAAATATTTTCTTTAGATATAGTAAATATAGTGTTTCATTAATGTCTTTATCATAACAACAGGATGTTATTAAGCTTTTGTCTTGCACTAAAAAAATTTTAATACTATATATAAATGCCATCATAAAGATCACCAACATGGCCAAAGATGTAGATAATAAGAGTTTTTTTCTGTTTCATTTAATTCATTCTTTTTCTTTAATAGCTTTGTGATTAAATGCAAGTAACTATTTGAGCAATCTGATCAAAATATAGGTACTGTGTTAACGCTTTGCTTTCAAGGATCTGACATCTCTCCGTTCTACTGTTTGTTCGATATTTAGTCCAATCCAGGAAAAACAGTTACTTAGACAACTTCCTGTTGAGGTCAAGCAGAACAGAACAAAGGTCATCAGCAATGAGCTGAGGGAGGAAAAAGTTTGGAAAGTGGACATTTTAAAATTTTGGTAGTTTAAGAAGCAATTTTTAAAAAGACAAATTAAACTCATTAAAAATGCTTTGTTTGATGTGTTTATGATGGTTTAAACATGTCTCTATGAAAAGTTTAATGCACAATACATTGTTTAAAAAAGGCACCATATAGCTTCAACTGGTTTGAAAGTTGTGTAATTTTAGAACTTATCCAGATAGGAATAAATAGCGTTAAGGTGTAATTTTACATCAGCCAATGAATTTCCTGTCTTCAAATTTTTGAAGACCTGTACATGTATTGTTGTGACAAAACCAGATCCCAAAAGATCTCTAAATCAGAAAGTAGAACAGATCATTGTCAGATCCTTGTAAGCAAAGCGTGGAACAGGATATGTATTTTAATCAGATTGCTATGTGAGTATATATGTACAGATATGCTTAATAACTACACTTGTACAATGGTTATATCAAATCAGATGGAGAAATTATTGGAAAACTTACAGAAAAATCACTGATAAGCTTTTCTCTAAAACAGAACCCTTTGAGTTCTCTGTATAGTGCTGACTTCACATCTTCTGTCTGTCCTGGTCCAAGGTCAAGGTTTAATGTTGTACTACTGGTTAAAGATTTCAGGTCGTACACAGACTATAAGATAAGAAGACTAAAGTGTGGGTAACATTTAAAATATGCCCAAATTGTACTCCAAGAAATTAATTACAGCTTTTAGAAACACAAATTCACTCAGGGATGTTTTAAATACAAAACACTGTGAGCAGATGCTCCTCAATTTCAATACATATTGTAAAAAAAAAAAAGTAAAAATAATTGTTATTCAGATTTAATTTTTCTGTCATTTGGTATTGATTTCTGAGTTTGTTTTACAACAAATGCTATAATGCTACTTCAAAATGTTCAAGTTTAAGTCATAAATAACTTCTAAAGATGAAACACAATGCACAAATAATGTTCCTTTTTACATATGGATAGTTCTCTATAAAAAATCACCCAATCCAAAATCTCATTACAAGCCATAGGATGTTAAATGAATCTAAGATTCTGAGATTTCAACTCCCTCAGGTAAAGTTGACCTGAGATGGATTTGTCTTTTTTGGTCATATAGCTCTTAAACTGTTTTGGTTCTTATACATCCTTGGATATCAAATATTCGGCTATAAGTTTTCCTGATGAAGGTAAGTCTAAAAATGCTCTTCAGATGCATGCAATTCATTTAGTGTTATTTTCTTTTTTTATCGTATGTTTTTTTCAATAACATTTTAAAGAACCTCTTACATCATTCCTCTTTGACATGGGGACCATCTTGACGACAGCATTTTCACCAATGTCATAATCCTCCAAATAGAATGCATCACGCAGATATTGACCTTTGAATCTAAGTCTGAACTGATGGTCCTCTCGTCCAATCTCATGAAGGGAATGAAGAAGGTGGGCTCTGACTCTGGCTATCTTATCTGTAGGGTCCACTAGAGTCACAAATGTGCGAAACTTAAAAAAAACCAATACCATCATTAAACTTCAACGCTGAAAATTTTCAAAGGCAAAAACACAGACAGTCAGTAAACTTGGGAACAAAATAAATATTGAAATACTTGACTAATATTACTGTAGTTGAAAAAAAATACAGGTAGGTTCAAAGCAAACAGTTTTTGGAATTTCAATACATGCATTGGCTGTTCTTGAACTAAGTACCGATCTAATGAGTCAAGTGTTAACAATGTATTTTTATGTTTTCCAGTTTCAACACTATCCTATGTTATGGGAGGGTTTTGTTTTAAAGTTATATTAGCTTAGGCCACAATTTAAATAAAGAGCTGCACCACGAGCACATGATACGCCCATCGCTTTTTGCAAAGAATAAAGTTCCATAACTCCTCAATGTCATATCAGAAATTTATAAAAAACCAAAGGGAGGTTATTTTAATAGATATAAAACAGTCACCAAAGTTTCATGAAAACTGCTCAAAGCATTTTTGAGTTATTGTCAGAAAACTGGAAATTCACCTCTTTTTTATGAATAAAATCCAATAACTTGGAAAAGCAAAATCTAAAATTTATAAAAATCTAAAGGGAACTTACGTCAATAGATATAAACAATTCACTAAAGTTTCACAAAAACTGCCCTAAGTATTTTTTAGTTATTGAAGGAAACCTGGAAAAATCCCCCTTTTTAATGAATAAAACCCCAGAACTCGGAAACGTAAAATCTAAATTTTATAAAAAATTGAAAGGGAGCTCACATCAATAGATAAAAAAAAATTCACCAAAGTTTCATGCAAATTGGTTAAAGAGTTTTTGAGTTATTGTCCGACATGTTGACGACAGAAAAATGGACGGACAGACAACGGTATACCATAATACGTCCCGTAAACAGGCATATAAAAATGTTTGTTTCCCCACCCCCCTGCCCTTAGTATTGGAGCTGACCAGGTAGGAAGGGTATATTTTTTCTTCTTTTAGGATTCCACTTCAAATTGTTCTAGATTTGAAACAGATTGGAACGGCTATCTAAATATCATCAATTCATTCTAAAAACTATAGACTGGAAGAATACAACTGTTGTACTCAGTTTCTTTCACAATTCTGACAATCACAATAAAAATATATTTTTTGGGTGTGTCATTAATGGCCTTTCCTAATATTTAATATTATTATACTTCACGTTAAAATGCCATATTTTGATTGGCTAATACGAGGGTGCTAATTTACTCTATTACCCTTCATGGAGACGCTTGATCAAGTGTGCGCTTTATTAAATACAACTCTATCCTACGGCAAATACTCTATTACCCTTCATGGAGACGCTTGATCATGTGTGCGCTTCGCCTCAGTTGACAATGTTTTCTCGGGGTAACAATCTGCTCTATCACCCTCTCATCTATGTGTTATTTATATACTGTATCTTTTTAGTAATATGTATTGCCAGATACTTTGAAAGCCTACAACATATTTTTATGGTCATAGAACACTGAATTTCTGAGGTCTTCAATTGCTCTTCACCTCAGTGTCAGATATACAATATGCCAGGTCACTGTATTAAAAAAGAATTGATATATGAAACAGAATATTTATTAAACAAGTGACTAGAATCAAACAACTATGACATCATGATCAGAATATTTTAAAACTGTTACAGATTATTTTGTTGTATTTCGTTTGGGAATGTCCCTTTCAACAGAAATGAACAGTTGACACACTCATGACACTGGCAGAACAATTTTAAATTTGGTCATCAATGCAGGATCTTTTGGATAGTCTGTTTTTCTAAAACACCCATGCAACCACGTACACAATATTGCATTGATAGGTCAGAACACTATTTTAGTCCTCAAGCACCTCCTTCCAAGTACCCCTTTTGGGAAAAAAATATAGTTTGTTGTTCACTATTTTTTTTATTTTACTGGTGTCTGAATATCGTATTATAACAGACGACGACAAGGTAATCTAGCCATCCATCTTGAAATGGATTTAGGAAAACAACCGAGGACTTCTGAGAAATACTTTTCATAAGGACAGATGTCGGACTATCTCCGAATTCTTTCCGGAAATAAAATTTTTTTTTTAAATGCCGATAATTTTTTTTCACTCACATTTTTTTTTAAGACACGGCAGGGGTGAGGGGAAACAAACTTAATTTTTATTTCGGCCTTACATAAGGCAGCTATTTTTCTCTGTTGTATTGTTTCACATATTGTTATCTGTAGTTATTCATATCCTTGTCCTTTGAACTACGAGGTAGATAATTTACTCTATCCCATGGTAAATCCTCTATAACCCTTCACGTAGACGCTTGATCAAGTGTGTGCTTTATTTATCATGTTCATAGAATGGTTGTTATATGTACAAGACACGAAAGTTGATTACTTTGAATTTGAAAATTTAATAGACAGTAAAATCAGAACATTCAGTATAATAAATTAAATAACACATATACCTGAGAGGGTGATAGAGTAGATTGATACAGTAGAAAAAAAAAAAAAAAATCAATCTACTAATGAAATCAAAATCTTTAACTTTTTTTATTTTCCTGCATCTGCGCAGAAATCTTTTCCGGTATCGTTTTATTGGGTTTTGAGTAAAATATTATGGGGACGTGCCATTATAACAGTAAGCAAATCAATAAAAATCAAAATCAACATACAATATACTAATGAAATCATAGCGTTTCTTTGTTTACAATGAAAATGGTGTCACAACTGAAATCCCTATTAAACAACAGACCAACATCTGAAACGTTTCCTTATTTCCGTTTCTTTTTCAACAGATTCTGGAGTTAAAATATGCTTGAATTCAAATAATAAATTATACAGACTTCGTCCCCTTTCACAGGTAACACCTGCCTCATATTATTTCATTGAAAACATTTAACATACAAATGTACCAAATGTGTAAGAGATCATACAGTATGCATACATGCCAGGGATAGGCATGGCACAATTACTGTCAAAAGTAATCTTTTATTTATACTTAATCGATTTATTGCCTGATTTCGGTTCAATTAACAATTGATTACTAGTACACTGATTTGTATATGTAATACAATTTGATCATTACTTTAACAAAAGTAATTACATCACTAAAAAAAAAATTAAAAATATCTTGATAAGCTTAAACACTATTATGCTGCCCAACATATTAATAGTGGAAATTAGAACTTTAAAAAACCATTGTTTCTAAATATTATGTTTTAAACACTTGATTTGACTTCTAGATGGAAGCTCATACCATGGATTGAAATTATTGAAATAAAATTGAGAATGGAAATGGGGAATGTGTCAAAGAGACAACAACCCGACCAAAGAGCAGAAAACAGCCGAAGGCCACCAATGGGTCTTCAACACAGCGAGAAAATCCCGCACCCAGAGGCGTGCTTCAGCTGGCCCCTAAACAAAAATGTGTACTAGTTCAGTGATAATTCTAATTTCTAATGCCGAGTAATGGACGTCATACTTTCATTAGATCTGCCATAACCAGATATATATAACCTGCTATTTAAGAGATTACCCCTCAATGACTGCTGACTGGCAAATAATATTTTATTCATGTAAGTCATTTTGACTTCATAATACTTTAAAAGAAAATTTAATGAATGAGAAAATTATTTGGAAAAACGCCAAACGAAGCAATCTTAAAGCGAATAAATATCATTGGTAAACAAAATGCGTAAAAAACATCATGACAGATCTATACTAATGAATCCCAAAATCTAAATACATAAAACTTAGATTTGTTTGCGTACAGGGAAAGCCTTGTTTTCAACGTAAATAATCATCTTTTTCTCATTTTTTGCCTTCTTTCATTTCATTGTTTACATGTGCCCTTGGAAATCGGAAGTGACGAACTTAGATTGCGGAGTTTTCAACAAAGCGCATTTAAAGAACGACTGCGATTACGAACTATTGGAAAGAAACGAATTTCACTGAATGTCTGTATACTCTAAGTTTGAATCATAATTATTTGTGAAAATTTATTTGTCAAGCCTTTATTCATTGGGATTAAAATCCTATTCATGAGTGAGGCTAGTTGGTAGGCCTACATTCAATGGGATTTTACTCATCTTTTTTATAAGTGGCGCAGGACTTATTCATCGGGATTTAACCGTTCATTTTCATGAGTGGGACGAGTTGGCAGGCCTAAAAACATTATTTTGATCATGAAAGACAAGGCGTGACCAGGCTTAATGATCAGAACACAACATTTCTTTTACCAATAGATATACTTATAGGGAACTGTACGACCTTCAACAATGAGAAAACACATACCGTATAGTCGTCTACACTGAAAAGGCCCCAACATGTAAAATATGAAACAATTCAATTCAGTTAACTAACGGCATAATTTATAAAAAAAACAATTTGCGAAAAACAAATATGACAGACATGAACCTACGAATACCACTGAACTACAGGCTCCTGGCTTAGCCTGACAGTCATACAACGTATGTGGCGGGTTAAACATGTTTGAAGGCACCAACCCTCCCCAAACCTGGGACAGTGGCGTAACAGTGCAACATAAGAACAAACTATAAGAAATCAGTTAGAAAGAGCAAGTTAACTCATCAGATCGATACAATGTCAAAGCAGAAAAAAACATAAAACAAAACCACAGACCGGACGTGGCATGTTATTTCTGTTTCCCTCACAACAACAAAAAACACAAAGTACATATATGAGAGTATTCGCTGATTTACTGACAGCAGAGACATATAATACAATTGTATTATATGTCTCTGCTGACAGCTAGTACAAAACCAATAACAAAATGTTATAAAAAATCATGTATCTGAGACATAACCCTATTCACAAACTAAGTGATGCGGAATAAGTCGTGCAAATCCAATCTTTGCTATACTAATTACAAATATAAATAATCATGTCATCACTTTGAATGATTTGATCGTTTTCGTGGATTTTTGCAATCACGAATAAGCGGCAACAGATCTTTCACGATCGATTTCACGATCATTTAAAAGCGCGGTACCCGATCTACCACGATTAGAAATATCAAATGTTACAAATATTCCCATTTTTGTAAAGTTTTGGACTAAACTAAAAACAAAATAACTTTAAGAACAATTTTAAACAGTAACATAGAACAATATTTTTAAGAGAAAAGTAGTTTATGCATTCAAAATATGAAAAAAATCATGTTTGTTTACATTTTTATTTCTTTGAAATTTCGTTTGCAATTTGCCTTTTGTAGTTTTGTAAAAACGGTGTACTTTTGAAACTTGATTTTTCTCGGAAACTAATTAAATGTTGAAACATTTTGACAAACAGTTTTATTTTTCCAATATTTGTCATTATAATTCATTAGATTACATTATCGGCTGACGTTGCATGTGTCTTCTCGATAAGATTTCATTCCGAGACGGTCCTATACCAGATCTTTCACGATCCAGTCGCAACACTTGACCACCGTTACTTATTCTTTTCACGCGATCATTTTTCGCGATACACCGAATGACAACCGTGTTATAGATACGTAATAAATGTTAAAAAAAATCGTGCTTAGAGGACTTAGTTTAGTATATATGCATGCATTGGTTCAAATATTTCCTGAACATTAAAATTACAAGAATTTGATCTCGTTTCATATGACTTTAAGCTTTGTATAATTGGCCTCTCTCTATTTTTGTTTTAGCGCCAATTGTGAGTCTTTTGGAAACTTAGAAAGAGAAAAAAGAAAATGTGTATTGTGCAATTTAGATGCTATTTTTCAATTGTTCACCCTTTGATGACTGTAGAAAACAATGTATTACATTTCATTATAGGAATAGACCTAACACGTTGAAGTTTCATGCCTTAATGAATCCCAAAACATGTTCAGAACTGAATGAGTTGTGTAAACTAATTAAGGAGATCAACAACAAATTGAACTTTTCTGGGTGCACAATTGTAAATGACTCTATCTACTTTCGTACATTTTTTTATGTAATTGTATTAATATATGTATAATTATCTCTATACCTTTGTAATTTGGTTTGTGAGAGATATATATATATATATCTCGAAATCCGGATATGGTGTACAAAAACCTTTGCACCTTTTGTTTGCGATATACCATCTTTTCCGCAAGTTTATTGTTTTCTGTTTAGTATAAATTTATAATTACGATCTATTTATTACATCGGTGATCCGTTTATTTGGCAATCGCCAATGGCAGTCAGCAGGGTTTAAGAACATTTGTTGTTCGACCTGTTAGTGAAATGCGTTTTGTTAAAATATACTTTTTCACTTTTTTGGTCTTTTGGAAAATGTTGTTTGTGCTGTATTTAGACCCCTCTAACAAGAAATTTGTTTTGCATGCACACGTTTAAAAATTGCGGTTTTTATCCAACGCAATCATAGGTTTGAACGTTGTTTTCGATTTAGACTTGTTTATATTTTTTCGTTTGGGCTTGTATTATATTTGCCTTCGGGTTTATATGATCTGTTCATCCTATTTTGACTCCTCAAAATTCAAGAGTCTATCCCAAATTGAGGTAAATTGTATAGCTTTCCAAATACCGTTTCGATTCCTATCATCACTGAAGAGACATTAATTGCCGAAATCCGGATATGGTGTACAAAAACCTTTGCACCTTTTGTTTGCGGTATACCATCTTTTCCGCAAGTTTATTGTTTTCTGTTTAGTATTAAATTTATAATTACGATCTATTTATTACATCGGTGATCCGTTTATTTGGCAATCGCCAATGGCAGTCAGCAGGGTTTAAGAACATTTGTTGTTCGACCTGTTAGTCAAATGCGTTTTGTTAAAATATACTTTTTCACTTTTTTGGTCTTTTGGAAAATGTTGTTTGTGCTGTATTTAGACCCCTCTAACAAGAAATTTGTTTTGCATGCACACGTTTAAAAATTGCGGTTTTTATCCAACGCAATCATAGGTTTGAACGTTGTTTTCGATTTAGACTTGTTTATATTTTTTCGTTTGGGCTTGTATTATATTTGCCTTCGGGTTTATATGATCTGTTCATCCTATTTTGACTCCTCAAAATTCAAGAGTCTATCCCAAATTGAGGTAAATTGTATGGCTTTCCAAATACCGTTTCGATTCCTATCATCACTGAAGAGACATTAATTGCCGAAATCCGGATATGGTGTACAAAAACCTTTGCACCTTTTGTTTGCGGTATACCATCTTTTCCGCAAGTTTATTGTTTTCTGTTTAGTATTAAATTTATAATTACGATCTATTTATTACATCGGTGATCCGTTTATTTGGCAATCGCCAATGGCAGTCAGCAGGGTTTAAGAACATTTGTTGTTCGACCTGTTAGTCAAATGCGTTTTGTTAAAATATACTTTTTCACTTTTTTGGTCTTTTGGAAAATGTTGTTTGTGCTGTATTTAGACCCCTCTAACAAGAAATTTGTTTTGCATGCACACGTTTAAAAATTGCGGTTTTTATCCAACGCAATCATAGGTTTGAACGTTGTTTTCGATTTAGACTTGTTTATATTTTTTCGTTTGGGCTTGTATTATATTTGCCTTCGGGTTTATATGATCTGTTCATCCTATTTTGACTCCTCAAAATTCAAGAGTCTATCCCAAATTGAGGTAAATTGTATGGCTTTCCAAATACCGTTTCGATTCCTATCATCACTGAAGAGACATTAATTGCCGAAATCCGGATATGGTGTACAAAAACCTTTGCACCTTTTATTTGCGGTATACCATCTTTTCCGCAAGTTTATTGTTTTCTGTTTAGTATTAAATTATAAATTACGATCTATTTATTACATCGGTGATCCGTTTTTTTGGTAATCGCCAATGGCAGTCAGCAGGGTTTAAGAACATTTGTTGTTCGACCTGTTAGTCAAATGCGTTTTGTTTAAAATATACTTTTTCACTTTTTTGGTCTTTTGGAAAATGTTGTTTGTGCTGTATTTAGACCCCTCTAACAAGAAATTTGTTTTGCATGCACACGTATAAAAATTGCGGTTTTTATCCAACGCAATCATAGGTTTGAACGTTGTTTTCAATTTAGACTTGTATATATATATATATATTATATAAAACACACACACAAAAAAACTCGCATACTAAGTCATAAGACAAAAATCTTCGGTGACTTTTCACAAATTCCAAACGAAAGTAAAACGCTGAAAATTACTTTAATGATATTAATTATCGCGATGAACAGGTTAAAGGCAATTCAAATCGTTCATTTCAAAATTTTACCAAACATGTTTGTTTGTATTTACATTAAATAATTCAATTAAAAGTTCATTGTACTTAAACATTCACAACTTAAAACTTGAACATACTTCTACTTAATATGGTTAAATACATGTACTTAAAATAACTAGACAATTGCGTTTCCTTTGATGAATCGTGCTAAGGGGAACCATAGGGATTAAAATTTTGTCACTTATTGAAGAATTATAGTTTTTGTATCCAAAAATAATTTCCCCAGCGAATTGATTATAATCATTTATTCATTATATCATTGATTTAATCTAGTTTTAGTATTCTAATTAACCTTTTACATTTTATTTCATTTTAAGTATCTAAATGTCTTTTTATTATCACGTGATACATGTAAACACTTGATGAGGATGGACTAAATATTTACTAAGGTCAAATAAGTCAAGATGGATTCTTTGATGAATGTAATTTTTATTGCTAGTGTTATTCATTTGAATTGTAAGTATTTTCTTACTCGATTAATATACAATTTCATTCAAATAAAACTTAAAAAACTACATCAAGATATAATTCATACTGTAAGAGTGAATAAACTTAGATGCTGTTTCTGCGTCAATGAGACAGTAACCCAACGATACGAAAATAGGCGCAAGACATTTGGTCTATTTTTTTAACCTGTACAGGTAAATTACAGGTAAAATGTATCAATATCAATATTTGATATGAAATATATAAGATATCAAATAAGAAAAAACAAAATACAACCTACATAAAAAGCCGGTCATTGGGAAACAATGCTAGTTTGAAAAGAAAAGAACTTCAAGTTTTACACCATTTAATTGAAATGAGTTTACAGTGGAGATCAGTCAGCATCACAATATGACTTTTTTTAAAGGTTGTTAGATTTAAATTAAGGACCAGAACCATTTTTTGAGAAAAAGCTGTTTTATACCTGCTTGTTGTACATAGTTGAAAAATATTTAGTGCTACAAAGACTTGTGCTGCTAAAATCCCACTTTCAAAACCCCGTGTTGAGCAGGGAACAGACATTATCTTGCAAACAGAATGTTACTTAAAAAAAGAACATATTATAGTTGAATTTCATTTATTACATATAGAATATTGATTATGATTAAAAAAAATATATTTGAAATGTAATTTACCGTTAAATGGAAGGGTTAGCCCAAATGTCGACTTGCCATTGGCCAAACGTAACATATTTTGAACCCAAATTTTACACCAATTAGCCCAAATATGCATCTCTCACAAAAATTCCTCTAGAATTCAATGAAATAAACACAAAGCATAATTAAGATTTTCTGGAGGGATTTTAATTATAGAATAGAATAGAAAATTTAAGTTACATCGGGTTTACATGAAACATATTACAAACATAAGCTCTGTAGAGCTTTTTGCCGATATAATAACAATAACAACACATACAATATAAGACATATAAAACATACACCTTAGACATACAAGGTAAGACAGCTATATTGCAATTCAATTCAATTCAATTCAATATTTTATTTAAGTCTCGCCTCTCAATAATAATACAACATTACATTTTGTGTAAAAATATATAGATATAAAAAGAGAGCCATTCTGTACTGAATTATAAGAGACTATAACATTAAAAACATTATAGAGAATTCGTCTATTATAAAAACATATTTATAAGAACATTATTTACAGTATAAAACATTTCTACGTCTATTTAAAATAAGATAACAGGCTTTGACACAGCTACGAACCATATTAATATCTGTAAATAAAAACACTAATTTCTGTTTATCATCAAAAGACTAATCACTATTAAAATGTGTTGCTTCATCAAATAATATTTTTCTCTCTAAAATCGTCATATAAAGGACACGATAAAATAACATTGGCTTCATCTTCTAAAATATCTTTACAAGTATCACAGACTCGCTCCTCTAAAAGTAATTTTTCAAATCTCCCCGTTTCGATTCTTAGTGGTGCTACACCACATTGAAATTTGGCAAAAGAACTCCTTTGTGAAAATGACATTGGAATTGTACAATAAGTTTCCGTTTCAAAACTGTTCTTAAATAAATTATATGTTCGAAGTTTGTTACCACCTTTACCAGATAAAGCTTTCTCTGACTGTAAATTGCATTGCCACTGTTCAACATATTTACTAAACATTTTAGACATAACAGTATTGACAACTGAGGTACTATCAACATATTCTGTAATATTACACAAATGTTCTGCATTACACTCAGAAAATGTTTTCCTTACATAAAAAATCCAATTTTTTATACACTTGTGTTTTTTACTGATAATGTCTGCCCATATGAAAACTTTTCTGTTAACCGATTAGAACTCATATTGTTCAAACGGCACCAAAGTCGAATTAAGCATTGCCATTGTTTTTGAAAGATAGGTATCCACTCCATATCCCCTGCAACTGCAGCATTTGGAGTATATTTACCAACTCCAAGAAAAAATCTGCAAGCTCTATTATGTATGGCATTAATAAAAGAAAAGTCTTTGCAACCACAAATACCAGCACCATATTCAACAATTGGAAGCACCAAACTCTCATATAATTTTGAAAATACATTATGAGTAACACCACATAAGATTTTGCACTTAGCTATAACAAGACCAAGTGCTCTATTTTCAGAAGCTGCAACAGCTTTAGCAGTTACATTATAATCTAAAAATTCACTTAAAACTAAACCTAAATAATTATAAGTAGTAGAATATTCAATGATATCATTTCCACATTTAAATACAACATTTGACTTATTAGGGTTTCATAGTCACTAATGACATCTTCATATATGAACCTCAAGGCACGTTCTTGTATTTTTTCCATTTTTTTAGTGTTACCCTTCCCACAAAAATGCCAAACCACAGGACAATAGTTGAAATTAGACATAATATATCAGTGATAAATAGTTAACCCAATTCTTTTTAGTATATTTAACTGCCTTGATGCTTTTTACAAATTTTAGAAATATGTGTTTTAAACTTAAGTTGATAATCTATTGTTACTCCCAGGAGCTTTACTTCAGTGTCACATAACATTTCATTCCCATCCAAATTGAATTAAATTGAATATAATAATCCCCACTTTTTGATTTATTCCCATTGGCAATACCCTGAAATTTATCCGGATTAGCTTTCATTTTGTTATTAGCAAACCAATCAATTAAAACTGCACTTTCCTTTTCCAAAAAAATAACTAATCCGTTTAGATCTGGTCCTGAGTGTGACAATGTATTGTCATCTGCATAGTTATACAAATCATTTTCTTTTACAAAATTGAAAATGTTATGAAGATATTATTTATTAGAAAGAAGCTTTCAACCTTTTCATCCATCGTTCACATGCCCAAATTAAAAAACATATTTTTCTTTACGTTTTTTTTTTGTTAGCTGTTTTTACTTATTTTTCAATTATTCATTTCGAAAGACGGTAAGTAACGGTAGAATTTATTGAAAAATCGTAAAAGAATTACTTTTTTCAATACTTAGTTGAGAACCAGTTGGATATCGGAGAAAGGCGTGTTTTTTGAAGGCAAATATTCCTCTGATATTTCTTAAAAACAGTGAAAAATCAGTCACCGTTTCAGAATCCGAATGATTATGGGTAATTTCATCGTACGTACACCAAAATGAAAACAGCTAAACACCATTGGTCGAATGCAATTTAAATACTTAGACTTTATAACCGAAAATAAGGTTTGGTTTACGCTTTTGAAACTATTACCCCGGTTGTACATGCATATAGTTCTAAGATAGTGAATCGATAAAATGTTTCATCGTATCAATGCTATGTTGAAATTAAAAAGAAGTCTAGCAATATGAAAATAAGGAGGTGTGATATGATTGCGAGTCACACCACTATCTACAAATGTTTTATCACACCTGTAATAAGGTAGAAATTATGAAAACCACAGACACAACACAATGCGTTTCATATTTAGCCTTGCACTTATAGATAAAAAGAAACAGAGGACGATTGCTTGAAGAAATTTTTTAAAATTGATTTTGAATTTTTGAAATTGTGAATTTTCCTTGTGCTAGAAGTAAATACATGCGTCGCTAGTGAATAGTATTTCCATGTCGAAAACTGGTGTCAAAAATTATTATATTCTTAACAGTTAAAGAGCAAGATATTGTCACAAAGCTACCTGCCAAAGCGTCATACACAAGACGATTGAAGTTTCGAATTCATGGTAGCCATCCCGAGTTGCTGAACCAATTTGAACTGAATGTCTCGCAATTAATTATATGTTACCCTGTTACTTTCTATTCTTTTATTCATTTCTAATCATTTCTTGTTTAGTTTAAATATTTTGTAATATGATGGATGAAATGTGTGATTTTGATAAGTTTTACCCTTTTTTAGCATTGGATACCAGTTTCTGTGTCACTTGAATTCACATTGCCAAGCATCAATGTTCGGTTTCGTTGTTTAATTTCTTTTCGAGTAGTTTTGTCTTTTTGATGAAGTACCTTGCGCATTTATTAATCCAGACATGCAATGATTAATTTAAGTTGTACATAGTAATGACTTTTTTACTATTTTCTTTGTCATTAATTGTGTTTTAATTCATTGAGTTTAATGAAGTCGTGAGGATATTCTAGATTTTATGCCGAGATGTTTTTTTAAAGTTTAGTGCACCATTTTATTGACTAATATATTTAACGAGAAGTTAAGCTTAATAGTCACTTTTAACTATTTTCGTTGCCATTAATGATGTTTTAATTCATTGGATTTAATGAAGTCATCATGAGGATATTTTGAATTTTATACCGAGATGAATTTTTAACAATTTAGTGCACCATTTTATTGACTCTTATATTTTTAAGGAGAAGTTAAGCTTACTAACCTCTTGGTGTTCCATAACTGGGAGTACAATACGAAGATAAGAAAAAAGAAGAAATTGTCAAGCCAAATTACTGTATGATTAATTTAACCGTACATGTCAGATTTGGTATACAGTGCAACTAAATACATAAAAAGCCAATGAAACAGCGAAAAGTGATATATTCTTAAAATTAAAAAATGCATGAAGTTAGGACATAATTTCTTAGTTAAACTTGCAGTAAAATGGTCCAAGTGAAAATTCAGTAGCAAGTTAGACTATCGCCGACTTTCTTCAGATATTTTGACCATGGTTATCTGTTTTATTTTTAGTTGTTTTTGCAATACCGCCACCTCTACCTAACCTTGTTCCTGAGGCTTGTAACCTAACAGTTTGGCATGGGCATTCAGATGTGACATCACAGCGAATTGTCGTATTGGAAGGCGATACCATTAATTTGGTATGCGATGCCAGATGTACAAATGACCATTACGCACCAGTTCTCAAATGGATCAATCCAAACTACAAGCTTGTGTGGGATATTCCTGGAAGGTAAACTTATAAACCAATTTCTAATTGGTTGACGGCTTTTCTACGAAGGGCACATTATCTCTTTGGCTGCTGTTTTTAATTCTACTTAATTTCCTTAAATTTCACGATTAGAGTCCAATAACACTGGAATGATATATCAGAAAAAAATCATAACTAAAAGTAGAGCTTTCTTTCGCCAATTTCAACAATAGCGTCCCGTACCTCTGGAAGGACAACCCCAAAAAATTAAAACCAGAAGGGAAATCCAGAAGGGAAATTTTTGCAACCGAATCAAATGTTTGATACAAACTTTTTGTACAACATTTGGACGACATGCAGAAAAACACCAGTATGCCCTTGCAAGTCCCGTCGATGCGAGGGGTTAATAAAGATATACTAATAAAAATTAGAGAAAATTAAGATATGGTGTTGACAATTTTAAATCACAGTCTCTAAACTTGAAGAACTTCTATACATTACTATTTATCTTTCATAATTGAAGTCGTTATGAATAAAAGATATGAGTCATGGGAATGAGACAGCAATCTAACGACAAAAATAACTAAAAGACATATGTATATAGAGGTTTAGAGACTCAAGTAAGATAGAGGGACAAACAGTTCTGGTATAAATGAAAATTCATACGCTTAAAAGTTTGTATTTTTTAAATCATACGCACAAAACACTAAAAATAAATGTGTGGAGAAGTTGGCACTACATACCGTCTTGAAAACGGGATAGGCGTCTACATGTTATATCAAGCTCTTAATTGTGAACTACACCTTTTAATTAATTAGTCATTGTAATAATATTAAATTGAAATTCCTTATTTGCAAATATTTAAAGCTAGGTTTTCAAGGGTAATAAATGTGCGTTCGTGTTGCTAAAATAAAGCAGACATTACACTTTACGACATAAAAACAAGAAGAAACACCTAGTTAGATTTTACTTTCTGTATATTCCTGGTTTTCTTCATTCAATAATTCCAATTTCACCTTGTGGTTATTTCTCATATTTCAGATAGAACTAACGATTAATGAAAATAGAAAAATGACAATTTGTTTAATATTTGACATTTTTCTCGACTTTGACACAGATATGAGCCATTGCTTCATTTCTTTCTCCGGAAAGGTTAACAAAACTTTGTTTTTAATATCAAATTCATTAAATAATGTAAACTTTACAGATTGTTCACTGCACCAATGAACAGCCATCGTTTACAGACACTTTATATACAAGATATATCGGTAGAAGACATTGGGGTGTATAAGTGTCAAGGGTGGATTGGTCACTGGACAGAAACATCTGTGCAAATTGCTATGGGTTTGTATATTTGAATATTGTATCAACTTATTCTTTCTTTTTTTTTTGTTGTTGAATAAAATGAAATGAAAGTAAGTGAGTGAGTAAGGTAATATAAAAATAAGAAGATGATGTATGTTATGAGTGTACATAATCTAACGTTCAGCTTCATCTTGCTCCGAAACAGGATAGAAAACCTCGCCAAAAGTTTGTAAATATAGGGAAGCTGTAGTTAACCGATGTCCAAATTTCGTTCATTTAATTTGAATATGCAAACAAAAATAATTAGCTCCTAAGGCAGCGAAAACATCGGGTACTACAAACTGAGCAAACACGTATGGGTGGACAGGTAAGCGTCATATGCTGTGCATGCATCACCAGCAATGACAGTCGGTAAAATTCTGTATTCATTGACAATTATTGTTTTATTTCGAACGGAAAGTAAAAAGGAAAAATTGATTCATTGCTGTCAATTGACAGTCACTTCTTTTTTAGCGTTTACTTCAAGCAGAGGTATGTGATACTTTGTGCAATTAAATATAAAGCTTTCACTATGAAGTGAATTAAATATACAAAACAATGTAAAACTATTTTTTTGTATTTGCTTAATCTAAATATAAATTATAATTTTCCAGTATCTTCCGCCTCTTTGTTTTATTACTATATTTTTTATGCCAACATAGTGCATGCATAGCATAAGACGCCCACCCTGTAGACTCAATCGCTCTCGATCATTTGGAGTTCAAGCGATTCCCTCAGTGTTTGTTTGTTACCTTGAATTGTCTTCTTAATCAGTTTATGATATTTGAACGTCGGTAAACTACTTTTGCCTATATCTTAACAATGTATGATCTTATCTTTTTTGTTTACAGATGAGATAGACTTACACGAATAAGAAACGAAGATGTTGGATGTCAACAAAGAAAAAAAAGCATTTTATGTGCAATAGTTTTTTTTATATATGACACAAAACAATTTCTCAGACTTTGCTGTGATGATAAGACAATTGTTAAACATGATTTATTCAATATATAGAATGTGAATATAGTTTTGTATATATGTAAGAGTCATTTATGTATACAGCCTCAAATTTGTGCCCTTTTATATATTTTGATTTTTAACTGTTAACAAAACTTTAAATTGTTCGAAATACTAAATTAGATTATTGAGTCAGTAATGGTCAAAAGTTTGCTTGCTTATAATAAATTGGTTCATATTGTGTTAACATCCACAGAACAGAAGTCCACCAATAAAAACTTGTAATCTAGCACATTACATTTATACATGTAGATCATTGCTTGGCCTATAATGATAAGTATAGTAACCGATTAAGTAAGTTGTAAATGGGTCGAGGGCAGGAAGCAGAACTTCACAACGTTCCCAATAAACTAGTTTTGTGATATTCTACTATTGTTCCTACGCTTATGTTATGTTCGTCAAATAATATATTATTATGATTTATCTATAGTTGACTTATTCTCATTTAAGAATGTATTCGTTGTGTATGTGCATGGTCAATTTAATTTAATATTGTTATCATATTGTTTTACAAGAGAAGACTTTATAAGTTAGTAAAACTTGTGTCCGATCCTTTTTGAATCATTGATTAAATACAATAATTATGAACCTAAACAAACATGCCTTGATGGCCAAATGGTCAAATTGATTTGAGGTGAAACCAAAAGGCACAGATTTGAGTCCCGTGACGTCATTCCATTTAACGTTTTCATCATAAAAAGGACACAGATTTGATTAAACAAAGGGCTACAGATTAGATTCACACGTCATGTGACATATATTTGATGAAAGGACATAGATTTAATGCTGGACATACACACACACACACACACATATATATATATATATATATATATATATATATAAAACGGATCACCGATGTAATAAATGGATCTTAATTATAAATTTAATACTAAACAGAAAACAATAAACTTCCGGAAAAGATGGTATACCGCAAACAAAAGGTGCAAAGGTTTTTGTACACCATATCCGGATTTCGACAATTAATGTCTCTTCAGTGATGTTAGGAATCGAAACGGTATTTGGAAAGCCATACAATTTACCTCAATTTAGGATAAACTCTTGAAACTTGTTTTAATACTTGATCGGCTAAGTTTTAATATAAAACACAAGCACATAGACTTTTTCAATCAAGTCTGTACTACAACACCAAGGTAATATGTAAAGCTTATATAGGGAGCAAAAATCAACAGCTGAAACAGAAAGTATTTCTGAAGGTAGCATGTCAAATATCGAAAGGAAACCATTTTATTTATAACCAAATCCTGAAAGTAAAAAAGGGAAAATGAAAAAGTCGAATTTGAGAAAGGACATTAATGCAGAGGATACGATACGACTTATAGTGGATACAATAATCAGAGCAGCAGACGAGAGATGATGATTCTTGACATGTTTGTGTGTATCTTATGGGGTTATCTCTTGATAAAAAAAAAAAAAAAACGTTTCACTTCAAGGATTATATTTGAATTTGTTTAAGTAACATTCTGTTTAACTTTAAATGCTTCTTAATTTTCATTGGCTTAAAGTTTGGACATTGTGAAATGTTGCTATCCATTTGCATCTTCCATTACATCTTTGTCATGAGTAAAACTGCCTGATATTGAAATTTTCAACATAATATCTTTATCTTAATCTTTCATGACTCAAAAGTATATAAAGTCTATAGTATCATATTGTACCCTTATGATGTGGTAAATGAATATAGATATGGAGAAAAGAGTTACACTGTATAATTTAAAGTTTCTTTGATTCAGAAACACACTCATATGTGATATTCAGAAAACAATTTTTATTTGTCTAAGTTAAATAAAATACACAGAGAGGCATTTAGTTACTATTATTATACATGTAAATAGCAAACTAATGCTTTTTAATATGTATATAGTCAGTCTGGTTGTCATATTTAAGACAAATAATTGTTATCAATTATCATTAAACTCATTAGTATTGGCAATTTATTTTCATTTTTCTATTTCCATAGTGTCAAAGGTTCCCTACAAATTATCCTAATTGTTTGTTCGACAATTAACATTATTAAAAAAATTCAACGGAGAACATTCGTAGGTAACTTGCCTAAACAAAATTCTAAGTCTAAACAAAACATGCACACAAATGATAGACTCATATCTATGTCATCGTGGATCAATTACGTTCACCAACGACTATCAATGTTTTTTTGGATATTACTTTATGGAATACTAGAACACACCCGCGACACCACAGGTCCGTGGCTGAATTAAAGTACCTACGCCTTATTTATAGCCTGGATTTTTAGTATTCGTATTGTCATCTGATAAAGTCATGCTGATTATAAGGTGCACAGTTTTCTCTGCTTTCACAATCTTTCTGTTTGAACATGTCGAACCGGAACTTGTTAATTATTGGTTATATTAATTACGTGGAAAACAAAAGGGCTTGGAATGGTGTTATTTTGAATCAACACCATTGTCCTGTATTAGTTATATATAAAGTCGAATTCTTTGATTCGTCGTTTTTACGTCACGCCGGCTACACATTGGAAAGTACCTACGCCTTATTTTTATTCTGTAATTTTAGTATTCGTATTGTCATCTGATAAAGTCATGCTGATTATAAAGTGCAGGTTTTCCTTTTCTTCTTCAATTTTGCGTTTTAATTCCACTTTTCTCTTCTCAGTTTTTAAGCGTTTAAGTTCGTTTTCCAATGCATGAATTTCTTCATTCATGTTCATTGTCATTTTCCTGATTTAATTTTTCGAAAGAGTCCGCGTATTCCCCGTCACTTTCACTGTTGCTCTCATCTTTGTCGTCGTGCGTTTCACTTTTACTTTCCGTGTGTTTTGTTGCTTTCGGAGGCTTCAAACTGTCAATTATGTCTTTTAGTTTTTCACCAGCATTATCCCTTTTTTTCTCGTGTACTAGCCACTGGATTAAGAGCTTAAGAAAAAACGTGCTTGCATGCTTACGAAGCTGATCACAATGCCATGTGGTAACAAATCTCTAGCGAGGCAGCGAGGCTTGCACATGAATGAGGGGTCGTCTCAAGGCTAGCTAACACCGGGATATTAATACACGTGGCTAAAATTACATTTATCCTTAATTACACAACATTGTCCTATATTAGTTATATATAAAATTGAATTCTTTGATTCTTCGTTTTTACGTCATGCCGGTAAGGAAATTGGACCGCGTTATTTTAGTAGTATAGATAATTCAAACAATCATTCTCTGAAATCATAGCATACTAATATTTACATAAAATGACATTTTAAGCTTATTAAGTATGGTGCAAACGCCTAAAAGATTCATAGAAAAATAAATTAAAATTTTCTCTTGAATGCAACAGTTGAAGCTATTAAAAAGTCTCATCTGAACATATCTGATGGAACTGGATTCAAAATACGTATATAATACCTAACTGTCAGTCAAACCTATTCGGATAAATTCAATGTATTGAGTACAATCTGTCCTCATTTAATCCAATGAACTAGTTGTTATGTTGACCTCTTTTAAGCTCATCTTGCCTAAAGGATCATATGAGCTATTGTCATTACTTTGTGTCCGTCGTCTGTAAACTTTTCTTTAAAAAAATCTCCTTTGAAACGGCTTTTTAGAATGAAACGAACATAGGAGTGTACTATGAAGTTTGTGATTTTGGTCCATGGGCATTGTGACTAAATAAAAGAAAGGGTTCAAATAACAGAGTTTAACATCTCTAAAATGTGGCATTAAGAAAAACTGACACGATAGAGTTGGTCAGCTCTGTCTACTCTAAAAACGTAGAATTTAGTTTTACCCATGTTTGAGGAAATATAAAACATATGCAAAAGTACCAGCTAAATAATTTACCACTATATGTGCTATATGAACAACACTCCTCGTGTATTATTATGAACAGTGCGCTAGTGACCTAATACAGCGCTCTCACCCCATATGGAATTTAACGACCCCATATATATCGTATTAGATTACTAGTGCACTGTGTAACGAATTTATTTCACCGACTATCTTAACATGTGGTATTTAGACTAGTGGCCTATCAAAATGACCAAGTCTTCAAAATAAAGGACCTACGAACCTTCTTCCATTGGTCTATACAAAAACAAATGCCAACAATAACAATGTGTTAGCTTTTAATGTGATTCCTGCATTTATTTCAATCGTTCATCGTCAATTTCATCATCTGTTGACCGGGCGAAACGTTTCGGATTTTTCATCCACGCCGTGTTGTTTTCATAAATGGACATAACACCACTACAAACCGTGTATTAAAATTAACCACGCCCACTAACCCCATATTAAATATACACGGTCTCCACGCGGTCGCTTTTAACCAATGATATTCCTAGACATGTATAGGTGGTAAGATAATCAGTAGTACTTGCGTTTGCTATATATTTCCGTACTTCAGGTATCTAGACGCATGTTTCGTTTTTACTCGACCATCAGCGGCACTCAGGTAGTTAACTTTGAAAGCTTAATGTTAATCCTGGTATATATAATGAAATTATTAGTAATTACACAGTTGAAGGGGATTGAAACTAAAATTAAAGAAAGGTAGAGACTGGTATGGCTTATTACTGGGATTTTAAAAAATCTTAATTTTTCGAATAGTTTTAAACATTTTATGAACAGTTATTTTACAAACGATAACCACATTAATCAGATTTCGTGTCAGCATCGGAGTGTTGATAACTTTTCTGCTGGTAATACCCTTGAGGACGAAACGTCCACTAGCATTGATATTCATCCGTTGGTTGTAAAAAGTCTTCAATAACGCCAATCTTATAATATAATACACAATACGCGCGTTTCGCCCTTATAAGACTAATAATGACACTTGAATTAACACAGTTGGAAATTCAAATCAATTAGGAACAAAGTTTCTGAATTTGAAATCATTTAATAACTGACAAAATGATATGTCTGTAACCAAACATCTGTGCTGTACAGTGTTTATCGTAACCTTTGTACCTATATATTCCCGGTAATGACACCACACTTCCATTTTTATTATGCATATGATCCCCCACAGTAGCAAAAACAATCAATAGTGAATTATACACAATTCTATTTTATAGGTAAACCGAATTTGTAACGCCTTTTTGCTGCAACCTGAATTTATTCCGGAATTTCTTTGCTGGGTACAGTCTGAAGACAATATTACAGATATCATTTTTGATATGGATTAATTTGTTTGGTTTGAAAAAAAAAAAAATAAATAAATGCAATGATTTCACACCAACATTATGTGTTATCTCAGCAAATGAAACAAAAACAAAAAACCAAAGCATTAAATTTTTCAAAAGTCATGTACATTTCTAAACGTTTATTTCTTGTCACGTTCTTCCCTCCATAAATCTAGGTCGAGTTCAGGCAGATCTTCACAACTGCAAAGACGACTGAAAATATAAAAGGACAACTTTTTTTCTAGCTACTTGACATTGTTCACTCTGGGGGGCAGAACGATTAATAGTTACTAGTATTTATATAAACATGATATTTACACCTGTAAAGATTACAAGTGGTAAAAGAACAATACAAGTGAATAAAATATTCCTATGATTGTTTATGATCCCCTTTAGAAAGTGTCATTGGAATATTATTTTGGTTTCAAATTGAATTGTAAATATTTTTGTCAGGAGAAAAAAACCTGTTAGATGTAGGTGTATATTTACATTCCAGCATATGCAGAGCTGTATATACTGAGGACACTTTTATATACAACTGACGTTTACAGTTCATCAGATTATTTTATCATATCGAACACATAAGTTCAGAGAAAAATGCTAGAATTATCAATCTTAAGAAAACTGAAACATCGATATGATATTTTACGCCAATTTCACTTTTTACTAGTATAAATAAGGTAAGATAAACAAAATGAAAGCGTATAATCTGGGTTTTTTTTATCAAATAAGTATATTTTGGTATTCTGGGAGATTTGGAGCTTGATATATTCTAGAGAAATTTTCTGAATACGATATGTTAAGCTCTTGCTTGTTTTGTTTTGTTTTCTCATGGAAGTTTAAATTTAATTTTATGCTGCAACCTAATTATTAAGCCATACCTAAATACATGTTAATACTTACTTTGTTTTGGATGGGAGTCGAAATATGTCACGTTGAATTCTCTTATGTTCAAAGTTATTGCACCATAATTTAGAAAATAAGGTAGAATATTTGATAGCGTATATTTGCTCTGAAAAAAAGAAAATATATGTACTGTTATCATGATAAGTGTTGCATGTATATTCTACATTATTAATTTTTGCTCTGAAATGAAAATATTTATAATGTTATCAGGATAAATGTATATGCTACATTATTTTAAAAGTAACTTCAGAGAGAAAGTACTTTAAAATAAAAGTAAAATGAGGCGTTCAAATTGTTGATAATACGCTCAGTATTTTAGAGTAATATTTATAGTTATCATTTACATAACAGATTGTTTTTACTTATCTTAACAAAAGAAAGTATGAATACATATAAGATTTAAATATTTGTAGAAGAGGCAGTGACACATGTGCATTCCATGGGTATACATTTTGCGGTTTTTAAAAAATGGCATTTGTGTGTGGAGTTTAAACAATTCGTGGTTTTCAGATTTCACATACGCGCCCAATGGCAAATATATTTGGTGGTTGGAGGAAACAATGCAAATCTACGAAAACTGGTGTCACATGAACTAGTATACTTTTTCAGTATTTTGAGGAATCTTTCTCTTCTGATAAAACTCTGTGGGATCCTTGTAAAGAATTTGTTATTGCATTTACACATTGTTCTTATTTGGATTCTTTTTTGTGAAATGTATTTAGATATGAAAAGAATCATAAAAAGATAATTGATTAGAGCCTTTTGTTTCGAATTATATGAACACATATGTTGGTTTAATGTGATAACTGAAACATGTGACAAGAATGAGATTATAAATATCGCATAAGTGTCCAAACTAACTTTACCGCGATATATAAAACAAAAATGATCATACTTTTTTGGAAAGAAAGAATTTTGACTTTAGTAGTTTATGGAGCAAAAACAATGTTTTAAAACCTTTCGATTTGTTCAGTATAAACAAAGTATGATACATTTCACTGCTTTTTAAATCATAATATGATATCAGTAAAACAAACTCAGTACTATTCTGTATACCTTCTGTCAATCCACTCGTACGGTCACTCGACTCATACCAAAATCTATCTCCAACTTTTAAACGATGAAATTGAATACCAATGATACATGCAAACGTAGGACCAACACCTCCATTTTCGCCCTTTTCTAATAGAGCACCAATGTACAAATCAACATCGTCTACAGAGCTAAAAAGTAAAAAACAAACAAAAATGACCGTTTGAAACTTTATGCAGTAAGCACGACATTAAACTTTCGACCAACCTTTAGAAGGTACAAACGTGACCAGAGAGAGACATAAAACTTTAAAGAATATAAAACAAATGGAAAACTGAAAATACATGTTGTCTCTTTGACACATTCCCAGTTTCCATTCTCAATTAAAAAACCACTTTAAAGGTCAGTTTTCGCGGATGCAGATATAAATCTATTTTCAGTACATAATTTATAAACTTAAAATAAACTATTTACAATGTATTATTTAAATCATGTTGTCACCAAAGCAAGTAAACGAATATCATCACAATTGATTTTAAAGTTTATCATCTTAAAGCGTCCAAATTTTGTCAAAAAGGGTTTTTTAAGAAGGTCCTTGTTTTCATACAGGAGGCATTTGAAATATCGATTTATGAAGGACATACACTTGAAATAAAAACACGTTAATTATTTTCTTCTCTTTTAGGGGGCAGGGGTCTGTTATAAATTCCAATTTTTTTATTCTTGTTTAAAAGGCTCTTGTCGAAAAGCTTGAAATAAGAAGAAGTTTTGCTAATTGCAAGGAAAAATACGAATCAAAGTATGGATCTCAACTGAATAAACTTCATGTTGTAAATAAACCTGTTCGGAGAGTTTGTGTAAACGTTTAATAAAAGAAATGAAAATATGTATCAACGCTTCCCCAGCAGACATGGAGATTTTGGTAAAACATTATAATCTGATCGTGTTAACAGTTATCTCATTGCTTTGTTATAATCCAAATGAAATGCCAGTTCAGTCCAAGACTTACCCCGCATAGTTTGTACCAAATATGATCAAGATATTTAGCCCTTCTGAACAAGAAGCAATAATACAACCGATTAATCAGTTATTATTACAATCCTTTAAACAGACTTCAGAAACCACACGATTCGGTATCTGGGACTGTGGTAAAATGTATTCTTTGCATAACAAAAAGTTTTCCTCATGACAAACACATGATTTCTACTGTTAGAGCATTTTTGTCCCTTCAGATTTTCTCTTTTTATCGTGGTTGTCAAGGTATTAGACAATTACTGCATTTCACTCTTATGTTCTATTCTAGCCATGGCAGCCATATAAAAAAGGAGATGATATGATTGCCAATGAGACAAATATCCATCAAAGTTCAAATGAAGTGGATGTAAGCAATTATAAGCAACCGTACGGCCTTTAACCAAACCGTATAGTCGGCTATAAGAGGCCCGACGTGAAAAATATGAAACAATTCAATTGAGAAAACTAACGGCCTAATTTATAACTAAAAATTTACGAAAAACAAATATAACAGACATGAACCAAAGACAACCACTGTACTACGGGCTCCTGACCTGGGACAGGCACATAAAGAATGTGGCCGGGTTAAACATATGTGTGAGCGCTCAATGTATGTTGACTGACCGGAATTAAAAAAAAATATACTCCTAGAAGATACCCTAAGTATTATTCACCCCAAGTTTTGTTGAAATTTGTTCAGATGTTTCAGAGGAGAAGATCTTTGAAAAAGTTTACGACAGATACCGGATCTCGAACGACGAACATGAGCTAAAAAGATTATATACTTCCCTTTATTTGTACCATAAAACTTCATGTATATACCTTAAGCATAGAATACTTCAAATTGTATATAAAACAAATTAAGCCACCAGTTTTTTTATGTGTGTGTTTTTTTTTTTTGGGGTGGGGGGGGGGGGGGCAAAAGTCATTCGAATGCCACCTGACTTCATGTGTTCAATAAATATAAAACTGGAGCAACAAAAACAAATATAAATCGAAAATTTACCTCACAAAAAATAATGTTTACAATGTTGCATTGATGTAAATTGCAAATTAGACATCTTTAATATGCGAAGAAGGCAACGAATGTACATGAGATCATTGAGGAATAACCTTATGAAATAAATTAGTATACCGATAGATACGTGCAAGTCTCGAAGCAAACTCTCCAAACTCATAAAAGGATGCAAATCTTTTCAGATTACAGAATTCTCTCCAGTCATTATACGCAGGAACGCCTTGATCACGTCCTCTCTGTATGTTTAACGAAAACAGGTCGAATCCTGGTGGCTGTGATAGGAAGAAAAGCTTATTACGGAGTCCGTCGATGAGGAAGCTTTAAAGTAATTAGAATTAAATATTACAAATACAAACTAATACGAGGTATCACTCTTAATATTTTGATTAACATTCGACGAAAAATAAAACATATTTACACATCCTTGTCCTTTCGTCTATGGATAGTTGATTCATTGGTAATCATACCATATTTCCTTATTTTTATTATATAATTAACGTCTTGTACTAAATCTTCATACATTTTGACTAAGATACCTTTCTTTAGAAGGTTTTAAACTGTATGTATGCTGATCATTTTTAATCAGAACGATCCTTGTATATAGATAGTATATTGTATCACGTGTGCGATTTGTATTGGATGTAGTGATTTTCATTATCGCTTTCCTAAACATATTGTTATTTCACCTGTTTTGGTGATTCGTCGACGACATTGCTGCCTGTTCTTCAATACCATATGATTGACTACAGTTTAAATCATATTGAATTGTGACAATTATATTGTACAGATGCTCAAATATGAAATTACTTGTTTTCTGGATAGTTGTATAAAGAACAAATGAAATGTAATTACAACGTCCAAGTGCCGGCTTAGGTTTTATTACTGTGGATTCGTTTATTTTCATGGGTACCAATTTTCATGAATTAAGAAAAATATCTATTTCGTAGTTTTCCAAAATTTGCATACAAGCCTATAGAAACTTCTTCATTGTATTTCGTGGTTCACATTACAAACGAAATCCACGAAAATTGTTATCCCACGAATAATGATAAATCAACAGTAGCAACTTATTATCAATATATTAATGAATCATAAAAGTCCTGTATGGGAGGCAGAGGAAAGCATGTAAGATCTATTGTTAAAAACTATCAAGAGTTTGGAAAGAACACTAATAACACCTTAATATGCATTTTCTGAATAACACCAATTTTATCCATGAAATTTATCATATCATTCTGATTATGAGTACAACTGAGTATTAAAACACCTCTATTATGCACATGATTAGTTTTTTTAAACATGTGCTTATTTTCACGTACTTGTCAATTTTTTGGGCCGGTTTTGCTGCAAGCCATCTGGTAATACCTTTCACGGTCCGTCCACCTTGTTGTTGCCATAAATGAGGGCTCTCTAAATTGTTCTCTAGGGTGTGTAGTTTAACGGTTTTAAAATCTTTTTTTAACTCCGATATATCTGGCATTATCAGTGAATGTCCAAAACGCCATGCAGCCGCTCCAAAGCTATTGACAATAGACGCATCAACTTTACTATCATATACATCATCAAATCCTGGACGTTTAGATAATAATTCTAAACGTGCCATTGTACTATGTCCTACTATAAGTGGTAGATAATGGTTGTAGACTATATGTTGAAATTGTGCTATGATGATCCTGCGCGTTTCTTGAAACACTTTCTCATTATTCCATCGGGGGTTAACATTATGAAGCCTAATAGCCACTCGATTATGCTGTCTTACAAAAAGTAGATGGTTTAAAGATAGTTGTGGTGCTTCAGCACTTCTTTCGTCGCCTGCAAACGTTGATAAAATTATGACTTTTTATCATCTTTCTTTTGTATAATAAATAGAACCCTTTAAAATAATTGTCTTGAATCATTTTGTAATCATCTTATATTTTATCGGCCTTAGTTGATGTGTTTCCCTCGGTTTTGGTTTGTGACCCGGATTTGTTTTCGCTTAGTCGATTTATGACTATTGAACAGCGGTATACTACTGTTGCCTTTATTTAGCTGATTCTATGCGAGGGTCATCGGAAAATAGTTCATATACAATGATCACTTGCCTGTTGCCACTGGAGGTTCAGTGTTCGAAACCGCTTGTGTTTGACATCGAGATTAATTAAAAAAGAATTGCACGTTTTTCTACCGAAGGTCGGGTTTCCTCAAGGTACCCCAGCTTCCTGCACCAAACTTATTGCCTATTTAGGATGAGAACATGTGATGTGAATGTCAACTCTGCTTTTAAAAGATCGGCGGTCTGAGACGAACTGTTTATATGCTAGATCACATGGTAACCGTCAGCGGGTAGACATGTTACCATTATCGGGCATATTATTCCGACGTGTCTTGGCTCTTACTTTTAAATGCGGATTGTTTAGTGGAGAAACGGTAAATACCAATTTTTCTCGCAGTAGTATGACACAAGGTAACAAACAAGCTGATTGCAAATGAAATATGCAATTTACAGCAAAAGAAATTTAAGTTAAAAGAAAACATTTCCAGTCTCATAAAAAAATAAATAGAGTAGATTTTGATTCTGTATATTTATTGTGCATCAATTTGAAAGTATCTTTTATACTTTTTTTTAGCTTCAGGTCCGCTATGTATATCAAACAGTCAAAATTAAGGTTGTCTTTCTCCGCAACTATTACCGGTTGACGCCGGTTTTTCGGTTCGTCTTTGTTGAAACCACGGTTTGAAATTATGCAGGAAAAATATATAGAACAAATTGTAAAACGAACCGTTTCGCAAAACATAGAAAGTTTCATTCAGATGCGCTTGTGGTTTAAAGAAATATTTAAAACAAGATATGCTTTAAATATTATCCCGTTGAAGAACCTATTTTAGCAAACATTTAAACTGAAGCAAGAATGTACGTGTTTGTACAAAAAAGCAACACAAACGAAAAATCGATCCAAAAAATGATCAGACCTTGGATAGGGATCTTCAAGATGAAAAGAATAAAATATTTCATCCAATAGCATACCAGCAGCACGTGTAGGGTTCGAATTGAAGACGACGAATTCATTGAAATCTATATGGCGCTCGGTTTTTGTGGAGTTTTGTTGCTATCTCAAGTTTCTTCAAATACCTGTACTTCAAAGAATAGATTTTGTTGCGAAAAAATATTTAAATATTGGTATTAGTATAAGAAGTAATTAAATATATATGTTGTGTACAAGTTACCATTTTGTACAAATTATAATTTGTACAAAAACAAAAAAATTGTACAAATTATGATTTGTATGTAAACAAATTATAATTTGTCCAAAAAACGCTTGTTCAAATTACAATTTGTACACAATTTGACTAAAATTTACTTATAAATTGTACAAAGGAAATACGATAAGTTAACATGATACAAAAGATGGCCTTTTATATATTTTTAACAGTAATACATTTAATTGGCTTAATTTTTGCATTCAACTCTTCTTGAACACTTTTGGACTGTTCATTATTTTGGGTCAATTGTTCTAATAAGTTGTCAAAGATATATATTCTCGGTGTTTGTGAACACTATTTTGGTCGTTTACCCATTTGATGATATAGTGTAGACATGGCCAGCATTATTGATTTCCAGGATAAATCTGTTCAAGAAATTCTGAACCTAGTACAGAATAATACATGAAAGCACAATCATGTGTTCACCAATGATTTTTTGTACCGCTTTGGAACAGCTGTAGGAATTTTACAGGATATTTGTCTAGAATTCAAATTGAAGCTGTTGAAGACACAGGTTTATTCGCAGAAACGGTTCATGAGCTTCAACTTTCGCTACGTGAAACAGTTAAAAAGCTTTTAAAAACTGGTGGTCAGGGGTTTCTATCATGTAAATGCAAAGGGGGTGCAGCACTCTGCAATAATTTTGAATTCTGGAAATTGATAAGAAATGTATGATAAAAACTAACCCAATTAAGGAGAGTTAGCCATGCATGCACGGCTACGGGGGTTAGTTACTTCATATTGAAATATCAGTGAACATTAGCCATGGGCTTGAGTTTGGTTAGTTTTCATCATACATTTCTTATCAATTTACCAGAATTTAAAATTATTCCAGATTCAAATAATTCCTTGTTTAAATGTAAAAAGCAAAAGATGTTGTGCAATTCCCGATCCCATAACGACGGCATTTTGGTAAATACTATAATTGAAAACGACTAAATTAATATTTACATTTAACATTTATATATAGGTGTAAGTAATGAAGCATTTTAATACATAACACGTTAATTAATTTATTTAGGAGATTAGGGTAGCATAAATTACAAAATTGTAAAAACAGGCGAGTAGTTATGATATAATTAATGAAATAGACAATGACTAGAAGTTATATTTGCCAAGCAGTCTTGGAGCTGGCATGTCAGTTAACTGCTAGTAGTCTGTTGTTATTTATGTATTATTGTCATTTTGTTTATTTTCTTTGGTTACATCTTCTGACATCAGACTCGGACTTCTCTTGAACTGAATTTTAATGTGCGTATTGTTATGCGTTTACTTTTCTACATTGGCTAGAGGTATAGGGGGAGGGTTGAGATCTCATAAACATGTTTAACCCCGCCGCATATTTGCGCCTGTCCCAAGTCAGGAGCCTCTAGCCTTTGTCAGTCTTGTATTAATTTTAATTTTAGTTTCTTGTGTACAATTTGGAGTTTAGTATGGCGTTCATTATCACTGAACTAGTATATATATTTGTTGAGGGGCCAGCTGAAGGACGCCTCCGGGTGCGGGAATTTCTCGCTGCATTGAAGACCTGTTGGTGACCTTCTGCTGTTGTCTGTTCTATGGTCGGGTTGTCTCTTTGACACATTCCCAATTTCCATTCTCAATTTTATTATAATGAAAGAGCTCTTGCAAAAAGCGAACGTAACCAGCAATTACGATTGTTTGACGACAATCGTTTTATCTTATTACATGAGATATAGCAGCACATTGCTCGAATCTTAAATGCTCCGAATGTTGAGCAGTACACCCAAAATAAAACAAAAAAGGACGTTTCAATCTAAGCGAACAAAAACAGAAAAAACAATGAACTAGTATAACTTATTCATAAATATTAACATTTTCCAATTTACTTTTAATAACCGAGACAAAACGATGGTTTGCTTTCTTAGTTACTTTCAAGTATATCGAATGGTAAACCTCGAAATTACTACTTACTTCTTAAACAAAAAGTTTTGAATAGTACATGCGTATGTAAATAAAATCACTTGTATTGATTGACTAACTTAGAGTAAAAATCTGTGTCCATAGAATACCAAACTCCGCTAGTATTATCAATTTCCATGTTCAGTGAACTGCGAAATCTTTGTCAAAACCCTAATGTCTCATACACTTAATGAGATTCACGTCCTACTAAATATTCGCACTAACTTTCAAGTTGATGTGACCTCAAATTCATGTTGAACTAATTCAAACTAAAACGTTTAAACCTTAACTTTAACCTGACCAGGGAACCGCGAAATCTGGTTCATGACCTTTATTTAGAATACATTTTAAAGATCTGTCGGCATAAAAAAAAACATATATAAAAAGGATTTAGTTAATATATTTCATGGTAATCTACTGTAAGCCAACAACAATATAAACTGAATTGGAACAGACGGTCAAACGGATGACCAAATGGCTGGATGGATACGCAGATCGCCAAAATAAACACTTTCCAACTATCGAAGACGAATTTATAAATCATAACCAAGTCTTAATGTGAAAATGTTTCGAAAGGACGACGTCAAATCGTGTTTGTAAATCAACATTTCTACATTTCAACCGAGCTTCTATATGTTGTTATGATTGACACATCTTTATTTTATACCATAGAAAAATTAAACTCGAATGAGAATCTGTCAAGCAATTACGAACGATGAAAAAAAGAAAAATAAGGTACCAAAAGGACAATAAAAGTTATTTGTCCAATAAAAAAGACAATACCATGGTCAAAAAGAAAAATGATGAAAAGACAAACAATAATTACAAAACATTACACATAAAACTAAAGTTTGTGAAACAAAAATCCTACAAAAAAGAGGTTTCATGTGCTTATGATAGGTAATTTCTGACTACTAGTGACACCCGTCGTTTTGTTCAGTATAAATCGGTTATAAGTTGCATGTCCATATAAGGGTTAATAGGTTGAAACCAGAATAAAAAGAGTAAATTGTAATAAAATATGTGACTTAGTAATAAAATACTAAATTTACCTTACTAGAGTAACGACTTTTGGATGAATATTCAAAAGTCATTGATACGTGAATAACTCAAACGGGACATCAAAAAGGTGTCCTACCAAATGATGTGTTCACTTGGGATCATCCTTACAAATTAGAATGTGAAACTAAAACATAGCAAAAACTACATAATAAGCAACAAAACAGCCAATTTTAGAAAGATATGATGGTAATGGTCAACAAAATAGCCATATTTCAGAACGATATGATTTTAATGGGCAACAAAACAGCCACCATTCAGAAAGACATGATTTCAATGTGCAACACACTAGCCACATTTCAGAAAGATATTATTCTGATGGGCTAAACAATAGCCATATTTCAGAAAGATATTATTATGATGGACATTACAATAGCCATATTTCAAAAACATATCATTCCGATGGGCTAAACAATAGCCATATTGCAAAAATATATTATTCTGATGGGCAACACAATAGGCATATTTCAAAAAGATATGATTTTGATTAGCAACAATAATACTATGCATTTAAATTTATGTTGAATACATCTAGTTTATCGAAGTTATAATCTTCACATTAACAGTTAAAAATGTTTGACATTGAATTGGTTTGTATTCATATATCATTGAATGGTATCGTTTGAATTTTTTGTTAAATTTGATTTTAATCAATTACTTACTACCGTTTTAAATTTTATTAAATTGATTTGTAATTATTTCAATAATATCTTTAGTTTTTGTTGAATTGCTTTGTAATCAATTTAATACTACCTTTAGTTATTGTTGTATTTGTTTGTAAGCGTTTGAATGCTACCGTTTGAAATTAAAATTTGGGGTTTGTAATCAATAGAAATGCTTTAGGGTTTTTGTTAAAATGAGGTGCAATATATTGACCATAACCGTTTGACGTGTATCAAATGAAATCAAATAAATATGTAGACATTGTTATTCTTATACCTGTTATTGGACATCGATCGGTTTTCTGAAACATCTGACATCCACCTCCACCATGAACAGTTGGTAAAAGGTTATGTGTGTCTACCAGCATGAGAACTGCAATTAATTGTTTGTTCAATATTGAGCATAAAAATGAATAAGATATCGTGTAAGTTAATGTAACACTTAAGGTCAAGAAATAGTTAATGTAATCTGTCAAGTAGAAGTCATGGATTTGAAATTGGAGATTTTAAGACAAATTTTAGAACGTTTTTTGCCGGTTTTAAGTGCTTTCTGCTCAAATATTCGCCTACTTTGAAAATCAATCACTCAGTAATATTAATCACTCAGTAAAATTTCAGAAAATAAAAAAGACAAATGCATTTTTTTCGATTTTCGGTAATAGTTCAACAAACCAAAGTTGTATGCAAAATTTTACCAAAATCTGTGACAATGTCCAAGTACTGTAACTTGACCTTAATTTAGTGCAGCATATTCTAATAATGGGAAAATAAGATCATGTGAAAATACGAGACTGCAAAGTACCACTACTCAAAAAGTTATCGATGTTTACACTGAATTGGAAATGTGGTCATGATTTAATTTTATTATAATTTGTAGGACAAAATTGTAAAAAAAAACACCATGAAGACGATACACATGGCATGCGATAACGCATTAAAGCGCTTGTGTGTGTATGTTTAATGACAAATTCAAACCAAAATCAATAGTTCTTAATTGATAAGCAAATATGAAGTACCTTTCAGTGATCTCATTTATCACTCAAACACCCTTAATTGTTGTACACTAGGTGTTAGATAAAAAGAATATTTTAAAGTTTAATTATATCTTACAGCTGTTTGGTTTCCTCAATTTTTTATTTAGTTCTTTGCTACTCCCGTATAAAAATGAAGCATCAATGTACGAGGTTACTAAATTTCTCTGTTCTCTTCGATCTGCAATAGTAGGCATTAGTTTGTTCATTTTTGCTACTGTAAATGTAAAATACATAAATAATCTTTGAAATTTTGGTGATTCATTCCGATTCTTTAACTCTGTGTTTCGGGAGGGGGTTCAGATAAACATGGTTGAGTTGGATAATTATCTAGTGAATCGACTATTTTTTTTTATTGTTAAACAATACGTCATTTTTGATAATTAACGGAGCATGTTTTTTTCAAATGGCTAATTTATCAATAACAAATAAGTATTTATGGAATGATTGTAATCCTAGAAATCTTTAAATACAATATGTATGAGTACTAGTAATCATGAATAGGAAAAATTGCAAAAATATTTTCGCGCGACTTCCTTATCAATGTTTTACTACCACCAGTTTCTATGATCTATTTTTGTATTTCAGGCGTTTATGCTTCCATCTTACCCGTTGAAGTTTATGCCAGATACATATGTCGTGTTTACGGAAAATTAATTGGCATTATAAAGATTGTCTTACTTTCAATTTACAAGGTTCATAACTCCTTCAATAAAGTTGAGTATTGATTAAAGAAAGCATGTCAGGGTAAAAGAATGTAGAAAAGCAAATAAATAAAATTAGTATGCTTATGTTAGCTGAAATATCATTAGTCTAGACAATAAAAAGCATATAAATGATGAGAAAATAACAATCGGATCCTATGAACGCCAGTCAGAGTGATACAAGTTGTTTCGCCTTTGAAAACCTGTTCTATTCACAACTTTCATGTGATACGGAACTTATATCCTGACTTATATCCTGTAGAAAATGTGTATGCTAGAAACACGATAATACCTATTATATGTCAAATAGATGAATATTGACATGTTCGGTTTATTACAGTGTAATAGGACCCCATCCAATGTCAATTTACGTTTTTATTAGTCAGGAACTTTATAAGTGAAAGCTTTTTTGTCCTGTCAGGAATATTATTTTAATTTCAGATCATTTTAAGTGTTTATAAATGTATTGCTTACTTAAGCTTGAAACAATTAATAAACTGATGAGAAGAGGAGGTTTGACATCAACTAATTCATTAGCGTGGACTGCAATATCCCAAAATTCAGGCTAAGTTGTAACCGCTTATTTTTTAACAATAGGGTTTTTGTATTTTAAATCTTATTTTTTCATGAAACTTAATTAGGCATATTTTCCTATTTCCTCATTTATTTCATCATACATCTGTGAGAAAAATATGCCAGCAGCTGTTGAAAAGATAAAATATATTTTCAACTTTATATAAAATGTCAGGCGCTCTCCCCATGCTTTCTGGAAAAGATGTCTAGAATCTTTCAGGTTAAAGTGTAATAAAAAAAACTACACAGAATGTAATGTATAATTCAAAAGGTAAGAAAACAGAAAGTTGAAATAAAAATAAAACTTTCATTTTCATTAACCTGTCAACAAAATATAACTACTAAATAAGCTAATAATTCTTTCAAGAATTGAAATGCCAAAGATTAAAAAAACTCGTAGAGCATAACTATGTCATCATTGTTTTGTATCTTAGTTTTTTAAGTTATTTGTCAAAGTCTCTCTTTTCAAATTCATAACGAACGAATGATATACTAAAAATGAATAAAAATAAATTTAAATTTAGAACAGACATTATACAATATAAAACACTATACAAACGTCCCAAGACAGCTGTTGATCTTCTAAAGCTGTTACAACCAGGTGTAAATCGTCTATCTCCTCGGGGAATATGTAACGGGAAGCAGGCATGTATACTGAAATAAAATGACAAATAAATATATTGATAATTCATGCAATAACAGCTTAATATCTTCGTATAATTTTTAATTTTTTGACAGATGAAGTTTTCTCAAGGATTCTTACAAAAGTTTATAAAATGATAACATGAATATTAAGGTATATTAGATTAAACTATTTCATAAAATTTATTTAGTTATATTAGATTCACAAACATTAAATATATTTATGGACTTTTTATGATCCAGAAACGGTCGAACACTTATAACGTTGTGCAATAAATGGAACTACTCTGTAGAGTCTTTCTCTTTCTCTCAAATGGGACTGTCTAGTGATTAAGGTTTTAAGTAGAACTTGGGTGGTTGATATCTACAGATTAACTGGTAAATAAATTAGTCAAAGAAAAATGAAGAAAAGCCCTACAACACACATGATCTACTTAAGTAAAGCTTACCTGCCATAATTAGAATCTCCTTTTTTACAACAGTCGAAACCTATTCAAAATATTTTCTTTGATTAAATTGCTGATCAATGTTAATGAACAATTGCTCTCATCTTTAATGTATACATGTAATCGAGAACTCATCTGACTATATCTATTATCTTATTTCAAATCAAGGTAAATGCTTATTAAAATGATTCAAATTCATTGTTGCCTATTTCGATGATATGTTTGTCATTTTGCAAATCTTGGACTTGATAACTATAAAGATGATTTGAGAACAAACAAACTATTTATTTATTTTTTATTATTCTTGTTTCTTGTTCATTTACTTATTTCTGTTATGTCACAATGACAAAAATGAAATAAATAAGTGAAAAGTTACTCGCCAATGGAATACTACAAGTGACACTTGGAACATACCTTGGACAAGTAACTCGCACAGTCTTTAAACAATTTTTTTGTTCAATTTGAATATCGCCATTTATTAATCTTCAAAACATAAACATATGCTACAAAAATCAACCATGTTACATCTATTCTTTTCTCTGATAAATCAAATTGGATGGTGGTGACAGAAATAAGATGCAGAAACTAATGACATGTACAAAAATATCATTTCTGACAAAATGAAATAATGTTATAGTGATATAGGTTATTTGAAGTAGATAATGGGTATGTAAACTCTGCCGGCTCATTCACAAACTGCATAAAATCTGAATGACTCTATGTCGAAATGGTGTGTGAAACACCATGTAAACATACAAATGAATTCTGTATAAATCATATTTTTTTCAAAGTACTTTATCATCAATACTTAAAGATTTAATTTGCCTGTTGAGGGATTAATACTCATGACGCCATAACACGGGTTTATAAACTTTTGGTTTCCATGGCTCTCACAAATGAAAATATCATAGAACATTGAAATCATGTTTAAGTAGTAACAAGGGTAAAGAAAGTTGAAAAGGATATTGACTTGACAAGTCCTGACAAGTCTAATTGTAAAAATGAAAACAAGCGTTAAATATATTAAATATGATTAAATCACGGTTAGAGCATGGATACAATGTTCACATTTCATAACGACATAATTTGCCAACTTGGTTTGATGTTTCTATGGGGGTAGTAGTAATTCACGAATCAAATACAGAACATAATTTAATGACATTGAACTATTTGTAGCACTATCTCCAAATAAATGGGTAGAGGAATGATTTATTTACGTATAGACTACTAATGTATCAAAATGAATAATTATATTCAGAACGAAGATGTTTTTTAAATAATATATATGTCTTATTTAGCATGTTTGTAAACCCCAGTAAGGAGTTTCTATTCTCTCATGACAATTTTCACCATGATCAATTGCCTGTATAGATGTAGATGATTTCACAAACAAAATGACAAACTAGAATATTCCTTTTTTTTACAAACATTGCAAATAAGATGCTTCATACACAATTTCGGAACGTTCGGAAAAGCATTTTAATAGACATTTTTTAAGAATGTAATTACGTCATCTAAATTGTGAGGAAAAAAATACTTTATAGTAGTTAGGCTATTTTGGTCATAAAGCTTCTCACTTTTTTACTTTTTCAAATATTAAGATTTGCGCGTTCCAGATGAAAGTAAATCATGAAAAAGACTTAAGACGCAAGACATGTATTAACAGTTATTTTCAATACATGGAAGTTTACCTGACGGTATTTGAGTTTCTATTAAATCGTGTGCTAGGATTTGACCAAAACCCATAACTTCTCCTGATCTTATATTATCAAATTGATCATCTGGTCCTAATGCTGAATCTGATATTAAATTGCTGACAAGTCTAGCATCTGGAAGATGGTGTGGGAAACCTCTAGGTATTCCTCTGCCTGTAAACAGCGGTGAAGGTTAACTTAAATACATTATGTTTGCTTTATTTATATCATATCTATGTGTAATCAGAAGATCTCATTATTAAAATATTCGGGGGATGTGGGATTAACTGAAGGGGTTTTCCGTTTTCATTTCATTTTATCAATGACAAATACAGGAAATATCTTTGCAATGACATATTTATTGGTTGCATAAAATATCCAAATAGAGGAGTGACATATATATAAGACTGCTTTTCAATTTTAATTGACCTCCATACATGCAGGTTAAATCAGTAATCAATGTTAACGGGAATATCTAAACTTTATGTTTATTTATGAATTTGAAAAGAACCGATAACTGAAATTTAAAAAGTATGCGTTAGTTTCTGCTTAAGCTTTTTTTAAATACTACACTTGTGTTACTTTGTAAGAAAGTATGATAAGGGAACTGTTTGGTCCTTTGAATTCGAAAATCAAAGAGTATTATAAATACTTGAACTGTTCACAAGGCAGTGAAAAGTCTCCTACTATTGTTTTTGAATTTATTTTATTTTGTCTTACTTATTTGATTTAGACATTCAATCTTCTATCATTCAAAATGAATCTGATCAACCTACCACATAAATGCACTACGAGATTGTGTTATTAACAATAAGATATAAAGAAAAGCCTAACTCATCAAGATAATTTCTATGCAATCTGTCTTATAAAGATGTTGATTGTTGTAAAATATCTGCATGGCTTTACAATATCTTCATGGCAGTAAAATATCTTCATGGTTGTAAACTATCTTCATGATTGAAAATATCTTCATGGGTAAATAAGAGTCAACAGTAGTTCAACCTTTGTTCAGATGTCATAAATCTGTTTCCAAAGAACGAAGCAGGTGAAAAATCTCGACAATTTAAAAGAACGATACCGGGTACGTCAACAGGGTAAGCGTATCTGAAAATGTATGTATGCATTGTTTTACTTTCAGACATCATGAACTTATTTATCATATCGTACCGTCCTCGTAAGCCTCCATTGGTCTTCCTTTTGCATCCTTGAGTCTTCTCTCTGTCGTTTTAGCCCTTCCCCATGTGGGATGTTGTAGGTTGTTACATGATCCATCTAATGTTCTATATCTGGTTCTCGAACAAGTTTGTTGTCCTGAAAATTAAATAACGAATTAGATAACCCTAAAAAAGTTTGACCGAATGCCAAAGAGAAAAATGAGTAACAAAATTTTGAAGCCTACAAACATTATAAATGATACTTGCAACAAAATATAAATGACATACGTAAACTTTTCTGTAACAGTTAAATATTATTGTCGAAATGAGCAACTGGTTGAGAAGAATTGGTATCTTTAATGTAAATACATTACTCGTCAAGTCTTTTTATACAATTTTGAACATTATACATGTTTTTGCCCAAAAGTTATTTTTGAAGTGCATCCATGAGCAAAAGGACTTAATATATTTTGAAATGGAATGCAAAGCATTCGAGTTTTGGTTAATGATGTATATTCTTCATTGTGCTTTTTTACTAAATCATTACAAAATCTAATCAAATGCAGTTTGAGCTATCTTGAGGTATTCTAGGAATATGTTAAAAATACTCTTCGATGTAAAAGTATGTACGTTTCTTGCTATATGTTGAAATTTATAATTTGGTTACATGTTTAAAAATAAGTCAAACCGTTGGTTTGCTTAAAATCTAAATACCGCCTCTCAAAATTTAAAGACAAAACAACTACTGACTGCAATAATAGCAATAAAATAGTATAAGGACAAGTGTACTTACTATGGTAATGATGAAATGAATCGACGTTACTTACAATGATCTGAAAATCATAAAAAGAAAACACTATACATATCTATAATACTGTAGAATCGGCAAATAGTGCGTTTAACTTGCTTTCTGTGGTCTTTGTTTGCAAAGAGACAAATGCAATGTTATCGGAAATCAACCCCGATTACAGTATTTTATACTTAGCTGACAGAATTACACTTATTTACATAATTTATAAAATGAATTTAACAATAGAAAATCTTTTCAATCATAGCTTTAAGGCAATTATTACCTTTGTCGAGTGTCAGTCAACAAGTAGCGCTGACATATCAGAGGAAATTAGTTGGTATGATTAAACAATTTATATGTATATATAACAAACTTGTGGGAAACCGAATGCATAAAACTTTAAAGATCATACAAATAGTAAAGGTGTAGGCTAAATAGGAAAAAAAACAACAAAGATTGGCTGTCTCGTCAAATGTGGGGTATCTAGGTAATTCCTGTTATATTGTATATGTATTATTGATATATATTTACAAAATGGTATGTTTCACATTGCAGTCAATTCCTTTAAATCTTAAAAAAAAATGGTCATATATGGGCAATCTTAACCGCTATGTTAAAATCCTTGTTCAATTTCTTACAATATATTTTTGTCATATTTGATTTGTTGCCTGTAAAATGGTGTCCAAAGAATAAAAAAATTGAAGATATATCAGTTAGACACCGGTGTATAATTAAGTCTACTGGTGTATAATTAAATCTCTCTTCTCAAACAACATAATGATTTAGACAAGTACTCCTCATTTTAACTCACATTTTACATTTAGATAGAGAGAATTAGTCCAACCTTGATAAACAAAAAGGAATAGCCAACAATATTTCAAGGGGGATAATTAGAGGGTTATTTATTACTGTGGATTCTAAAAACATTTCTATGAGACTGATATCATTAGCATGCTTTTACTTGTTTATGGACAATACAATTTTCATCCTACATTTCATGCTTCATGTGCGTGTTTTATCAGATAGTCGGCATTTTTGGAGGAATAGCAGTAATACTATTCAAGAAGCACGAAAAGAAGCTTCAATTATCACTTTACATGACGTTCTTCAAAACCAATGATTTCTTTTCACTTAACAATTTAAAAATAGGTGACTTTTTTATTATAAAGTATACTTGAAATTAAAATACATAATATCAAAGTTAAAGCAAGACTTTTCACACCTTGATGTACATGCTAACGTATATGAAGAAACTGACAGACATGGTCTATAGAGCACCAAAAGTAACGTTAACAGAAATGACTTAATTTTTCTAATGCAAGCTTGTCATTGTAATGTCAGTTTGTTTTCAACAATGTGTATGAATATCCTTTTGGTATCTGTCGCCTCTATTTAACATTCCCGCAGCATCAGCATATCGAGAATATGTCTCCAAGTTGATATCATTTAAAAAAAATAATCAATCTGGTTTAAATAAAGATCATGTGTTCACGCTTTATTTACATTGATCTGACAATATTCCGCTCTACTTTCTGTTATTGTAATTATATTATCATCCAAAAAAAATGTGAGCCTTCAAATTATTAATGTATTTAAAAACAGAAAGTAGAACAGATTGTACGTAAGCGAATAATTTCAATCAGATTGAAATACTAGTATTATTTTACTTCAAAGATAGGGTTTCAAATCAGTATTATTTTTTTTATAGAAAGGATGTCTTCCTACAAAAAGAATCTCCACAAACAAATGAATGCAATTATGGATTGGAAGACAGTTACAATATATATATATATGTTTCATAGATGATAATGGATATGTACCTTCTGTCGTAGCAATCGTTTAATTGTCTTGAGAAATATAGTTGATAGGTAGTTGCGAAGTCGAACCCGTAATGTCTTATGAATATTATGAACATTAGCAATCATAGTAGAAAATGTCACACAAATCGTACCGTTAAAGAAGTCACACAAATCGTACCGTTTTGACACAATTTTGTGGGGGAAAAAGGAGAGGGGGTAAAGCGATGGATATTCAAAGTAACATTTATGAAATATTTGTTGTCTAAGTAGACAAAAAATATGATCAAAACTGTTTATATTTTCACAAAACACCCAAACATTATTTTTTCTCCAATATCATAATTATCTTTATGTCAAAAATCCTAATGTACATATTTTCATTTGATTTGAACAACAAAGTAGCCGTGAATGAAAACATTTAATGGGTAGTGAAAACTTAGGCCATATATGACCCTAAAACCCAACTTCTTTTTCTGATTCATATAAACAAAATGTGTTTAGGATTACTGGCTTACTGTTTGCTTTATAAACCAATTCAGTACTGTTCAGCAGCTTTTATGACAACTCAGGATAATGTTGATTTGTACAGGTAGATAACAACTCACGAAAAGTCTGAACATAGACTGAACAGACCTAAATTATCTGCAAGCGAATTGTCTTGGTAGTACTCAATTTACCACAGTGTATAGATCTGAAAATTGACTGAAAGACTGTAAATGACTTAATAATTTGTTGTTCAGTCTTTTAAAAACTGTTCAGATCATCCAATAACATTTCAGCCTTCAAATTATTAAAGGTGCTTATCTATACGACAAAATCAGAAGCTCCCGAAAGGTATTTAAAAACAGAAAGTAGAACAGAGTGTACAGGTTCTCGTAAGCGAACATAAACACAAAATCTGCATTTTAATCAGATGGAAATACTAGTATTAATTTACTTCCCGATAGGGTTTCCAATCAGTATTATTTTTTTTATAGAAATGATGTCTGTCTACAAGAAGAATTTCCACAAACACATGAATGCAATGATGATTGGAAGACCATTACAATATATATGTTTCATAGATGACCATGGATGTGTACCATCTGTCAGAGCAAACATCATATCTTCTGTTCCTCTTTAGTAACACATCACCGAATTTGAGTGTTCAAACTATTTTCAATTACCATGAGTAACACATCGAGTGCAATTAGTTAAGTTCGAACTTAAACAAAATGCTTGATCTTTGGTGCATATTATATACCCCGGTTTTTTGTCGAGTTTGCCTTGCTAAATCTTTAGATTTCTGTCAAGTGATGCTAGGAAGTGAATCTATGAAATAATTCAAATACAAAACATAAAGGACGATTTTTTTAACAGACAGGGCTCGGAGGTTGGATGCTAATTGCTGACATTATATCATGTGCATTATGAACTGAATAAAACCCTTACCATTATAGATATAATGAAAATGATGAACGTCATGTTCTCCATTTCTCCTCAATATTAAACACGCCAAACTTTGATATTATCCAAATTCTGAATAATATATTATAATACTTCAAACGCAAATACTATACTTTGACAAAACAAAAACGTTGATTCGACGGTAATCGTCCGCTACTAGAGGTCTTTCAAGGTGACTGATTGCAATATATAAGGGGAAAATCCGATTAACATGTTTCACAAAATGAAACACTGAAATATTTTCAACCTGAATGAAAAAATATAAAGATTGTAAAAAAATGCATTGTTTTCCCGTTATAAGCAGACATGTTATTACGCTATTTATACATTACATCATTCATTGTGATCTTACAAGTAACCTGTTACTCACCTACCCTGTGATTCTTCCGCCAATTTACTTCTTATTCCAACACGTGGAACTAATTTATTTATATTTTTTATAAATATAACTTATGACATTATATTTATGTTTGAGGTTAGAGATAACATCGGATCACAATGATTTTTGTGAAATTTTTCTTTCAATTTAACTCTTAAAACATTGTCTAGATGTTGAATCGTTAGATTTAAGTCAAAATTTCCTGATATAAACATTGCAGAAAATGTTAATCGGATTTTCATTGTTAAAATGATGAATGCATTGAACTCTACATGCATGACTTTACACAAATGCAAGCGGAAATGTCTTGGTATTTGGTAACATGTTTGACGAACAAAATACATATAATGTTAAGGTAAATATTTGTTAATAAGTTCCTTGTTGATTTTTTTTACAAAGTACACGCTGTTGTGACGTTAACCTATAATCTTTTTGATTATGCATTGTATATCATTCAACTAAAAAGCTATTTCTGCTAATGATTTGAGCATTATCTTGACAATACATTTCTTCTCAATAATCACAAAAGGTTTTCGTACATTTGTACATGAATAGATTTTCCAACTGTCTTCTTTGATTTTTGCTCTCTCAAAATTGAAGATATATGTATTGTGTTTACCTTGCAAACACACGCTTTAAAAAATAATTCCGACAAGTCTTTCATTATTGGCACATGATTTGAAAGTTGTGCAGTCAAAGTTAAATTCATGCTCACAAAATAAACGCTTGCAGTTTGGTTTTTTTAAATTGCTTGCGAATTTTGTTAGCATTTAAGCATTTCTGTGTAAAGTGATATAGTTCAAATAGATATTTCCAACGAACTTGAAACGGACTGGACAAACATTTTGGTTGAAGACCGCAAAGTTTGCTTTTGTTAATGTATGTCTAGTATTAAAAAGGATTCTCTGTTTGATCGACATATTAATTATGAATCTAGGGCTTTATAATGTATAAAGTAAAATAACAAAAATACCGAACTCCGAGGAAAATTCGAAACGGAAAGTCCCTAATCAAATGGCAAAATCAAAAGCTCAAACACATCAAATGGATAACAACTGTCATATTCCTGACTTGGTACAGGCTTTTTTTATGTAGAAAATGGTGGATTTAACCTGGTTTTATAGCTAGCTAAACCTCTCACTTGTATGACAGTCGCATAAAATTCAATTATATTGACAATGATGTGTGAACAAAACAAAGTCATAATAAGTAAAAATTTAAATATAGGGGTATAGCAGTCAACATTGTGTTATAATCTTAATCACTATAAAAACAAACAAATATGCCAACAAAGAAACACAAAAAGGCACATTAGCAAGAATGAACGACAAGAATACAAAAAAATTACCATAGCACAATAACACAATGACGGGATGTATAAGTACCGAGCCACGTCAAATGGATATCACCAAAAATAGACTAAACACATAAAAGTAATATTCACAAAGACAAATAAAAGAATACTATAACACGTTATTAAGACGATAAACAACGTCAGTACCCAAAATCTATACGTCAAGACCATCGTGTATTATTTGTGAAGTTGATACGGAATATTTATCAACAAAGTCTTGGTTCCTTCCGATGGACTTTTTTTTAGAAAAAGGACGAGACGTTCTTTGACATACCCCTGGTTCGTCAACTTTCTGCTCAGACACTAGTGACGTTTTACAAAGTCTGAGTAGCAGCTGCAAGCTCTTGAATACCGAATACGTTGTAAAATGTATATCCCATATGCAGGTGAAGTTGGTATATTGCTTCCAAAGTGGGGGAAATTGATAATTTCAAAATTAAAATCGTCTCGTTTGTCATAGATTGTGGTACTGAGATGACCACGTATGTCACATTCGAGGTAAAAGTCTAAAAATGAGGCGGAGGAAGCCGTGTCTGTTGTTTCTTTAATTTCTAGTTCTGGAGGATATATTAATGGAACCCATTCAGAAAAGTTTGGATTTTTAATGGAAAGAACATCATCAATATATCTGAATGTAAAATTAAATTATCTGGCTTCTTTGATCTTCTTGTTTTTGACAAGTGTCTGATGGAACTCCGACTCAAATGAAAATAAGAAGAGGTTGACAAGGAGAGGCGCACAGTTCGTTCCCATAGGAATGCCGACAATTTGTTGTGAAAAAGTCTACCTCCAAATTCAACAGATATGTTGTCAATAAGAAACTCCAGCATACTGATCACTTGTTCCTCTGTGTAGCATGTTTTACCTTTTTGTTCACTATTAACAAAATATGCCATATGGTATCCCAAAGTAATTGTATTGAAAAAAAATGTTTTATTTTTATCCAAGATCAACAAACATTTAATGGGTAGTGAAAACTTAGGCCATATATGACCCTAAAACCCAACTTCTTTTTCTGATTCATATAAACAAAATGTGTTTAGGATTACTGGCTTACTGTTTGCTTTATAAACCAATTCAGTACTGTTCAGCAGCTTTTATGACAACTCAGGATAATGTTGATTTGTACAGGTAGATAACAACTCACGAAAAGTCTGAACATAGACTGAACAGACCTAAATTATCTGCAAGCGAATTGTCTTGGTAGTACTCAATTTACCACAGTGTATAGATCTGAAAATTGACTGAAAGACTGTAAATGACTTAATAATTTGTTGTTCAGTCTTTTAAAAACTGTTCAGATCATCCAATAACATTTCAGCCTTCAAATTATTAAAGGTGCTTATCTATACGACAAAATCAGAAGCTCCCGAAAGGTATTTAAAAACAGAAAGTAGAACAGAGTGTACAGGTTCTCGTAAGCGAACATAAACACAAAATCTGCATTTTAATCAGATGGAAATACTAGTATTAATTTACTTCCCCGATAGGGTTTCCAATCAGTATTATTTTTTTTATAGAAATGATGTCTGTCTACAAGAAGAATTTCCACAAACACATGAATGCAATGATGATTGGAAGACCATTACAATATATATGTTTCATAGATGACCATGGATGTGTACCATCTGTCAGAGCAAACATCATCAATGTATCTGAATGTAAAATTAAATTATCTGGCTTCTTTGATCTTCTTGTTTTTGACAAGTGTCTGATGGAACTCCGACTCAAATGAAAATAAGAAGAGGTTGACAAGGAGAGGCGCACAGTTCGTTCCCATGGGAATGCCGACAATTTGTTGTGAAAAAGTCTACCTCCAAATTCAACAAATATGTTGTCAATAAGAAACTCCAGCATACTGATCACTTGTTCCTCTGTGTAGCATGATTTACCTTTTTGTTCACTATTAACAAAATATGCCATATGGTATCCCAAAGTAATTGTATTGAAAAAAAATGTTTTATTTTTATCCAAGATCAATTATTTATTTCAATGCATGCAAATGTACCATTATTATCTCTACAACTGATATACGCCATGCATAAGCGGAGCGAAATGATAAGTAAATAAATGCATTTTACGTGAATTTTACACCGATGCTTTATACAAAATGAGGACGGAAACGATTTGGTATTTAGACAACATGTTGTACAAACAAAATTATTGTAATGTTAAGAGAAGTATGCGTCATTAAGTTCCTTGTTGGTTTTCTTTTAAAGTGGATAATGCAACGTTCGTACGAACAAGTATTTACTTTAATCTTAATTTGGAAAATATGAATTCTATAGAATTATATGAAGACAACAAAAAATAATGAAAGTTCGCCTTCATAAGTTAGGGATGAATTATGTAGGGCCAAAACTGGTTTTGGATTTATATAAGAACCCACTTGTAAATACTCTTTGCTTGGGTGTGTGTTTATAGAATCAGACTTCATATAAATAATTGTTATAACTTAAATATAGTAACTTTCAATCAAAACACAATAAATTTGAGAAATAATGATAAAAAATTTAAAATCTTATAACTAGAATTCTAATTTCACCAAAGCAAATTTTTCGCATGACATCTTTTTGCATTATGTTTGTAATATTTGCGCTGAACTTGAACAAGCTTGTAAAATTAAAATATCTGCCTTAAGCATTAGATAGATTTATACCGGAATATATTTATAAAGTCAGCTAAAGTCTTAGAAGTAAGATGCAAAGAAATTGAGGGATGGTAAGCATGGAGCAATATAAGATGAGCCTATGTTTAATAGTTAGTGCTTCCATCACTATTTATAGGTGGAGACTTTTAAAAGTCCTTACATAAAGAAACACTTTTTAATGGTTAAGTAGGTTCGTTTTCTGACTTTAAGTCGACCCCTTTAAATATACAATATTTATTTTTGATAGAAAAGGGTCTGTTTGATGTCCAAAGATAGCGAAATTTCTAGGAATCAATCGCGCAGTCACTATTTGAATGCATCATTCGGTAGCTAAGAAGACATGTCGTTGGGAAGCAAAACTTTGCTACACTGACAGTGTCTGTAAAGAATATATGTGCAAAAATGACACAAATATCAAAGTAACATCTCAGTTTAATTATTGAAGTCTGCTGATTTCAGTTCTTGGGTTCCCAGTGAAGGCATTTTTCTTTACATACACACATTTGAGGTATACACATACTAAATAAATAAATATGAAAATATGAAGCACACCTTGACTTAAACTCGTGTGTGAGGTAAAGGTTAATCAGACAGCAACCTAGCGACAAAAATACCTATGTAATAAATCATAGCGACCTTCTGTTTAATTCTGTTCTTAGATTAAAGCTTTTTATAAGTTAAGTAAGTTCGTTTTCTAACATTACGTCGACAACTTTAAATATACAATATTTTTCTTTAATAGAAAAGGGTGTGTTGTATGTCCATGATTGCGAAATT